AACGCTCCTTCAAGTTCATACCTCATTACGAGGTCACTCTGAAGAATCCCGAGTATGCGAAGTCATCTGATGGAAAAGTAAAGATTGCATCGCTCCCTTTGGTAGAAAATACTAACAATTACTAGGAATATGATGCTTTCAGAGGCTTCCGTAGTCATCACATTCACATGTCCATCGCTATCGCCGCTCCCTTTGATCGAGAATGGTCCGTTGCTAACTTGGAGCCATCGAGGACCTACAACAGTGTCCATCTCTCTCCTCGTTTCTTCACGCATTTCTACAGCTGGTGGTCCATGTTCTCTGGAGCTATGTCATTGCCCGTACGTCAAGGCAAGCTTTGGCCCGGAGTGGAAAAGTCAAGCAAGAAGTTCGGGCGACACCTTGCGACCATCAAGTATAATCTGTTATTGTCGCCACTGTACATGAGCCACATATACAAGCACAAGGATATGGAGGACTACGGCGCAGGCGGTGTTTCCGCCACCGGACTCAAAGCTCGCCTGGACAGCTTCATGTTTGACTTGCATCAACGCCGAGAAGAGTTCCGGACCTTAGTTCAAGCACCGGAGGGTCAACAAAATAGTCGACAAAACCAAACTACTGGTATGCGAATAAACCAGGTCCAGCTTGACTTTATTCGAACAGACATCCGTGCCGTGTCTGCAAGTATTGCTGGAACTGGATCGGACGACTTGGACAATCTAGCCCCAGATGACTTCAGTAGTCACAATCAAGAAAACCTGACGGCCGACCTTTCAAAATTCAACATACCCGACAACGACCTTGGATGGGTGGACATGGACGACTTCATCGAACTGGGCTGGATCTTGCCTTCGCGTCGACACCCAGAAACGCAAATCCTACCGCTTGCATTTGCACCGCGCTTCACATACTTCCGCCAGACTGATCACAACAACAACATTTCCGGCGACGAGAATAGAAAAAGTGCCTTCGGAAACGAACCTACGCATCATTGCGTCATTTCAGCACGCAACGATCCACGGCGAGTACAGTGCCACTTGATTGAACAACGTATCGAGCGTGTGAAAGAGCAAATTGCTCACAATCAACGTACTGTCGATGATCAAGAGCTCAAACTTATACGCGTGACATCAGATGAGCAGGAAGAGACAAAACAACGCCTTGTGACACTAAAGAACCATACGCAATTCCTTCAGCGGAAACTTGAGTTCTTATCCACAATGCATGTGAGTCTGCTGGAGCGGTTAGGAGGAGTATCTTCGGATAGTACGGCCCGTGACCCGGAGGCAGACGGAGAAGACGAATACTTTGAGGCAGATGAAGATCCAGATGCCGCGGAAAGGAACAGCAAAGATTCCAATGTTCCTCCGAACCCGATCACCGACTCTACAAACGAGTTCAATAACCGGTTCATTATCCACAATATCCATTTGAAATGGAGCAACTCACTGCGAAACATCATCCTCCGGTATATCCATCAAGTCAGCCAGCGTCGCGGTTTTGTCTATTACATGTCTCGAAGGGCTGTAAAGTTTATCTTGGACGTTGTCGAAGAGCAAGAGAGAAATCGAGGACCATCAAATCGTTCGACTCAAGAGACTCCTGTGACCATGGAAACCGAAGCTGGCATGAACATTGATGAAGCCATTGCACAACTGCTGGATGACGGCAAGAAGTTTGTCAATGCCGATGAGGAAGACGCCAAAAACGAATCTCCTTCTGGAGCTGGAGCAGTGCCAGAAACCGTGCATGCCAACGCGTCCAAAACGGATGAAGATGTTGCAGACGACTATGTATCACAAAACTCTTATCTTGTGCGTCTCATCGCACCCCAGATACAGCTGCAAAGCGAAAAAGACACAAAATCTGCTGTCCTTGTTACGGCCAAGGGCATCCAACTCAAGGTTCTTTCGATCATGGACAAGGATCGAGTAATGGATGAAGTCTCTGGCCTTGTCCAGCGAAGATTCATTACTGCCATGGACAGCCTGCAGATCTTTGTGACGAATTCCAAGACGTTCAGTAGTACTGAAGACATTCACATGTACTCTGGAAGCAGCTATGGTTCACCTGCTGGCTCAGCATGGCCTCCATGGGTACCGTTTGAAGTCATGTTTGAGTTCCACACCAATCCGTTCGGTTTCCAGCGAGTCGTACAGCGTACCTCGGCCAGTATGCGATATGACAAGTACAATGCGTTGCGCCTGAAGTACAATGACGATATTTCAGCAGCTGATTCCGCATCGTCCACCGACCACGTGGAAAGCCGGATCGACCACCTCTGGGTAGACTTCCCACATGTCCGAGCGATGTGCGATTCGAGGCAATACTATGCCATGTATGTTATTGTGCTTGACCTCTTGCTGTACCGCGAGCCATTGGAAAAGACGCGCAATGAACGCCTTGAGAAGATTATGCTGGCATCGGATTTCACTGATCTTGCCGGTGCACCGAAATTGGTCATGGGTCTCCAGGAGCGTATTCAACAACTTGAGGAGATTAAGACTGTCTTCCAGATCCACGAAAAGTACTTGGACAAGCAGGGATGGGAAGACCGCATTGAAGTGGAGAAGGACCTGGCTGTATACGAGGATGAGCTGTTTTTCGTCATGAAAGCCATTACCACTGCACAGCGCAAGCAAGACGATCGTTCTCAGACGAGAGAGTCAACAGGTCTCTTGAGGATTTGTGTCGCAGCCTCTGACATCGTATGGCATCTTCTTCGCGAGGGCGCTGAGTCTCTGGCAGAGTTCCAACTCAAGAATGTGGTGTTTGATCGAACTGACAACAACGACGGGTCAAACGCAAACTCGATGGAGATTGAGCAGGTTCGTGGTCTCAACCTGCTACCGAACGCACTATACCCTGAGATGATCTCGCCCTTTTTGGAGAAAGACCAAAAGCTACCGGAAAACGCAAAATGTCTCAAGGTGTACCTTGTAGCCCTGGAATCGATTGCTGGAATACCTGTTGTAGAGCATTTCGAGGTTGAGCTTTATCCCCTCAAAGTCCAGTTGGAGTACCAAATAGGCAAGAAGCTACTTCAATACGTCTTCCCAACATCTGGAGACAGCGATATGACTACGCCTTCTCCTCTCTTGCTCAAACATACCCTGCCGATCCAGGATCAAGGGGATGATGACGACGTCCTTCTTTCAAGTGTACCTCATAACATGGGGGCATCGCTATCAACTGATGAAGGCGCCGTGGAGTCTCTCAAACGTCGCCTTACTCCGACGCTGCAACTGCCTGACCCCTCCCAGAAGGGTGATGTCAAAAAGAGAAGCCCACCAAAGAGACCCAGCAACCACTACTTCCGTTTCTTCCGAGACAATCCATCCCGTAGTGGAACCGAGTTCCGCCGGAACCTGCATCCAAACTCGGCGCTGAACATCCCCACGCCAGGCAGTAACTCTTCTTTGTCCTCCACCAGACCAAGCTCTGTCCGATCTGGCACGACTAACTCCAGCATAACATTGAACGAATCTGAGCGTAGTGGGAAACGCTTTGCACTCTACCGTACCGGCACTGGTATGAGTATGGGTATGGGTGAGAGGAAAGCCACCAAGAAGGAAGTCAGGAACGACGATTTGACAGAAATGATGAATCGTGCAAGTGAATTCATGACCTTTGCCTATATCAAGGTGCCATCCATGGTACTCTGTCTCTCGTACAAAGGCAAAAGTTCTCGCAACTTGGAAGACGTCCACGACCTTGTTTTCCGCATGCCCACAATAGAGTACCGCAACAAGACATGGTCGAACCTGGACCTCGTGACGCAACTCAAGAAGGACGTGTTACGTGCGCTCCTTTCACACGCAGGTACCATTGTCGGCAACAAGATATCGCACCACCGGCCCTCCGCCAAAGCGCAATCGCGCCTCCGCCAAATCGCAAACAGCAACACGCTCCTGACCTCTTCCCCTGACCAATCCGTCACAGATTCAAATTCGGCTCTTGATCAATCCCCCGGCGGCGCCTCCGACATCTCCTCGGACGACCGCATCGTCGGTCGCCGCTCTTTTGCCTCGGGCCGCGCAGGCAGCACCATCAGCACCGTCTCCGAAGAAGCCTCTTCTTACTTCTCCACCTCCAAACCACCTTCGACATCACAAGCCCGCTCCACCCACGGCTCCATCATGGGCGGCCTCTCAACCCACCACTCCCCCGCCGTTGACGTCGAAGACGGCCGCGCTTTTGCCGATGAGCTGTCGCGTGTAGACAATACGGAGCCGATCCATGCGAATTTGATACATAGTCTTAGTCGCCATATTGCGGGGGTTAGTTCACCGTTTGCGGGACATATGCGTGCTAGAGCAAATTCTGGGGCTGCGAGTACGAAGGCGGGGAGTGTGGCGACGGGGTTTAGTAGTGGAAAGGATAGGGAGGACGATGGTGGGGAGGAGGAGGTGATTGGCGGTGATGGACCGAGGACGAAGAAGGCAAAGGCGTTGGGGAAGAAGTTGCTTGGTAGGGGTGGATAGGTGTCGAAGTCGGGATTTCCTTCTCTTTTCTTTGAAAGTAAGTCTTTCCGACTTTCTTTTTTTTTCTGGTTCATAGCGTTTTACCTTCTTCTCTCTTCCTCTTTTCCAACTTAAGGGGCGAGACACGGGCGGGAGTGCGATGTGCAAGGTATATAGATTCGGTGGGGATGGGGGATACCATTCTTTTTTCTTTCTTTTTTCTTTTTTTCTGTATAAATCATTTAACTAGCAAGTCCCTCGTTGTACGTAGAACTGGGGGAAAATTCATCATCATGTCATCACGGTTCTGCTGTGTTAATCATTGAGGTTTCAGTTTTCTTTCAAAGGAAAGAGAAAAAGACAAGTAGGAGAGTTTTGAGCTTTTTTTTAATTTCATTGTTCTCTGTCTTGGAGGGTAGGATAAGGTATATAGATGGATTAGAAAAAGCTTGAAAAATGGCAATTTGATATCATAACTTCGATCCAGTGATTCGATTGTGATTAACTGACTACTCAAAGATTTGCTAACTAATTACATCTCTCACTACAACTCCCTCACGTCTTGATCGCCTCACGCTGGTTCTCCTTTTCCTTCTCTTTCTCCTTGTGCAATTCCGGATTAAGCGGATGCTTGGGATCATATCCGACTCTCTTCACGATACCTAGACCTTTTGTCCTTCCCTCACGGAAAAGAATGCGATCACCAACAGTGAGGTACTCCGGACGCTGGACGAATCGGAAAGCGACCTGAGCACGGTCACCGGTACGAATGTACTGGCGATCAATGTCGATGATGGCGCAGGTCTGGGAGACGGGTCCGACGTGGAGCATGGCTTGGTATTTTGTTTTGATAGTGGTTGCATGGGAGAGGATGAGAACTTCGGCAACGAATTCACGATAGACTTTGGGGTTGGGTAGGATGCCGGTAGTAGGGTCGGGTTTGTCGGGTTTATGGAGGACAACCATGCCTTTGCGGACGTCTTTTCGGCGGACGTTGCGGAGGGCGAGACTTGCTGATTGGCCGGCGGAGCATCCAGGGACTTGTATTCGTTTGCGCTCGATAGAACGTACTTTTGTAGTTTGAAATTGGCCGAGACTGTCTGGGCCAATTAGGACGGTGTCACCCGTGTGTATGACGCCAGACTTGACAACTCCTGACACAACGGTACCGACAAAGGGGACGGAGAATGTGTCATTGACGTGGAACTCGAGAGGCGCAGAGCTGTCGTAGTTGCCATGGTGAGGGAGTGCGTTAAGAAACATGCGAACTAGGTCAATATTGTGACCAGTAACGTTGGACACCTGGAAAATGGGACATATGCGGCTGGACACAAATTGGGTCGCAGTGTTTATGCACTCCTCTCTGTTCTTGACGAAGATGGGTATTTTGTGCGCACCAGGAGATTTGAGAATTTTCGTCAGTTGCGTTATGGTCTGCTCGAGAATCTGGGGCGGGCAGATATCGATTTTAGTGATGACAACCATGACTGGCACTTTCATAGCGAGTGCGATGCCGAGATGCTCCCTGTAGCGGTTAGTGAATGGAAACAAAAGAGCGCAAAGTAGACTTACTTGCTCATACCAACAAGCCCATTATTCGCTGCTATCATGAGCAAACAGTAGTTAGGCTCGCTCGACAACAGGCCAAACACCGTGGTGCGCAGGTACCGCTCATGGCCTGCGAGATCAGAAAAGCTAATGACTTTGGCCTGGGGATGTCAGAGCTGATTTGTGTGCGGTAACCGATAGAACCTACCGATCGCCGACCAATTTCCTCCCATGTGAGCTTTCGGCCGGGGACATTCGAGACGACTACCTCGCTCTTGCTATCGAAGCCCATAATCTCCATACCAACGGAGCTCGTACGACCACTCTCAATCTCGTGTTTATGTCGGAAGAGATTGACGCGTGCCTTTCCACGGCCATCATCGAGATCGCCTTTAACTAAGACACCCAACATGGTGCTTTTGCCAGCATCAACTGGGCGCTGTGAGCATTTGCGCAATTGAATCTGATCCGAACAACTCACCATTTCCTACAACAGCTATCCTTGTCTCAATTACATCGTCGACGCTCTCCGGCCGCTTGCGCAATATCATCTTGCCACTGCAGCCTGTGTCTTTGGCATCGCGTGGGCCGACTTCAACGTCACCACCAACGTTCCTTGTCAGGAGCATCTTGTAGTCGGCCTTGATCTGCTCACACACGATGCCTATTCTCTCCACTGCAGCATCCCAGACTTCTTTTGTAAAGCCCATTGAGTCGCCCGTGTCCTCCAATCCCACGTCAAACAGAACCTCGCCATGACCTTCAGCCAGGCGGTCCTTGATGTGCTCGGCGAGGGCGGCGACATTGTCCTCGGCAGGGTCGGAAAGAAGCGTCTTTAGGCGAATATGTGGTTTGCTGTCGTCAGAAAGACCCAATTCGTCCAAGACACTCAGCTCGTCGTGGTCGTCGAGAGTGGCGGGGGAAACGCCCGGGGGTCGTCGCAGCGCCTGTTGCTTCTCTACATAGTCTGCGAATTCGCTGAGGGCCTGTGGCGACAAGTCAGATTCCGCGCATAAGTCGCAGGATGGCTACGCACCGATTCGCCCTTGCGCCGCTCTGCTGGGCTCTGTTTGGGCTCGTGCCTTGAAGCCATTGGATATGTGGGGATAGTGATAGTAGTGGATGGTGGAGTGATCGTAGTCGATGTCAGGTTGTGTTGTGTAGTATGCAAAGGGTTCGCCGTATTAACAAGACGGTTGATAATCGCGATATGCGGGTCGAGAGTCGAAGTTCCATGAGTCGTTGTGCCGTGAGGATTGAAGGGTGGCGTGTGCTGGATGACGCTGGAAAGTGCATGATGCTAGGAAATCCGGGGGCGGACGGGCACTTAAGCTGCTATCGATAGAGGCCATGACGCTGACACCCGCCCATTGACTCACCCTCCGCCCTCAACGCCACCCGTAAGGCTACCAACGCTGTGATCTTCATCGCAGTCATACACACTAGAGTTGCGCCCTCAATGGATTGCGGATCCTGGTCGTGATCCAGACTCCAGACTCTGGCCACCGCCAAGAAGGGCGTAAACACGAACACGACACGACACGACCTTCACCGCTAGCAGCTGAGGCATATGCCTATCACGGCATCACGACGACATGGGAAAGAACGAGTCATGTGACGTGTTGGTCAATCTAATCTTACATATTGCCTATATACAACCCCATTGACTCCTTATGAGGCCATCGCCGTGGCTGTGACCCCCCGCTCGCCGCAGTATTTGGCTACTTCTTTCTGCAATGTCTCGCGCTGGTTGTTGGCAACCTCCATAATATCACTGACACCATTGACCGCCTTGCAGTACTCAAACGTATCTGCCATCTGCATGAGAACCGCCGTGAGCTGGTTTGGCAGCCACTATCACCAGTCAGCAAACATCCAAGTACAAACGGGGACAACAACTTACTGTTACAATCGGACTACCACCTGTGGCAGTGGGGTGCGATGTGTGCTTGAGAATATACTCGCGTGTGAAGCACCAGTGCCGCCAGCGGAAGTCGCGGACCTGGTCGAGAGCTTGAAGATAGAGTGCGGCTGAGATGGAGTCACCCTTTGCGAACTCCCGTACCCCGGCTTCTTCGGCGGAGTCACGCACCGCCTCAAGAAACTCGCGATGGTTGCCAGGGCGGTACTGGCGAAAGTCCCGAAGAATATCCGTTAGAGGTGTCTCCGGCATCTGCACTTGCAGCAGATTGTCACACATGGGGATCATGCTGTCGTTGGCTCCAGACTCGCCGCGGAAGGACATTGGCTCTTCGCTCACACCTTCATAGATGACTCCGTTGGGGAACATGGACTGCGATGTGATGCCAAAGATGAATGTGCGGAAGTTTGTGTAGCCTTGAGGTTTGCTGCGATTCCACATTGCTACCATTGTCAGAAACCCATAGTTCAGTTAGAGTGTGTCACTTACTGTTCATGACCCCGTTGACTTTGCTCAGTCCATTGACGAGCGTTCGCAGGCCGTCGTTGAAGGCCTCTCGATCACGCGCCATGCAGCTCTCAATCATATCCGCAGCCCCCTTGACAAGGGCACCAGACTCCTTGACCATGGCAATGTGGACGAGAACGAAACCAGCTTCTGATGAGGTAGGGTCTAAGCCGTGCTCAAAAGCACGAATCAACCGTAGGTTGTCATACTCAAGACCACGAGAAGGATCTTCGAGGCGGTAGTTGAAGAGGGCATATGAGCCTGCATATTCCATGAAGGGCTTGAAGCCAGCACTACACTCTTGCATCAGTCACAAATACAAGAGGATTCAGACAAGAAAGGTCAACTTACATTTCAGCTACTTTGACAATGGGCAGAGCAATGCATCTCGGCAGCGACTGGCGACCCAGGCCATATGGTTCACCCCTGACATGCCTCTCATGGCAAGGCTCGAACAGGTAGGCAGAGGCCAAGAAGGAATAGTCTCGGTACAGAGCGTTCATGACAACAAGGTCATCGCGATACTTTTCAACCTCCGGAGTGAGGTCAGGTAGCTCCTTGAGCAGGGTCTCGCCAAAGGTGAAGTTGGCGAGGAGACCCGGCTCCCCTGACAGTGTCTTGATAGGCATGCGTTGCAAGAGCGACTCAAGAGGAGCAAACTCTTTTGGAAGCTCTACAACAGGCTCTTGCCGAGGAAGGAAGCCTCGTGTTGTTGACACCATGAAGGCAGGGAGAGAGTGGTCCTCAGGACGGGTGTCCTTGAGGACAGGAAAGTCAAAAGTGGGAGACATGATGACCAAGACAAGAGATAATGAAGGCAAAAAGATGTTCGGGATGGACAGGCGTCAGTCACAAAAGAGCTAGACCGAGAGCCGATGGTTGTTGTTGGTGCCGAAGAGAAAACATGTCGAAAGGCGGGCTCAACGCACGCTTATATCTCGTGGCCGGAATCAAAACCGGCCACGGAAACGTACCGGCCTCACCAAGATAAGAAGTACGTAATGACTGGATCACTTGCCTCCATTTGCAGACTTTGACCCGGAAACTATCTCTACTGCCCGCCTGAGTTTCCCCATGTTCCCCAGAGCACCCGAGTCCAATTTTCCATGGTCAGCTCGTCGTCGCCAAGACATGGAGATGTTGGAGAGGAGGGTCGGGGCGGCAATGAGGCTATGGCTACATCTCGTAGAGACAAGAGGAAGAGACTGCTTCAGAGATTTTTTATTTGAAGAAAAATATTAATATTGAATAGAGGGGCGCGAGTGATGGCGCAGTATTGATCGCATTCACTGTCTTCGCGATGCAGCCCAAAGACTTAGGAGATGAATCAAAGAGCATCATACATCCAACTCAGCAGTCATTTCCATACACTTTCAAGTACGTAATTTTCCATACCACACGCATCTTTCATTAATTTTCATCACCGCCCTCTCATCCCCATCAAACAACACACCTTTCTGCCCTCTCTCCAACTCCAACCCCATCGGCCCGACTCTTACTAACCAAATCCACACCGCACCCACTCCCTTCTCCCCTCCAAAAAGAATAATCGCAAAACCAATACCTCGCATCACAGATCATACCTGCATCTACTTGGTTTCAATAGTGAAACCAAAACCGCTCCCGGTCGAACTTCCGACCCCGTGATATGGTAATAGGTTGATAGGGCGGCTTCGTCGGCAGCGCAGCCAACCAGCGTCGCGCCGAAGAGACCCCGCAAGTGCGCGCGCTCGACTTCCGGCCTCTGGCGGGCCGGGGGATGTAATTCCGGCCTTGTTATCTAGAATGGCTCACCGCTTGATTGGTTGGTTTTGATGTTAGGCTGGGGGTTTTTTTTGGTTGGTAATGGCTTGGTTTAGGGTTGTTGTGGTTGATGATGATGGATATTGTGTGTGTGGTGTTTGGGGTATGGGCTTTGTGGGGTTTAATTGTACGGAGAGGGTTGGATGAGGATATATGAACAATGTGGTGAAGAAGGTGGGGGAGTGCTGGTGATGAGATGAGATGGGTAGGTGGGTTGGGGTATGCTGGGAGTTGGATGGTCGTGATGGTTGTGTCTCGATTAGGTGCATTTCCAACAGCTAAGCCACCAGGACAGCACTTTTAATATTTGGTGACCACCATTACGAATTCCCCCCTCACTCAATTCATCACTCGGGACATGTCAATTGTATGCCTACCGACCATCTTGCCCACCGCTATACCAACGCCGCTTGTAAGCGAGCATTCCCCGCCCTTTGTTCTTGACATCACGAGACGAACGTTAGCCCTGCACCTGATGTTTCTCCAAGTCCAATCATGTGGTCTTAATTGCCGTGGCCATGACATTGACGCGCGTAGCGACATTGGTTTGGTATCTGGAATCCACATTACATTGCTGATGGAGTTGAAATAGTACTATGAGCTCTGTAGTGCAAATTAAAGAACCCAGCCTCATCTGTGTCTATACCTCTCATGGGGATAATTAAACTTTACGGCGCCCACGTCGCCATCCCTGTCCACATTGTTTGAGTATGATTGATATGAACTAAGAGGAAAACAGGGTAGAATCGTCTGATGCTAGAAAACATGATGTTTTAATGAATAATGTGTCTATGATCAATTATTACAAAGTAGGTAAGAAAAGAAAAATAAAATAGGAGAAACGCAGTAAACAATGCTCGCTACCCATGCCTCGTGTATATACTATCGCCAGTATAGTGATTATTCTCCTTTCTCCCCTCACCCTCAAGTCACCCACCTACCCTCTTTTCGCGCATCATATCTTAGAAAAACACAGCAGCCAGACCCGCTGCTCCAAAAGCAGCCATACCAGCCGCTGGAACTAATCCTGCCGCTGCAGCACCCGTAAACATCTCCATAGGCGGAGTCGTGCTCGTAGCCGCACCGCTCACACTCGCACTTGTCGCCATGGACGCAGCACTCGACGTCGTAACCGCGCCGGTGGGTGTAGGAACCGCCAGTGGGGCCAGCGTCTTCAGCAACTCAGGCGTAGTCGTATACGTCATTGCATCTCCGAAAAACGCCAGGGATGCACTTGGGATTGGCAGCGGCGACACAGGCGTTGCGCTGGGGAACGCTGTGCGTTCGGCTGCTGGAGCAGAGGGGTTCAGTGATGTGCGGTCGAATGGGGCGAGGGGGTTTAGGACACTATTTTCCAACACTCCAGTTAGCTCTTCGTTTCACTCCAGAAACCCCAGATGGAGAAAAGGGGAAGGGGGAGTATACTAACCCATCAATTACATGTGCCACACCATTGTACAAGATTGTATTCACAAACGTAATCTTGGCCCCGTTCACCCATGCACTGCCATCCGGGAGTACCGTAAATACCAAGTCCTCGTCTGCCATACTCTTCACCGTCACATTACCCAGGCTAGGCGAGAAGATGACGTTCTTGGGTATGATGTGGTGTTTTAGCACAGTCTGCAGTGTCTCTTTGTCCGCGGTGGCGAGGACGGATCCGATATTCTCAAATGCCTCGTTTGTGGGGACGAAAATCGTAAAGTCGGAGATGTTGAGTCCGACTTGATCGGGCCCGTTGAGTCCAAAGTCGATGGCGAGCTGGGCTGCTTGGAGTGCGCTGTTCATGGCGGTGTAGCCGGCGCGGTAGGTGAAGAGTTGGAAGGGGGCACCGAAGGAAAGTACCGTATCAATCTTATGGATAGTAATTCCCTCGCCAAGTTTGATATCCTGAATTTCACTCTCAGTTCTTTCTTCATCCCATCTATTCTCGACATCCACATTGCTACTAGATCCGAACTAGGAGGAGAGGTAGAAAGGACTTACGGCTTCAGTCACGGTAGACACCGTCTGCTCCCCCGACAAAACACACACGTCCTCTTCATTTCTAACAAGTCCATTATACGCTCCCCCCGTAAAATCCGAAAAAGGCTGGATAGCATTGACATACGATCCGTTCAGCAGCGTCTGCACAAATGTCGGAATCTCCCGTATCACCTCTGCCGGATACACGCCTTTAAACACGTGATTCGCAAGTAGCGCTCCAATGGCCGCGGTGTCGTTTTTGAATTCAATGGCTTGGCCTTCGGGGATATCGCGGGGGACGGCGGCAAAGGCGTCGTTGGTAGGAGCAAAGATTGTGATGTTTGTGGCGGAGGAGAGTGTGGTTGCGAGACCATCGATGAGGGAGATGAGGGTGAGGAGTTCGCTGAGGTCGGGTTGGGAGGAGAGGAGGGCGCCGAGGTCGCCTTGGGCGAGGGTGGTGCTAAGGGTGAGGGCAGAGGCGAAGATGCGGGAGGGGCGCATGGTTGGGGATTTGTGGGGATAGTCAGGGTAGGAAGGGATGATAAGAGTGCTTGGTAGCGGAAAAAAGAGAAAGCTTGGTTGTGGGATGGTGTGTGAGTTTCCTGGTGATGCTGCTGCTTTACCTTTATATACATATTTTGTTCATCTGCTATACAGTATACAACACCAATACTACCAACACCTACAACCTCAAGCGGTACCTGGTGCTGACAGAATGACATCTATGACTCTGTAGCCGATGCTATTGTTGCTTCTCGAGAGGTTGTGATCGGGGCGCAGCACAATGGTTGTAGTGATGCCACTGACTAGATTTGGAAGTTCCCAGGCCTAGCTGCTTTCTTTGTGAGACTTCCCACTCTGTAAAGACGCAGGTCGAGACAAGATTTACATACATGCATGATCCTACAGTCGTAGTGGTATACTATGGGACGAATAGGCAGGCGGAGGGCCTTGCCAAGCGGCTCCACTTCTGTGCAGCGTATGCCAGCGAGGATCCTCGGTTGGAGCAACGGCGAAAACTTGCCAGCGGCCAATTTCTCCCGGCTGCAAGCACGTTGAATATGCATGTTGTGAGGCACTTGTGGCGTTTTGTGTTGTGCATGATGAGGCTGTGTAGACCATGTACGTCCATGGCCCTGTTTGCAACACTTTACCAAAAATGTAGCACGTCATTCTGCAGAGAGGTATACGCATCGCTGTGATGGGTTTCTGGAACTGAATAGAGTGCAGACAGACAAATAGTGTATTCTAATCGATCTAAGCGATTTGAATTGTCTACCCTTTTGAAATTAGAACATCCAGTAAGTTTGAAGCCTGGCGGGGCATGACGTCGTACTAGCAGTATAGACGCCAAGCAGCGGCTAAATTTCACCGCGCTCACACTCTCTATACAAAAAATAAATACAATGATCCATGTAGGTAGCTTTATGTACGTGATTGATTGTATTGACTATACAGTGGATCTCTGGAGTGGCTAGATACAGTGTTTTTGGCTCAGAAGTGGTGCAGCGGTCAAACAAGGAGAAATTAAGAAACCTTCCTACTACGGTCGTAATAAAACTAAAGTACATATCTAAAGTTCTTGTTCACAAACTCAGTCTGATCACGCATTCCAGCCTCGTCACTTGCCTCCTTATTTGGCGGGCCATATACTCGGTTGCGACGCTTGTTAGTGAAGAACATGTAACCTGTAGAACACGAGTGTTAGAAAACGAACAAGAGTCTAATTGTGTCAAGTAAATGTGTCTCTTACCGAGCAAAGCAAGGTGACATCCGGTCTTAATACTGTAACCAACCAACAACCCGATTGTCGCGCCCTCGTACCTGGGCGCCTCCTTTGCATCCACCACAAACGGACCGGCAAAGTTGCCCCAGCAGTACGCGGTGAAAACTAGGGCGCTGGCTAGCGATCGATGCGTATATCCAGCCATGTTGGAGGAGAGTGTGGTGAGCGATACAGTGAAGCCGACGGATTGCGCGTTTACAAGCCAGAAACTGATGAGCCGGCCCCAGGTATTGGATCGGGGGAGGTAGGCCATGCAGGCTGCGGCAATGGTGCAAAGGATGTTTGCCACGGTTGCTGTCAATAGGCGTGCTAAATAGATGTATTAGCATTTCTTGATCAAATAGAATAGTTGTTTAGCGTTGACGTGACGATAAGTGCCAACTTACAGTTTGGGACGTTAAGGATGACCGATCCTCCAATTAATAGTGCAATGATTTGTACCGCGTCTCCGACTGATTTCAGCTCCGTGGTCTTAGTGGTACTGAAGCCCATATCGCGGATGATGATTGTGGAGAATGAGTTCACTACGCCGTTAGGGATGGCCCTGTATGTTTTGATCAGCACAGTTGAAGACATGAGTATGAATATCTGAATGGCGGGAAAGGATTACACATACGCTGCGAAGACGCTAATGAAAAGAAGTATCGTCTTTGGATCCGTGAAACCGGCGACGATTTGGCCCTTGTCAAAATGCTTGTTCTTAATTCCAGTCTGGTTGCCAGCAACGCGTTTGACGGCGAGAAGGCGCTCGCGGTGGTTGAGGAAATGGGCGTTGGATGGAGAATCGGCCATGAATATCCAAATCACAATGGCCCAGAGACAGGTTGCTCCTCCAAGCTATCTCTGGTTAGTTCGTTTCGTTTTGAAAGATGTAGCAGCTGATACGCACAATGTAGAAAATGAGTTCCCATCTTTCAGGCTTCATGTCTACGGGGAGTTTGGAAATGCCCATGGAGATGTAGGAACCAATCTGGATAAAGTTAGCAATATCTTCGACCCGACAGGGACGCTAGTGAACTTACAATACCACCCCAGCCAAGTGATGAGCTAAGGGATCGCGTTAGTTTGGATTTCAAAAACCACTTGATGTTAACACTTACTACCAGATGCATTGACGGAGCGGAATTTCTCGTCGCGTGTACCAAAATCCGGTCATCAATGTCAACCCTCTGTGAAATGGAGCATGAGCACGGCCATTAATCATCATATCTTTGGAAAGAAACTTACGGTGTTACTGCAGCTTCAAACAAGCCCATAAGAACTACAGTTTGTATAAGCATGTGAACCAGGATATCTCCGAGGGCAGGGAATCATCTTACATCGGACGAACACTGCATATCAAAGTTAGGATACGCTCTATCCCAGACGATTCGTCCAAGAGGGAATACGTACATGCGGTAGAGTAAGTGCGCGCTTGGGTCATTATGATGACGGTAAACCCCCAGCAAAGTATGCTAATAGCGAGGACCTTTTGGGCTGGAAAGCGTCCAATGAGCCACCCACATGGATACTGACCGAAAAAATAACCAGCGTAAACCACTAAGATGTATTGTGAGTAGCAAGAAACATCAGTTTGGCAGATGTAACGCTTACTTGCAGAGAGGTAATTGAACTCCTTGCCCTTGAGACCCAGTGCCTTTTGATACCCAAACAAGTTTGCGTAGTTCAACGATGTTTTGTCCATAAACTGTAGAGCCTGCGTGACCAGAAACATGGGAAGGATGATTAAGTCAATTTTCCACCTGAGTCTCTTCATCTAAAATCAAAACATTAGGGAGGCGCAGAACGAACATAGCAGCCGCAAAAAAAAACGAACCTCTTTGTCTGAACCCTCAATATTGCTCGCCTCGAGGTACTCTTTATAACCCACGGCATTCTCCATTTCCATTCCAGTCGCGCCTTCAACATGTTTGGCGTTGTTACACTGTTCCATGATCTCAATTTCGGGTTTATTGGTTTCCGCAGCCATGGTGCAAAAGGCTCAAAATATGGGACAGAATGAGACAAGCAAATCGTGAAAACAACAATCTCCAGAGACGATCCCATCTTTAAACTCCCCGCAATAATCACGACTCATGTAGACTGTAGGGTTGGGGTTGGATAGCTCTATTGAGTCTAGTTTTGCTCCCCCGCATGGAGGGAGACATGAACATTTCCCCACGGCAATTTTCCGCGGAAACTCGCCTGCCACCATGGCGCTTGCGCCACTCCTCCAATTCCCGGTTGACCTGCAAACAGTGTCGCAGTCTGCCAATAAATACAAAATTTATACGGCTAATCATAGAAAACGCTTTCAAATAAACATCAACTTGACTTGATTTGTTTATCGCACTAGAAATCTTATCGGTTTCTGTTCCTACTAGCCTCCCAACTCATTCCATTTCATTTCCATCACAGCAAACAATGGGGCAATTATTGTCAAAACACAAATCTCAATCGAGGTCAAAATTAATCTCTTCAGACCTTGAGGAGTCCAAATCTGGTCCAGATGCGTATCTAGCTAAACCAAGCGGCAGTTGCTGTCTCAAAGGCACTATTCATAAAGGCGAAGGACGTGGCAGGCGGGAAACGATTGCAAATGTAGAGACGTACATATCAGTACCACCAGCCAGCAAAGCCAACGGCAACGTGCTCCTGTATTTTCCCGATGTATGGGGCATGTTTCCCAATGGCCTGCTCGTCATGGACGCCTTTGCAAGCGCAGGATATACAGTACTCGGACTCGACTATTTCAGAGGTGTACGAATTTCCGCATTTTCCCCCTTCTTCTTTTCGATCCTGATTACTTTTCGCTTTTTTTTCGGGTGCTAACCGAGAGGTCGTTCTTTAGGATCCCGTATGGAAACATCGCAAGAATCGGCACGATAAAAGTAATCCGGGGTTTGACTACGAGGCTTGGAAAAGAAAACACACTGCGTTCGCTGACGAGGCGGTGCCGAAATGGGTGGCTACTGTCGTCGATCGGTACAGGAAAGAAAACCCAGGGACCAAGTTTGCGTGTGTCGGATATTGTTTTGGCGCGCCATACGTATGCGATGAGTTGGCGAAAGACCGCGTCACTGTCGGTGCTTTTGCCCATCCGGCTTTTTTGAAAGAGCACCACTTCCAGAATATAAAAAGTAAGGTCAAAACGCCAGTTTCTGGAACAAATAGAAGCAACTGACAATTTGAAATCTAGAGCCTTTGTTCCTTTCCTGTTCCGAGAGAGACCATACCTTTGATGTTCCGAGTAGGCGACGCGCGCTAGATATTCTACAAGAACGAAGCAAAACGTTTCACTATCAACTATTTTCTGGTGTTGAACATGGTTTTGCGTTGCGGGGAGATCCCGATGACCCTTATCAGCGTACGCATGCCGATTTCCTATAGTTTCTAGATTGCTAATGAAGTGTACATAATAGGCTGGGTCAAGGAACAGAGTCTCTCAGGAATTGTTGGATGGTTTGATTATTGGTTATCGCAACCTGAGAAGGCTTGAACGTTGACGATGAAGGTAGCATCAGGATATAGTACATCATATATCGTTTGAACTAAGATTTAAAATCATCGTAATGTGTTTTATTTGTGCGCTTCGGTCGTGTTTCCTATATATTGGTTATTCGACTGAATGAATACTTCTGACGTGTCATGTCAATTCTTATTCATTATAATCGGTACGATATTTGAGCAGCAGGAGGAGTAGCAGCAGCGATCCGTGAGCGTGCAATTCGGCTAGTGAAGACTGGAACGCCGAGACGCATCTCAAGCAACGCCCATAACCGACACATGATGATGGCAATGTGCGACTTAGAATTGCAACTGACCTAAAAGATAAAGTGTATGAAAAGATTGTTCAAAATCAGGCGCTACCATAGATCCGGGTTTTGCTGTAAAGTGCCCGTTTTGGCCTCGGCCAGTTTCCTCGGGATATACCCGGTGAGTTTTACTACGTTAGGTTAGGAACTAGTCTGCTCTGGCACGGAAATATTGACAAGATGTAAAACGGCAGGATACTTAATGTAGGAAGAATATGGCATGGAATTGACAACATGTATCTTGAATTTCTTGATTGACTACCCGATCCTAATCTTTTCTCACGCTGTCCAAGAACTACACATAGTGAATACACCCAAGTCTCACTTTCTGCATCATGACGCCTCCCCGAGCATTAGATCTCACTGGCGATGTCGCCATAGTAACAGGCAAGCATACATTTCCATCTCAATTCACCTCAATCGCCAGAAGAAAAGCAGAATTTGTAATCTAACTATTTCGTCTACATTCAGGTGCCGGCTCGCGAATGAACGGTGAAATCGGTAACGGTCGAGCGGCTGCGATTTTACTGGCACGCCATGGTGCAAAAGTTGCTTTGCTCGACTACAATGTCGACTGGGCCAAAGAGACCAAGCGCATGATTGATGGAGAGGGCGGTATCTCCGAGGTCATACAAACGGACGTGACGAAGGAGGAATCGTGTAAAGCCGCTGTGAGCAAGACGCTAGAACTTTTCGGTGCGGTGCATATACTAGTGAACATTGGTAAGTTCCAACTTCATGCATGCGAAAAAAGTATGCGCAAATATCTCGGCACAGTGCGTTAATCATGCTTTCGTTGTTGCAGTAGGGGTCGGCGGAGCCATGGGCGATGCCACAGTCGTAAACCTCGACGCATGGGAGCGCGACTTCCGTATCAACGTCACGAGCATGGTCCTCATGAGTCGGTTCGTCATCCCCGAAATGCGGAAGCAAGGGAGAGGATCAATTGTCAACATGTCCTCCGTTAGCGGCTGTAGGTAAAATGCTTCGGCAAAGTTTGCCGCTTATCGGCAGATCTGCAAACAGCTAACGCAATGTAGTATTGGGAGGTAACCCTAGTCTTCTTTACCCTACTACCAAAGGCGCCATCATTCAGATGACCCGGGCTATGGCGGCTCAGCATGGACGAGAGAATATTCGTGTCAATTGCGTTTGTCCTGGAATGGTATACACTCCTATGACGCGTGGGCGCGGCATGACAGACGAGATGAGAGAAGCTCGGATTAACCAAAATCTCATGAAGAAGGAAGGCACGGGCTGGGACGTGGGCTATGGTGCGTTTCTCTCAAGATACCTACGGGATTTCAAAATTTAGGCCAATGGATTGACACATATTTGCAGCTATATTATTCCTCTCAAGCAAGGAAGCAGGATGGATTACGGGATTGATCATGCCTGTTGATGGAGGCGTAAGTCTTCTACAGCTTTGTTTCCTTCCCGGGAGCCGGAAACTAACAAAATTGCGTAGACAACTGCTGGAAAAGCTGACCGACCAGCCCTGAAGCCAGATACGCTAGCTGAGATGAATACGGGCGTGAGCAACTAGGCAAAAAAAAACGCTTGCATGAGTAGTTAGCAGGATTAGATCAATGGCAGCTGGAACTATACTTCAATTCAGATAGTTGTACATGAAGTAACCGGCTCTACAGTACCAAGAACTTCATTACATTGACATAGCATCTCGAGAATCGAGCCACATTTCTGGGAAGCAATCTAAAGCGGCCATGGAACCAAAGTCCATTTCGCCTACTTGTGAGACCATGGAAAAGTCGACTGAAAGTTCCGGGTGCAGATAAGGAAATGCAGGTATATATGAATTTGTGTGCCCCCCAATTGCATCTGCTGACGGGTTCGTAGTGTCTCGACCTTGGTCATTACCAGCATCTAGCGGCTGTTGATGCTGGCCTAATGGTACATGACTCAAACTTCTGATGATGATGTTCAGACTTCTTTCCAGTATCGGACATAGACGCATGCCGGCATTGAGAGCGCGAAGAAACGTTCGCAGCACTGGATGCGCAGCACCTTGATTGCACCTTTGGGCATCTTCCAGCACAGCTGATGCTCCCGTATAGATGCAATATCCCATTAAGTAGGTGATGTTTTCTAACCCGAATGTCGAGTCAAGTAATAGAACTAGCCTCTCGATACCATGGGCCGCTGCGATGCATGTCTCGTAGTGAGCCGGTACAGACCAGAATGGGCGATGGGCTAAAATCACTGTGGTATAGTACAAAAGGTTTTGCGAAACAATGTGTGGTGGTGGCGAGACAGCAGGAATGTAATCTGGCTCATAACGCAGGTGAGCTGGCGACTCCGCTCGCCAGACATCAAGCCGTACTTTGATGTCACGTAGCGCTGACTCTGTGATTTCTCGACTTCTTCGGGAGTAGAGCTGAGAAATTATGTCATTTATGATGATGGAGAGCTTGCATGAGTTTGCAAAACAGGACACTGCACGACTCGTCTGAGGCGCGTATCGACTCTGCGTGAGTTTGGCGATGTCGACAGGATCCCCATAGTAGGGAGACCACGATTCGAGCTCCATAGAATCATCAACTAAATTTGTCAGAAGCTACCAATAATTTCTAGGGGAAGCATTTACTAACGTTGATCGAGTGTGCTATGTGGTAATGATTCAGTAATAGCAGGAAGTCTTCCCGTGTACATGCTAATGGCTCTTCAAGGCCAAAAGTCAGTCACAAAGTATAGCCAATCGTTGACAGAAGAGAATGACGTACTTGTCCCAAAAGTAACAACTCCAGAATAACCGTTTCCGAACTTCAGCATCTACAGGGCCAAACCTTCGAAAGCCAGGGTCGCAGTGCTGTAATCCAAGGTCACTCGCCATCCGAAAAGCTATTCCGCTGTACACCCAGGCTTGCGAAATGGAGCCGTTTGCGAGCTCACGAGCGCTGAGTTGTAGGAGTGCTTGGACTGTTGGTATGGAACTTGGCTGCTGTATGGCTGTTCCTAACAAGCGACGCATGCGGACTTGCAGAAATTCTGCGCAGTCTCCATTTTGGTACTTGGCCGCATGCGCACATATCACAGTAAGTAGTAGTTCGGAGTAATAACGACCTCCGGTCGCCATATCACCTGTGAGACGTATCAGCACGAGATATAGCCAATCAACGGTACAATGAGACGAGAGCCGGGTCGGACTTTGAACCTACGGATAAAGGCTGTGCCAAAAGTCAGTCATATCCGGTAAAGTTTTTTGTAGAAGCAAGCAGACGTACCTGGGCGGTAAACATACATAAACATTGGAGATACCCACGTCCAATGCATGTGCAAGAGCTTGACCATGACCTGGCGTGGGATACCCGTCTGGAGTGAAGCGTTTCCGATTGCAAAGTCTTCCCATATCTTGGACTCCTGGTAGTGAGCCGTGAGCTTTGAACCGATTTCAGTTGTTGAGAGTGTTCCAGGAGGTGTTGAGCAGGCCTGCGATGTCTGAGATGGCAACTGGAGTTGTGGAGGATCGTGGATGGCCGATGTGGGACCATAATACTGTATATCGCCGTTTTCATCAAGACTCAGATTCAGCAAGTGGTCTTTGGATGTGCTTGGACATGACATTTGGAGGTTAGTAGGGCGATGGTTGGGCTTGAAAGCGGGCGGCTCTTCAGCAGGTGCAACATCTGGAGATGCGATGGCAGCTGCTAGCGGACCTGTTGGAGTGGAGGCTGTCTGAGGAGAGACATCGCTCTGTGAAGAAGCGCTATGCTGGGCACGAAGGCTTCCGATGGTTTCTTCAGCCTCTTGCAAGCGTTGAGCCATGGCTACGATCTGCGACATGGGCGGCGTCTTATCGTATCTACATTCGTCGCCGTAGATATCGCATGTCTTGCAGCGTGGCTGACCACCTCCACATCGCATCTACGAGGAATTTATTCAGATTGGGTCAGGCAATGATGGAACATAAGCTACCTTTCGAATCCTGCAGTTAGCGCAGGTCAGTCCCCTGTAATGACGGGCATCATTCTTCGATCTGGAGCCCTTCTGTCTCGTGTATCTGGCCTGGGACGGCCGCTGGGTAGAGGTATCATCCACGGGCGATTGCATGGTGGAAGAGAGGACTGGTCGTCACATCATGGCCACGTCCGAAGAAGCCTCCGATGCAAGTGGACGGACGAGCCTGGGCACAACGGGTAGAAGGTGGGTCAATCGCGGGGAAGACAAGGCTTGCTTCGGCGTCACTACCACGATCAAGTGAGGCCGCGGCATGGCATGCAGATCGGATGATGGATCCATCGTACGCAGTATTACCGGCAGCTGCCGGCCAAAATCCGCGGCCAAAATCCGAGCACTAGTACGGAACACGCTGCTCTCGCGCCAATCACTTGGAATTAGGCTTCAGGATATCTCAATAAACTTTAAGACCAGATGACTACGTAGACTAAGAACGTACATACCAGCCCATTTCCGGCATGGTCTGCTCATCAAATATGTGTCTATGTACGTCGGCAACTAGTTTCGCTTCTGTCACCTCGCCTTCCTACTTCATCTACCTGTATTTCTGCCTATACGCACATCACACCTCCATTTGTTTTCTTCTCGTACCCTCCCTTGTGTTTTCTAACCGCCAACCATGTCATTAAGCCCTGTACGACCGTGCAAGCATGCCAACGTCGGTCACGTTCGCAATGCCCAAAAATGCAGTATATGCTTTCTCGGCCCTGGCATCTCCGATCCTCTTTGCAACCTGCTCAAGGAACTTGGTGCGAAGGAATTCTACACTCAGTGGGTTCTCATAGCTACCAAGGCCATGCTCGACGTGCAAGTCTATCTTTTTGCCGCCTGAAAACTCAACCGTGACATACGCCTCGTGTTCTTCAACCGCTTCATCGCTCGTCACCGCCACCTTCTCCCGCAGTGCGATCACAGTCCTGTTTTGTACCATCTCATCAGTGAATTGTGTCGGGGTAGCTTCGCCACTGAGAAGTGCCACGGCTGCCGCGTGGTACACACTGAATTTTCCCGCCAGGCCCGTTGTTGGTGTCTTGTTGTCCGTTAAAAACAAGACACGCGGAGCTGTACGTGCAGTCACGTTTGTGATTTCTCCTAGGTTTAAGCCTTGCTTGAGGGCTTGCTCTCGCAATTGTATCCAGCCGTCAATTGCAGGGTGGATGATTCGGTCGCAGGGGAATGGCTTGAACGTGTTGAGCAGTAACTCCCAGCGCTGACCAAGAGTATTCACCTCAGCGGTCAGGTTTTCCCGCGTGCTGATAACATGCGACCAGCCTCTGGGTGCTTCTAGACTTCTGAGGGATCCACTGAAACCTTTTTCTGCTAGCACTGCTGCCATGAGTCCATTCTGCGCTGCACGTCCTACATGAAATGGTTTGGTGTCGGTTCCAAAAGATTCGTGCATACCAGTAACCTGAACCGACGCAATCGATATGGCCTGTTGAAGCTGAGTGAGTTCCAAGCCGAGTATTTTCCCAACAGCAACTGCAGCTCCTACTGATCCTACAGTGCTTGTGATGTCTAGGCTAAAGGTCAGTCTCTGGTGACAAAAACAGGACGATCAGGAAAACTTACGCCATCCTACATTATAGTGTTCTGGGAAAACCGAGACGCCAATTTTGCATTCAGCTTCTACGCCAGCGATGAAGGCCGTCACAAAGTCCTTTCCTGATACCGGAGCTTTCCATTCGGCCGCAGCAAGCAGGGCTGACAGCACAGGCCCCGAAGGATGTATTGGATTGTCCCGGTGTGTATCGTCGTAATCATCTGCGTGAGATGCTATCCCATTGATGAGTGCTGCTGTCTGGGCATCGACAAGTGTGTCCGTGGCCAAGATAGTAGAGTTTCCCTGGCTACTCAGAAAAGGTGTCACAGCTTCGAAAGCAACACCGGCGGCTGGTTGAGAGTACCCACCAATGGCACACCCAGCCCAGTTGTAGATACTTTTGACGGAGATATCAAGAACAGGATCTGGGATATGAGCAAATTGAAGGGCCAATGCCCAAGAGGCGATTGTTTTCGTGGCCATCTTTGCGTTTGAAACTGTGAATACGTAGGGTAGGCAAAGCGCAGTTGATCTTATATCCAAACCCAAACATGACTGCAGTTAGCTTTCAAGACCCATGTAAGAATGATATTGTGTCCGTGCATGTCAAGGAAAGAGGCCGATACGAAGCGTCATCCGACCCCGTTAGATTGATTTACGATGTCCTTCCTCATCACAGCAAGTTATTTTCTGGGGATCGCCATACCAAATGGCTACATTGATTATGATATGCTTACTGTTCAAAGCTCGAGTATGCTCCGTGGGAAAACTCCACGGAAGACTTCCACTTGACTGGGGCGGGGAAACATGGGTTTTCCGAGTTTATGCATTTCTCACCTGGAAATAGAGCCATCCTTGCTCACTCTATTTCTTGGAAGTCAAGTGTAATAATTCCATATTTATTTTCACATGCAAGCCACAGGCGTTGCGAAATGATTTTGATGATATCCATCTACAGCGTAACAATAGGAGATCTAGAAAATGCCCAGATATAAACATAGTAGACTTTCGCAAATGCCAATAGACTGCTTCCCAGGCTTGTTGAGTATAACCATCTATGCTTGGGAAGGCCAGACGACGGTCTAAGCTTTTAGTGCCAGCACCAAAATACATACCAGAGCTGCGACAGAACGAAGCCTCGTACTACGGACATCCTAGCTCGGGCATTTCTTTAACAAACAAAGAGTATTACCGAGCCCAATGTATGCGGGGTATTTGCGGGGTATAGGACCGATCGTAGGTACGCTGAGGGAAACCGCCGCGGACAATGCCCGGGGGCAATCAAACCATCTGACTCTCGAAGTAGTGTAGACGATCGACACAGCTTTGATCTTGCGTTGATTTCTCTTTGTTAAAATAAATTCTGATGGTTCTGCAATATTTGAATATTTAACGCAAGCTGAGCCCGTGTATTCGCTCGGCGGTCTTTTTCGATTGACCTGCCACGTCCCGCCGTATCAGCAACATGGGTGTCCATCACCTTTTGACTGGTTCTTACACCAACACAAGCCTATATCTTCTTGCTTTCGACACTGTTGCCAAAACATTGACACTCAACTCTACAGTTCCTGGTTTTGGTCTACATCAATACATCACATCCAATGCAGCCCGGGATGTGATATATGCTACAACAATGAGCGAGCCGCCCAGAATATTCTCGTGGTCAAGAACGGTCAACAATGAAATTACTCACATCAATACCGCCAACGTCAGTAAGTTTTGACTGCACGAGATGACTCTTTTCCAAATGAAGCTAAACTAAATAGCTACATCTTCGTGCTATATTTCCGATAATGGAAACTTTACCTTCTCTGCTGGTGGCTCCGGCGCCAGAGTCAACGCGATTGATGAAGATGGTGGCATTGGAAAAGTGGTCAGCGAAATGTTCTATGTTCCTCAACAAGAAATCCCACGGGTTGACAAAACCCGTAGTGCTGTCGTGAGTAATACTGTCTAACTCAAGCAAACTAGTGTTGGTTGACATGGAAAAACAAGCTTTATGGCGGACATGGATTCGATGTCAATGTCAATGGCAAGGGCTTTGTACCGCATCTGTAAGTCACAAGCCCTACACTTCCCAATCTGCCTTTACTGACATGGTCAAGTGCCTGGGATGCGATCTTCATGTATGACATCCTGAGCAATGGAACAGCCAAACTCCTTTCAATCAACCTGAGCCCGGAGGTCGGCGACGGCCCACGAAATGTGTACCCGAGCAGCGATGGAAAGTGGTTATATGTAGTAAGTGGGCCGAAAGCACAAAGTGTAGTGTCTTAGACTAACGAGGCAAAAGATCAACGAGCACTGTGAGTATCTTATCTAATCACCGTAGAATGATTTGCGCGTCCAAACTAACCTGCGCCTCGCAGCCCAATACCTTGATATTTATAAGGTTGGAGAAACTAACCTGAAGCACACTCAACGTGCAAGCGCCATACCTGAAAGTATGTCATATATTCTAGTTAGATCGCGATGTTGCACACTAATACGGGGTACTTTAGAAGTCCGAGGCAAGTACACATACCGCAGCAACGCAGTCCGCCTTTCCCGCAACGGCAAAACCATCTTCACCAGCACGCGCGGATGGAACAACACCGCCGCCAAAGGCTGGGTTGCAGCTTTTGCGCTCGACGATAACGGCAAGCTCGCGTCAACTGATGCCTTGACATACTATGAGGCGCCACTTACACTCGGTTCTGCTGCGGGGCTTCGCGTAGCCTTTTGGGAGGACGAAACGAATGCCGACCCAACCGGCCTTACTGACTACATGTATTTGTCCGATACACAAGATGGTTACATGTATATCCTTGGATGGTCGCCTCGTACCCGCAATTTGACACAGGTAGCTGCTTTGCACTATCCTGATAATGCAGCGCCTTATGAGGCTGTGTGGCTTGACTAGAAGTGGTAAAAGCAGTAGTTAAGTTTTACTATAGTATGGTATTTTATGGCTTAGTTATACCAATGACATAGGGTGTAGAACAAGAGCCTATAATCGATTGTTTAGATAACAGGCTCTGGGTATACTGAACTTTTCTAAGATATTGTACTTGCTTGTAAGAATAGAGTAGAAGCATGAAGAACCATCTCAGAATTAAATAGACCTATCTATTGCTGGAATTCTAGATCTCAACCCCCTTTCATGTAAAACTGATGGCATCCTTCCCATGTCTTGCTCATGAACAGTTGTCCATATCAGCGTTCGCGTAATCTTCATTGTCTATGAAGTCGATGTGTTGTAGAGCACCTTTGAGCCGGATAACATCTCGCCCACAATCGATGTATATCGCCGCGCACAAGGCCATCATGGACTGTGTTACCATCTTGATTGATGGTGGTGTTCCTTGCTGACTCAGGTTTGTACTGATACATTCGCTGAGATTTATCCGATTTGCGCATGTCAAAGCTCTTTGCGTAACACTTTGCGAATCAAAGCTAACTTTCGCTAACGGAAAATCAGATCTTGACGGTGCCACACTTGGACTTCCTACCTCGCTGATGCCCTTTGGTGTACCCTTCATCAGCAATAACCAGATGAATGACGCTTTCTCCAAGCTGGCTTAGCCGTCTATATCCATCTGGATCTTGGAAATTGTTCGGCGTATTGCACCCAGCGCCTGGTGCTCGAAGCGCCTCGACGAGAAGTCTTATGTTCGCGAAATGATAGTCCAAATCGTTTTGAAGGGAAGTTATATATTCCGGGGTCCCAGCTGCCATGCTGTTTAAGACTACTCACTACGGAAAACTACAGTAACGAAGTGATAAGTAAAATGAGTGAGACAAGTTGACAAAGACTGAGGCGAAAAAGAATGTGGCATGAGTTCGTAGTGCTTTTGCTTCTCATGGGGTTGCTTTTTCTGCACTCACACGTCAGACACATTGCTTTTCTTTTCATGCAATTTTTCCCCTCACTTTTGTATCCATTACACATGAAAAGGGTCTGAGTGACGCTATTCTTAACTCCTAATCGTGCTTGTCACTCGAATTGATGATGATGCGCTTATCGCATGCAGATTAACGAGTGCATGCTTATCTCCCCACAGATCAGCGAATACATGTGTATCTCATTCCTTCTGTCAATTAATGCTTGCTTATCTCTCCTCCAGATTAGCGATTACGTGCGATCGGTGAGCGAGCTCTTATCCGTATCTCTACATGAATTCTGCGTTCAACTACGAGGATTGTCTATACTCTACAACGGGCTCGATGAGATTGTGATCCAGAGTGCTTTCGAGTTATCTGTATAGTTCTCCGTATTCTCTATAGGGACAGCCTCATCTAAGAGATGCCCCAACATATAAAACCTAAACGCATTCCATTCATGCTCAATGGATGTATCACTACTGCAATGGAGAATCTTCACTTAAATGTCTTAATGGCCGCACCTGTGCGGAAGCGTCATGCTCTTCTATTGGCTGACAACAATAGTGAGAATTCAACCACGACTGATTACTTGACCAACTCTCCACTATTTACAACTCAAGCTCTAGCCCGAGATGTGCCAGCCACACCGCAGATGAGACCATCCCAGTGTGGACTGTTAGCAGATCTGTCCTTGGAACGTCATGATAGTTTAGACACAGCATCTCTCTGCCAAGAAGATGCGGACAGACGACTATTCTTCAACGTCACAACTCCTTCAAGCATCTTCATTTGCGGCTCGCAGGGTTCAGGAAAGAGCCATACGTTATCTTGTTTGCTGGAGAACTGTTTGGCAGACTCGGATGCGGCAATACTACCAAGGCCTCTTTCAGCATTATTGTTTCATTACGACACCTTCATATCTGATGATGGCGGATCACCTTGCGAGGCAGCATACCTAGCGTCGTTATCTGGAGTTCAGGTGAGGGTTGTGTGTGCTCCAACCAACATACGCACGATCCAGGTCAGTCCAGTTCTGTACCTACTACAGGGTCATAACATTAACAGAAGTGAAAGAAAACGTATCGGCACCTGAGTGTCAATGTAGAACCACTCCAAATCGATAGCTGTGATCTCAACACAAAACGCATCTTAGATCTTATGGCCGTCAAACCAGAGGAAGGGAGTATTCCTCTCTATGTCCACACAGTCAGTCGCATACTGAGAGAAATGCGTATGTCTCAACAAGCGACTGGCGCATCATTCGACTATCAGACATTCAAAACAGCGATTTTGGCGGCGGACCTTTCACCAGCTCAACTTGCACCTCTTAACCAGCGCCTCGCGATGCTTGAGAGCTTCATGCCACCTGTGGGAGACATGAGAAAGGGGGGAAATCAGAAAAGCCACAAAGGTACAATGTGGACAAATCAGGTAAGAGAGCCATGCATCGTATTATATAATAGAATTGACGAAGACATAGCCTGGCTTACTGACAATAGTCGATCTCTCCTGCCCTTGTGTTTCGCCAGAGACTGCTTGCTCGTTGTTCAACATCTGCTTAAGTTTGTTTCTTGAACAGGAAATAGTCTGCGGTCGTGTTGTTGCTCTTGATGAGGCTCACAAGGTTAGTACGAAAGCTACAGGGAGCTTCATGACTCAGGAAACTGACCATGATACAGTACATGACCAGCTCTCCAGAATCCTCGGTACTCACAAATTCACTCTTATCAACCGTGAGGCTTCAAAGACATCTTGGAGTACGGATATTTGTATCTACTCAAGAGCCGACGATAGCACCAGCCTTTTTGGACCTTTGTACCGTGACTATCATACATCGGTTTTCCTCGCCTGCTTGGCTGCATGCCCTCGATGCTCACATTGCACTCATGCAACGACACGAATCTGATTGGACCGCTCAGCGCGACAACCATTCCAGTAGTCGGAAAGAAAACGCGAGAGAAATCTTCAAAAAGATCATCCAGCTCAAACCTGGAGAAGCACTCGTGTTTGCGCCTAGCGCGATGACGGCCATAGGTAATCTGGATGGTTCCTCCGTGGATGGCTCGACGAAATTTTACATACAGGTTAGGATCAGATCGAGGCTATCAGATGACGGCGGAAGTAGCGTACTTGCCGGTTAATTACGGGTGGTCATATCCTTAGCTCATACGTCACGAGTGATAGATGGGTGCCAACGATCACTTTATTGCTTTCATCACGTGTAAAGACGTCAAGAAGTATCACCATGATCTATGAAGGGTCTCCGCAACGTATTTCACAGAATCAGAATACTTTATTCCATCGATGCAGCGTTTGTGTAGTTGTAGCATTCGTGAGCACCATCCGTATCTAAGTCGGATCTGATTTCCCCGCAATCGCTAACTTGTCTAGCAGCACAGCCAGCCCGCTACAAGAAGCTATTAGTCTAACTAGATACGTAGGAAAGCTACAGAGGATCCTCTGTTCTCCACTTACATTTTGGTGCATCGGCAGGGCAGCAAGCCTTGCAATCACGATCTGGGGGCGGAATATTAATAGGTGAAGGAGCACCTAGGCATACGTCTATCAAGGCTAGACCGGTAGCTCCGGTGGCGAATGTGTTGAAAGAAGCATTTGTGACACCAATGGAAACCGCAAAGGTGGCGAGCACGCGGGAGAGCTGCATTTTAGTTGTAGGAGATTGGAGTTGCTTTGGGAAACTTCTGGTTGAAATGGATGAAGTGTGGAATAAGAGAAAGTGTAAAATGGAGCGGCCTACGTTATTATATCTTGTTCTCATATGTCTTCAGTATGCTCTGATCTAGAGGCCTTGCCGTTCACCGCAACATTCGATCACCGGCGCCTCGTCGGCTCCGAGCCGCATGTATATAATCTCCGCATACGATCGTGATAAACTGATACTAGAGGGGTTATGTCATACGCCACTACTCTTTGAAGATGTGCCACAATGACTTATGTGCGTGGGGAAATGCCTGGATATTATTACTGGCTTGCAACAAGGTGACACTTCTGGTTTAAGCCCTGACCGGATAGCCGACTAACCTTTGGTTCGTCAAAGTGTATTGTTGCAGTCTGTGCAAGTTGTCGCAACTTATGCAGGGATGCAACGGCAGCCAAGTTACAACAAAATGTTAAGGCCGTCTCCTTGGATAGTGTTGAATGTGGTTTTCGCGGATAAGTATCGGCATACAGAGTGCGGTAGCAAGGAGTAGATGACTACCAATTCAAAGATTGAACATAAGACTGTATGAAACCATCAGAAGCTTTGACTGACTATCGATTAGAAAGGCAATGTCGCAGCCACGACAAAGATGCGGGCTATCACGTATCTAATATAAACCATGTCAGCACCAGAAATAACTAGCAAATACATTGCTCTCAGCAACATGCTACAACATGTTGCAGGTACTAGTAAGGACAAAATTCCTTAATGTCCATCCAAGCGTGCTAGGGCGCACGTTGTGACATGAAACTTTCCCCTCTAAACCTTGCGCATTGTACAAACCACAGTGCGCGCTAATTAGTCGTACAAATCCCAGATGCGTAGTCGCTATCAGAGTCGTTCAAAAAGATTGTCAGCGACTAAGTCGGACATTACTATTTCCGTACAGGGTAAAATTTTTGTGCAGTGGAGACGCTAAAATGATGATCAGGCTCTTCTTCGGATCACTGTTCGTAATAATCACGACTTTATGTAGTATAGCTCCTACTTCTACTGTGCTCAGAGTGTTATCGTTAGGCTATACCGTAATTGTGTTGAGCACTGACTCAGCTGATATGCGTCACAGAGGGACAGACGTGAGCAGTGGAGTAACACTGATCAGAAAGAAAACTCTAACTAGTCGTGGTCAGGAGGATGGCCGATACAAAGACAGTGGCGCTGTGTCGCTTCTCGGTAGTTATGCAGAGTGAAGTCATCCACCAATCAGAACACGGACAGCACATTTAGATCGGTCAAAATTCACCGACCTACTCCGCCGCTATTAAACGGACACCATGTAAGGTGTCGTAGTCAATTACGAAGTGGCAACACTTGCCTCATATCTACTCAGAATCGCCTTGTAGTCAATATACCATTCCTCCAGCCACCCCGTCGCATCAATCATGCGGGTTGTGTAGCAGCTCAGCGTCGGATCAAGAACCTTCATGGGCGCCACTAGGTTCCGCAGTTTAAGGCCGCATTCTTCGATACGGAAGCAGTCCTTCGGCAAGCATTGGCCATATGTGTTTTCTGGATCGTTGGCGGCTACCAGGGTAGTGACGAGCACAAACAGAGCATGCAAGACGGCCGGCGCAAAGCAAAATGAAGGCAGGCCGATAACCATGGCAGGGTCCATTTCCACTGCCGTTTCTATTACGCCATGGCAGTTTTGCACAAGAGTTTGCAGCGCTTCCCGGAGCGGATGGATGATCATGGCAGGCTTCGGAAAGTCCTTGACTGGAATACGTCCGGGGATAAACGGGGACGCAAAGGATGCCTTGTTGGTGGGAGTGTGAAGCACAAGCTCATACAGGTGTATCATGGACACGTGCCAGTATACTCTGAGTATCTTGGAATGTGCTAGACTTGGTGGAATCTGAGCTACCCATACGTCAAGTTTAAGCTTGAGCGCATCAATGACTGCATAGACGTTGTAGTCGTTTCCATCCACAAAGGTAGATATCTGGCAGAGGCACAAGTGATTGGAGATTTCCTGGTCCAGCTGAGTGATACGGGCAATCTGACAAAACAGTAAGTCAGATGCATCGCCGTTGCTCTCCAGGTACCCGACACATTCATCCAAGTAAGCATCCCAAGGAACAGGACTAGGTCGACGGGTGCTCATGGACGAAGTTGAGGTTGCAATGTAGCATGCTATCCAGGTACGACGTGCCTCGAGTGATGTCGTGTCCTGGAGTCTGCAAAAGAATGCCGGAGGCGTCGGCTGCAGTGAGCCTCCAGCAATTCCGAGATCAATAGCCATGTCAGTGGCTAGTTGGAGGATCTGATAACAGCTTCCTTGTTGGCCATTGCGCGTGCTCTTGGTGTAGAAAGCAGGTAGCAGCAGAGCTTGGACGAGCTCAAGAGACCGCTGCCCTCGGGCAATCACCTCATCGCCAAGTATGCGCATGGCTTCTCGAACTAGCTCATCATGAAGGTCCGCATCAACACCCTGGGCTTCCTGCGTGATAGTGAAGACTAGCGCAGCCACCAGCAGGACAGGAGATTTTGCTCGGTGGAACTCGAGATTGGTAGTCAGACGGATGGCCGGCCACGCAGTCTCGGCCTGGACTGCATAGTGGTGGAGCAGCTGTTGCTGCTTGTAGAGCGGGATGCGTGCATCCAGGAATGACAAGATGGCGTCGTGGTGGCTTTCGGGGAGGCTTGCGGGCGAACGGCTTAGCGTTGACAGACTACCCGACGAACAGCTCGGGGGAGTGGAGATGTTTTGATGGGACTGTCTCTGCAGCGCGTTCTGGAGTTCCTGGATCTGGGCTTCGAGCTCACTAATGCGGTCGCGTTGTAGGCGTGGTGCTGCCGGTACACACTCAAGATTGTTGCGATGGCACCGCTCGCAAATGCCTGGTTGTGGGGAGGTGCTCACGTCGCATTTGATTTTGAGACGGTGACATTCTTCACAGGCGCGATAGCGTTTTCGCATGGTGCTACTAAAAGCCCGGGCTATGGTGAGGTTTGACTTCACTTCTTTTGCGGTTCTTAAGTCTATGACAACTTGATTTGATGCAAGCAGTCATTCTGGGAGGCCTAGGGCTGGACTGTGGCTGTGTTGGCCCGTGGCACCCCCGCCCTGGTGAAGCTCGCCACCTCGCATATGTACACGCTAGTCTAACTTTACTCTTCCTACATAGCCCCGAGCTCAATAGACTATCATCGAATAACAGTAACAATAATCTAGAAAACGCATTGAAGAATGCAAAGAGGGACCTGGTCACGATTAGCATGGGACGCCGAGTCACGTGGTTGCAATCATGCCAAGACTGACGTTAGGCGCTAGCAGCACATGAGTGATGGTAGCCATCAGAGACATCAGGCTTAGAACGCAGACGCACTAATGGCAGTGATCAGAGGACCTGAAATGATGGGCATAACGAATGAGCGGATTTCATTGTTAACAATGAAATCCGTCCATCATTTGTACCCATTGCTTTCCAGTCCTGTCCTCCCTCGCCCCAGTATCCTCCCAGAGGCCCAGTCTTGAGTGGGATGCGAGTTACATGATCCTCGCTCGTCGTTGATCACCATCTTTCTGACGTGAACCCGAGTGGTTGGGAGACGACTCGTCTACGGTCAAGGGTGGGAGACCCTTTTCCTCTTGTTTGTAACACAGAAAGCAGATGGGCAAATTATTCACTTGGTTCAACAGCAGTTAGACGTTGAAATTATACTTTATCTATCTAACTCTTTCCATAATTGAACCTCAACAGTCGATGTTCTATTCCATCCGGGTCAGTATTGAAAATCTTGAGAGTTATTGTAATAAGTCTACATACGCAGCAGGCTTGTTTCTTAAAGATATACTGATCAACGTCGCAGAAGGTTGTGCAATACCTCAAATCGGTCCTGTAAATACCGCAGTACCAGAGAATTTGTTCGTTGCCGTACGCCTCACGCTTCAACACTATTAGCAAGGATTAGTCTGATATTGGCGCATGTTGTGCTGGTGCACAGTGACACTATTGTAACTTCATATCTTCGTCTCAAGAATTAAGACTTACAATGCTGCATCTAGATTCTGCCTGAATACTAGTGATCCATGCTAGCAAAGCGAAAAACGTAATAGAGGAAGATCTCATCTTTTGCGGATCGTCTGTAATGTTGGAAATATAATTGAGTGTTTACTGTGTAGTGGATGATTATTGAAGGGACGTCTCTTGTTTATATAGTTCTCCTCAGCCTACTGAAGAAAACACTGATGTAGAACATCAGCCCAGCTCTGTGTTAGATATGATTGCTAGTGCTACGGAAGGTGACGGAACATGTTTGTATCTTGCGAGCGAATATCAAGAGTTAAACCCCTCTTCTATGGTATTTTTTCATTCCACGAGTTCCGAAGAGGGAAAATCATTGAGCACATGTATCAAGGATGTTCGCCACTCGTGTAAGCAGAGGGGCCCTGCTTAGTGTAGGCTCTAACTAAATATATATTATTTTACGTTAGTAAGGTGAAAGAAAAAGAGAGAGAAAGAAAGGACGCCTCGCCATATCTTCTTTTACCTTTCTTTCCATAACTTTCTCTCTCTCTCTTTACTCTTTCTTTATCTCTTTTGTGCTCAATTTTATCTCCTAAAACAAAAGTAAAAAGAGAAGAGCGACGAAAGAAAGAAATAAATGAAAATAACAAGAAGAAGATCTGGAATACAGTGCTAGATACAATGTTACAGATAGCGTCTCACTAATATGGACCCCTGTCTTTGTGGGGTGATGGATATCTTTTACACGGGTACCTAACAGCCATCGCCCTTCCGCAGCTGTCCCAGCAATCTTACCGCATACGCAACGCTCCGTGTTCCAAAGAAGAATGCTCTAGCAATAGAAAAGCTGATTCACGTTGTGGTGTGACGGAGTGATCAAGGGGCATATAGAGAAAAGGCCCGAAAAGGTATCCAAACATGGATATAATGTAAAGTACGCAGAGAGGGCACAACAACAACTATAGATACTACTACTAAACCACAAGTTCGAAAATCATTTAAACTTGGAAGATAGACTTATATCATGCATCGAGCACCCGCGCAGATGAACGTGGAGAATGCCCCCCCCCCCCCCCCATAACAGCGTCATAGCGTGAGCTACCCGACAAGATGAAGTTTCATATTCAGTCTAGTCGCTACTTCAGATAAATCATTCAAACTATTTATACATACAAATAGGGCGAATTCTATTCCCAGAATAGGCCGTGTGTTCCTGACCAAAACGGCCCCGATGTTCCGTGGATTTCAGGATTAAGAAAAACACGGGGAATGTGAGATTTTGGTGCATTTTCTTTCTCGGGCTTTGGTGTCCGGTCCTATCTCTCTGATTTGTTTGAACTCCATCGTACGGCGCGAAGCGTGTTATTTATAGGGGGTCGAGCTATGATGTCATGCAATGTGGGATGCACAGGACGGGGATGTGTAGGGATTAGTGTAAGGGATTGTAACTCGGTCGTATCAGAAGGTTAACACTTCTTTCTTACGATTTTTTTTCGCTTACTGTGTATACTCCTTGATGAATATTGGTGAAATAGGTTCGACCATCTGAAATATATTCTTAATAGCATACAAGTCTATAACAGAAAGTCACAATCTCTTTTCGGAAAATTTCAAAAGAAGAGGCTTTCAACGGCTATCAATTGATACAGTGTAGGAAGGACGTTTGTAGCATAGAAAACAGAGTAATACAGCATTTTGTTACTTCGCAGGGGACCCCCTGCATGTTCTCGTCATAGATAAACGACAAGCAGTATTCTCAACCCTGTAACATCTCATAATATCTCGTTCCAGTCTTCAGCCAGCTCGATCAAGCTCAACGCGACGCTCTGCACAATAATCATAATGGCACTGCAACGAACATTTCAAGAGACTTTTCGTAGAGGTAGGCTAGATATTGCTATGTTATCCTAATACAATGAATCTTCCAGAGCAGTCCGCACGTTCGCAGCAGCATACGACATGCTAGAGTCAACTTCGTGGCCGTGCCTTCGTGGTGACGATTCAACGTTGTTCTCTACTTTCACATGGTATGCGCCTCTTCATCACCAGTCCATTTAAGTAACAGGCTCTCTACGTCCTCATCTCCATTCTTACCATTCGACTCTTCCGCTGTTGGATAATGGATTCATTGACTGACTATAGTGTTGAAGGAGCGCGAGTATATAAGTGAAGTATTTGGTGGCTAGGCCCAGCCACCCGGAAACACAACCGTCACCAAGACTTCAATTTCAACCTTCAACTTTCAACATCCGCAGACTTAGGATTCGGCTTTCCTTTATGCGTCTTCAATCTGGTGAAGAAACTTGTAGCATCCGATTTTGTGTTACTTTTGATTTACGATTCCTTATTATCCAAAGTATCAACAGGAAGGATTGTTGCTTCAGATGGAGCTTGTGGGAGAGAGTTGTTTCGATGCGGATGCGGAGGTCCAGGCGGAGGTGCGTGCTGAGAGGACTCGGGCATAGGCCACATGTGCATGGTCACATTCCAACCTGGTTGCACTAGGGACTGCCAGACCTGTGGAAGTATGACTTGGCCATCGGGCCCGACAAGATCGTAATGGCCTTCCTGGACATGAGGCCCAATTACATCGACATGGAGGAAGGCTTGCTTGATGAGTTCTTCCATACTCTATAATGGTGGATTAGTTGCGGTGGAACGAGTACATGTATGAGGGGTGTGTTGTGTTAGCTTACCTTCCATGACTTGACTAGATGATATGGAAAAGTGAATTTCCTTCCCACAGCATCTTTGAAGCTGATTGGTTCCTTCGACTCACTTGGAACAGTCTTTTTCTCACTGAAGAGCGTCTCGATGTCAACAGCCCCTTCTCTCCTTTCCGCTGAAGATGTAATCCAAACCAAAGTCACAATCTCGAGCTGACCAAAGACGGTAGGTATGCTCTCTTTGTGCCACTCATCTATATGTAGCAGCTTAGCGTCTCTGGAATGAACATGGGCGAGGATGAGATGCCGTTGGTAGCTGTTGAGGGTGTGTAAAGTTTTCAATGGACTACGGTTTTGTGCCTCTTGCTTCTGCAGAAGTGTGCGGATCTCTGTTTCCAGCAAAGTGAGCTCTACGATGCTTAGTGAAGCACCAAAGCCGGAGCTTAGGCCAGGAAGTACGGTGAATGTCCATGCTTGTAGAAATCCATGAATATCATTCGCTTTGATACTAGGAGAGCTTGGTTTCGGTTTTTCAACATTGATGGCCTCGCTTTTTGGGGAGGTTGCTTCTTCTGGTGGTCCCTGTTGGTGTTGCGTACTCTTGTCTAGTAGACTGTGATCCTCTGCAACAAGCCGTTCTGCCTCTTTTTCACTCCCATCCTCGATATCCTCCTGGGCGTTTTCGAACTTCGGTGTTGCAGATCGGTCAGCCTCTGTCTTGATTAAACATTCGCTATTCCCAGATGATACATTGGCCATGGGAGCTTCCGTCAGCAGACTGCCGGAAACCGGAGAGTGTTTCGTCCAAGATAGATTAGGTGCTCCCGAGGCTAGCCGGTCTAGAGGAGCCAAATTAGTGTCCGCAGCTGGTAGCTGATTTGGTTTCCTTTGCTCTAGCATTGCTCCATTTGATGTGACTTGCTCTGCCCTTACAGTGGTTCCCGCATGTTTCTCGTCATTCCTATCCTTGTGGCCATCGACATTGCCTTCCAACTCCTTCTTACGCCCACCATTTCTAAAGCCGATCTTTTGAAATAATCTCTTGACTCCATTCTCTTTTTCTTTCTCAGATTTGTTGTCTGAAGTACGTGCCTTCAGAGTTCCCGCCCTCTGCTGCCTCGGAATCATTGCCTTCATCTCTGTCTGCTCCTGTTCGTAAGCCCGTCTGCCAGAACTTTACTTTTACGCGATTGCTAAATTGGTTACTGCCGCCACCAACAGGAGATTGGTCTTCGAGTCTCGAAGATGGTGATGCAAGTCATTAAATGGTGACTGCAAGGAGGGCCATTTAGCCTTTTCAGGACGAGAAAGCTTGATCTTAGAGTTGGGTGGTGGTGTTATTCCTTTGACTGTTCTGATCGCTCGTTCAAGGTACTTCTTAACCCGGTTGAAGATATACTGGCGGTGGTACAGAGCCGAAGAGATGTCTGAAAACGCGTTGGAGTTGAAAATGGAAGTGTGAGTGTTATCAGACGGGGATCGAGGCGTTATGAGATCCCGCAGTTGGTTTCCGTATAGCGGTGTGAACACCACTGAACGAGGCTGTGACCTAGAGATGGTTTGGCAGACCCTGCAATGCTTAACGGATCTGTCATGGGGCAGGGCGAGATCAGTCAATCAAGGGCCCCTCCGCAAACAATAGCGAGATTAAATGTTAAAAAAATACTTTGCAGCCATCAAGAACGCTGAACTGGAAGCTAGAAAGAGCAATGGATAGGTGCATTTGATTGTTACTGTACTGGTACATTCGCTGGCAATTGAACACTACCCCTGTAAGGCGCTAGTACCATGCGACAAGTACGTGTACAAAGCTGACCGGAGAACAGGAAACCGACTGTACACGCTACTGTACCCACAACTATGTTTTGTTTTATGTCAGCAATGTATCCCTATTTTTCATCTTCCTGATGTTTTTCTTAGACATTGCGTCATCATCAATCCGACTAAAATGCGAACTTTCAATGCCGCGTTACCAGATAGAGCGACAGAATGCGAGACATGTCCACTGCCTGTCATTCGCCAAAACAACGTGGGGCCATCCTTCACAACATCTCAATTCCCATGCTATAAAGGTGCATAGAGATCCCAAGGTCTGACTTTCTCTTGCATGTTAGCACTGCAGGGAGTTTAGCATTAAACAAATAAACACCACTCGCACCCCACCAAGCTCCACCCCCGCAACCCTCCATCCGGAGCTTGTTCGAAACAAGCAACGCGGCCCATCCATCCCCTTCCCCACTGCTGACCTGGGGGAACCACTCCATCACCACTCTGTGGCCCGCCTTGAAACCACCCCCGGAATCTTACTTGCTTGCGGGCGCCTGGGCTGACGCAAGGAAAACACACCATGTCATACCACCCTCTCTAAACACACCTCACCTTTATACCCGTGGGACTCCCTCTCCGTCACATCCGCACGCGACACACCCCCTCTACCCACAATGAAGCTCAAAGCCACCCTACGCGCCCGCATGCCAGGGATCCACTGGAGTCCACACGACCTCGCATCTTCAGAACCCTCGTCATCAACTTCAAAACCCAAATCGCGAATGCCTTTTTCACTAAAGTCATCCGCTCCCGATCCCGCAACTACTCCCCGCCCCCGCAAATCCAGGCTGGGTTCGACAGCGACCTTCGAACCCAACGTCGAACTCGATGCGCGCACACTGGCACAGGCTCGATCGCTATTCTTCACCCGTCTACCAATTGAACTACGGAGAATGGTGTACGAGTTCGTCATGGGCGAGGAAGTAGTGCACCTGACACTGAGCCAGAAGCGACGATTCGGCCATTGCATCTGCCAATGCGAAATCGACATACCTCGCAGAGACAAGCAGCAATGTACCTGTCGCGTCCTCGTCGGGGGCAAAAAAGGCGCAAGGTTAGATAGCGGCGCTGCAGCCCTGGTTCGAACCTGTAGACGCATGTACGTCCTCCCTTTCTTTCGCAACTCTCCTAGAATACGAATGGGAAAGAGCTGATAAAGTACAGGTACTCAGAGTCAATCCCGCATCTCTACCGCGTGCACACGTTTTCCCTCCTCCACATCACACACCTGCTCTACCTCCCTTCGTCCGTCCCCCAACTCCGACTCAATACGATTCGCACTCTGCATCTCCGCTGGGCCATCCGCGCGCTGCCGTACCTCCGGCGCGGTCCTTCGAGTCGCGTGGCGTATCGCGAGGACACTGCGAATTGGGAGAGGGGGTGGGAGATTATAGCGGGCATGCAGGGGCTGAGGGAACTGTATGTTGTGCTAGTTGATCCCAGTCCGCAGGGGCTGTGGGAGAGGAATTGGTTGCAGCTTGAGGATGTGCTGCTAGAGAGTGTGAGGGGCGTTACGCGGCCCAGGGATGCCGTGTTGGTGATGCCGTATCAGAGTTGTGGGGTGGATTGGGATATGGGGGATGGGTGTGTGAGGTTGGTGAGACCGGAGGATGGGGGTGTGGAGGAGGACGAGTGACATGTACAACACCCCTCTTGAAAAGTGAGTTCACTCCACTGTATATAATACACCCATGATAAACGTATAAATAACTTCATACAATCAACACCTTTATTCAACATTATCTAATCATCCCATCATTCCTCCTTGCTTCTATATACACCCTCTCACAACCCAAAGCAATTAGCATAATAAGTAACCGTAGCCGGCCAATCCGAAAACATGCCCAAAATACCCACATCCTGGGCCAAAACATCCAGCACAGTATACATATCCCCATCATTGTTCGTAGCATTCAGCACATACTGATAGTAGTAGCCCCCACCATCAATCTGCAGCCAACCGGACCGCTCAAACGACCACGCGATCATATCCAACCCGTGTTCCTGGCAGGCGAGCGCATACTCCGACGGCACAATCTTGCCCTTGTCGTCGAGCTTCGTGAGCGCGAACATGGCGGGCGCCATGATCTTGACACCGCGGGCAGCGAGGTCGGGGATGCTGGCTGTAGCGTTTGCGTAGCCAGCGGGCGTATCGACGCGCTCGTCGAGGTAGACAGCTTGGACGCCGAAGTCTGGTTCGTTGTCGATCCAGTAGAAAATGTCGGCGGGCAAGAAAGACTGAAGCCAGACACGGCTGGGGTCGATGTCGTACTCGCGGAATTTGTCGACGAGGTCCTGGGCGTACTGCTCTTGGGTGTAGCCGTCGAACGGCATTGGTACTTCGGGGGTCTTGAGCTCGGGTGTGAATTTGAGGCCCCAGCTGTCTACGAGGGGGATGTATTCGTCGACGGTCATGAGCTTGGGGCAGTGTTGGGCGTAAAGGTCTGTACGGAAGTATGAGGTTCCGTCCATGTATTGTTTGGCTGTTGTGGCGTTGGGGTTGAAGCCGTCCATCTTTCCGCAGAGAGTGCCAAACTCCTCGAGTGTAATGTCCGAGGTGCAGCACTTGGCCGACGCAGCGGTGCCATTGGCAGCGGGAGAAAAGGGCTTGGTGCACTTTGCGGCGAGCGGAGTGTCGAGGATGTTGGTGGTCGTGTGCAAGTCGCATTGGGCGTGTCGGCAGACGAGCTGCTTGTCCTTGGTGAAGGCAACATCGCATTCAATGATACCAGCACCCATACGATGCGCCGCTTTGTAGCTTGCGAGGGTATGTTCGGGGAATTGGAGGGGTGCTCCACGATGGGCCAGGACAAAGTCTGACGTCTCGAATTCTTGCTCCGAGCAGCTCTCCAGCTTCTCCTTCAATGGACCGTCGTCCATGTCATCCACGAGGTAGTATGGCCGAGGCCCAACCTGGACATTGAACTTTTTTCCTTGTCCATGGTGGTGACCTCCCGTACGAGGCGCAACTGCAGGTACAGCAGCAGCAGACGCGAGTCCAAGAAGGACAGAGGCGGCGATGAGAGAGCGCATCGTGAGCAATTGTCAAGCCAGCGAGGTCTGGGAAGCTGCAAAAACGAACGGTCCCTGCAGAGCAGACATGACTGCGGCTATGCGGCTTCTTATCTACATGGGTCAGAAGAAATTCCTACTCAATGCCTCGGATGGTCCAAAGACGCCGACGAGCTGCACGGCTGGGGGACCTCGACGTCAGCCCCATTGCTTCTGCACGTGGGTGAGCTACCCCAGTCAAAGTTCTTGGTGCTGCGGCGGAGAACAGGACGATGGAGTATATCTACCCAAGTCCGGTTAGCCTGCCGAGCCTGCCAAGCACATGTAGCCGTTCACGTTTCTCAATGCTGCGATAAGATACGTGAACAGGCCCTAGCGAAGTACTCGGAGCAACAATACTGACGGCTGAGAGGTACGCCTCATGCATCATCTCCTCCCCGTCTTGGCCGCATCTTGCTTCTTTCGCCTTGTCGCCCGGTGTGGCGGGAATCCATCGGCCTTTCGGCGGGCCGGCACCATCTTGTGGCTGGCAAAGTGGATACGAATGGAAGGTGGACAACGGTGCCGGTCTTCATGTAGTACGTTACCAACGGTAGTATTCAGCATGATGCCTGTTTAGACGAAAGCCTTAGGATACTGCTTGTCTGCCTAACCTCCTTTCATGAAGTTGTCCATTCTCTTCATATATGGTAAAAGGCCCCAAAGCAAGGAGTCAAACATCCTTCCTTAATCTAAGTTGCAGCCTCCACTTGACCGCCTATTCATTTCCAAAGGCGATACAATGTGAGTATGCATGAATTTAGATACGAGACCGCGGGTTTATGGAGCGCTATCCTCACTCCGTTCTGGCAGCTGGAAGACGCATCTGGATTTTCCAACATCGAGATCCGTAGAACACCTCCAATCTGGAAGAGTGACGACAAAGTCTTTTGGTGCAGTCATTTTCGTGATGGGTTCAAGGAGTGCTTTCCCATTCTGCTCCCAAAAGTCGCCGTAGCATTGCAGCCAGAGATCCAGAAAGAAGAAGAGCCGTATGTGTAGCGTCCGGAGACCACTCATCCTACCCAGCACATCCCACGTCCTATTCCACTCATCCCGATGCGCTTGAGGCATGAGATCGACTTGAAAGAACCCGTGGCGATCGAGGTCCCAATCAATGCGGAGGTTGGTAATTTGATTCATCCGTTGGGGTTGGATGAAATACGGCAAGTAGCCCATAGTAGGGTAGTCTTCCATATCCGTAGAAATGAAGAATTTGTTCGAACTGTACAGATATTCGATAGCTTCTGAGTAACTGCTCATTCATCAGTTAGCTATTATGCTACGCCGCTGACGTAATAACTGTATTCTCGTATCGGGGCTGTCCTCCAGCCTTTTGGTAAGATCGTTGTATAAAGCGTCTACACTCTTTGTAACGAACTGTCACGTGGGTAATACTTACATGCGGCGACATGTCCTCAACAGCGAAAGTGCAGCGTGAAGTCTGTGTTTAACTGAAAGGGACTGAAGGTAGCAGGCACAACCTCGAGTAGCGCACCGCCGGGCGTTCAACTGGCCGTTGACAAGTGAAAGATGTATTGGCACCTCGCCCAGTGCTTTTTCATAGATGATTCGCCTTATCTCCAACGGGAGTTTGGTCATAAAGGCGGATCGATTTTGGGGAAACGTTCTTTGATGTTGCTGTAGGCTTGTCGACGTGATACTGAGAGCGCGTCTGCGGGGGCAAGGTATCATGGGTTTTGGAGCCTCGGCGGATACCCCGAACGTTCGTCTACTCTGGTTCGGCATTACCAGTACAATGCAACAAACACAGGGCGAGCAGACTGTCCAAAAGAGACATTTGCACGTGTACCAAGCTGCTTTCCGTATTAAATGGTCAGTCCTAGTTCCGATTTCCTTGAGGCGGTTGCGAAAACGGGTTCCGGGCATGTTTGCGCCACAGGGGCATGAAGCTTTGTTGGTTCAGCCTAGTACCGCGAAGAGTTGCGGTTCGGAGCAAGCCTAGACGATACGAACACCCTCTTTACGGCTTGAAAATGATCGGAACGTCGTTTTTCAGGGTGTATGATTGATTCCCTTGGGTGAGATTGGAATCGAGTCTTCGTTTACGTGGAGGGGATGAGGAAAGAGCAGTTAGTGTTGGAAACCATTTTGTGGCGCAATCCCGGCCCCACTTTGTGAGACCAAAATGACGATGGCACCCAAACTTGACGTTACTACCCAATACTCACGTTTAATTCGTTACTTGCGCATTCAGCTCGCATTCAACAACCGAACGTACTTCAGCTTTGATTAGTCGTGACTATATTTACCACTTCGTCCCGCGGATCTTGCAACGGGCTTCGTCTGATACTGGTTGGTGGCGAAGGGGTTGCTCATCCAAAAGAAAACATACGGAAGGTGCCGCCGGCAACAAACAGACAGATGGTACTAGTGGGTGAGTATGAATACGATGCATCTTAATATCTATTTATTTACCTTCCTGGCAGCAAGAAATTCGGTAGCTGCATTGCTACACCATGACTCTACTCTTGTCAGGCGCTACAATTGGCCACAGACATGGCTGCCAGCTTGGCACCGATTGCACATCTTCGGACTATAGAGCAGTCGGTTGCGGATGGGAAGGAGAAGTTAAAAAGATGGGTATCATCCTCACAATTTTCCCGACCAGAGACTGATGGTAAGCCATCTTATTACCTTTATCAAGCACCACTAACACGTACTAGCTGCCTCAGCCCCTCCCGTCCTCAGTGATCAATCACTGGCCTCTAGTACACAAGCCTAACTCAAAAGAGATATAGAAGATTTAGACAAGAAGTGGCTTCAGAGGCACGCAGAATTACGGAAGATGTCGCATACATTGGCTGAAGCCGTGCGCCTTAGTCAAGAGCAGAGTCAATATCGAGTCGAAAGAAAAGTTCTTTTGCAGAAATTGAAAGCGCTGTCTCCGCGATGAAAGAACACATATCGTGTCGTATCAGCGCATGATTGAGTTGCGGGCACAAAATAAAATTTCAATTCAGCGCAAATAGTTCAACTTCTTCAATCAATTCCATTACAGCGACTGCTTTTCAGCTCTTATTGCCTTCGATTGCGGGCCGCCCCTCAATATGTTAAACATGACATATTATTTTGCCACAATATGTAGAATACGTGGTAGATTGCGCTATGGCTTGACTTGAGTGCAAAGACATAATTCCGTAGCACTGCTCGCACGAAGCGATCGCTCAAGACTCAGGGACCAGTCTGGTATATGGTCTAACAATATATGATATTTGGCCACTCCAGAGAGGAAATCTACAAAGATTATTTAGAAAACAACCGCGAAGAAATACCTAAACTCCTCCCATCACATTGGTAGATCAGTGATCGAAAAGAGCTGCCAGGAGCAGTCCTTTGATGACAAACTTTTGCAACAATAATGGCCATGAGCTGTTCAGAAATCATCTAGCAGAACAACTAGCGAGGCTTTTACGCCAGTCGCAAAGATGGGCGGCACACCTGAGAAGATAGGCTTGCTATCTTCTCACCTCTCTCGCACCAGCATGGAATCAACGAAGCACATCTGGCGTCAGCTCAAAAAGCGCCTACACGATACTTTTCCCCTTCACTTTTACCTTCGCCCTCAACTCCCTCTCGGTACACATCTTCCAATACCACCTCAGTGACGCCCTCGCCTCAGTCGTAATCGCAAACGTAAGCAGGAGCACCGGCACAGCCGTAACCCAAAACACCCACCCCTTACTCTCGCCCGGCAAAAAATCATCCGTCATGGAGAAAATCGCCGCAATAGTCGAAAGCGGCACAAACACCATCGTCACATTCGTAATCTGCGCCAGACTCAACGCATTCCGATTCGCCGCCTGCGCCTCCTGCATCGTCGTGAACTGGAGGTAAGACTGTAAAAACGCTTCGGCCATTGTGATTACTCGGCCGCAATAATCTTGGACGGTAAGCCATCCATCGCGCTCCCACTCCAAAGCGCTAGGTCGATGCAAGCCGAGGACTTCGAATTGCTCTTTTACTTCTGAGTTGACGAGGCCCATAATGTATTTGATGTTTACGACGAAGCCGAAGACTTCGTGGTGCCAGCTACTGATGAGCCCCTCGCCAAATTCACGCAGGTAGTCGCAGCGGTTCGTGTGCAAGACGGCGGTTCGCGGGTTTTGCTGGAGGCGCAGCATGTTGAGGATGCGGCGGCGCAGGAAGCTGAGGAAGTAGCAGATGGCTAGTCTGCGGGCGACGTTTGTGCAGCTCCTGGGCCCAATGGAATGCGCCTGCTCGTCTGGGGTGAGAGATAGTATGTCGTCGAACATACTCTCGTACTTGGGGCGCTGCCAGCTACCAGCCCAGTCGGAGGGATTGGGCGGTAGGATGTCCATGTCGGTGAAGTCCGGGTCGAGACTGTGCATACGGGTGTATGCGTGCTCTTCTGAGCAATGGTCCACGGGGAATTTGCAACCATCTGCGAGGGATGTTACGGTCTCGCGGACTGGTGGGTCAACTATCAGCACCGCTACAAGGTCCGTCAGCAATGTCTGAGTGTGTACAGTCTAGCTAGAGAAAGCAGCGCCGTACAATCCCACGAGCCATCAGGTCTAACTCCAGAGGTCCAAAAGGATAGGGCGTGGTAGCTTTTGGGCTGATCGAGAATCGGGGCTTTGGGGTCGTAGCAGTATACATGGCGCTGGATGTTGAAGTCGCAGCGGAAAATATTGCCATGCACTTCTCGGTCTGCGTCTATACGTAGAGGCTGGGTAATAGCGTATCTGATGCTGAAGTTCTTTTCCGAGTACCGGCGGAGAGGGTTGGTGTAGTTGAATTCCGGCGTTGCTGGATCGGCCCAGTGGGCAGCGAAGAAGGTGGGGGGAATCCGTAGCTGCGCACCGAGTATCTCGAGATAATTGAACCCCAAATCTTCCAGTATGAAAAGTCTCTTTCGCGGGCCTAGTTCCTCTGCGGCTAATGGGTCGTCAAAGTGGGCTTGGAGGCCTTGCGAGTTCTTGAATATCTCTGGTTCAAAGACTTCATCGTCACGATACTCTATCACTGCTACTCTGCCTCTTTCTCTTTCCAAAGCTGTTTGGGATTTTAGGTTGCGCAGGAAATTTGGAAATAGCCAGTGGAGTTGCAAGTCGATGAGGTCGTGGTATGCTTCGCGTGCATCCTTATCGCAAAATGTCGTCGATCTCTCGCTCCAGGTACCGGTTGGTGATGGTTTCTCGTCCATTGTCAACTGGCGACGGTTTGCATGACAACTGGCCGGTACCCTTACAACCGTTTAATAACGGTCGCTTCTAAATGTCTGGGCAGGGGAGGATGGCCCAGCCTTGGGGGCGAAATCCTAGGAACCGTGGCTGTGTGTTGGTGGTGGTGTAGTACAGCTGTCTCATTGGCCCTGCTATGACTTTGTCCAGGGGAGTATGCAGACTGACTGCAGCATATCACGGGAAATACACTACCGACGCTTGACTAGGCTTGAAACGAGGTGAGGGGTTTCTGTCCCTCCTGCTCCCATCGCCACTTCAAGTACGGCTTGAGTTCCTTGTCTGTTGGCACTACCCTTTTCCATTCTGGTTCAATCCCAACCACGCCTTCCGTACCGCGTAGTCTATCCCGATAAAAGATACGGTAGCTATCAAGTGCATATGCACCCATGCCCGGCAGATGAGCAATTTCCCAGCCCTCCCGTTCGTCGTCGGGTCCTAATACCTCTCCGGGCCTGACATTTGTCCCACATCCACGGTCTGGGTAGTGCAACCTCCGGTATCTTCGCTGTCTGCATGGAGGCGCAGCAAGCCAGGCGTCTGCTAGGGCTATAAGCCGCATGGCCCGGATTCTATGCAGGCCTATGGGTTGTAGCATGTTGATTAGGTCGTGGAGCGGCGCTGCAGATAGTTCCTTTGGAGATGGATAGGCTGAGAGCAGCTCGAACAACACCGGTCGGGCCATTTGACCACGGGTTTGGTTCCATAGAATGGCCTGGACTACCAAAGCATATAGACTATCACAGATTCGTTCTTGGATTAGACCGTACTTGGCAGGTTGGAGGGTCAAGCTGAGTCCTGAGGGCTGAGGTATTACACGAGGGTGGTCTTGCTTTTCGACTCTGGTCTTGGTTGGAGAAGAATGTTTCTTCTTTGGAGGAAGCGGGGCATGTTGCGAGGCGCCCTGCCCGTGTGTTTGATTAGAGGATCTAATTCGACGACTTCTTGTTACTACTGGCATAGCTGAATAGCCAAAGATAGCCAAAACACTTGATTACATGCAGGAAGACAGGATCATGGCTAGCTGAATCTTGTCACCTGGAAACAACAACTCCACTCCCGCGGCGCTAACAGTTAGGATCCCTACGTCATCGAAACACCTCTGGTGTCCTGACGATCGAAACACACCGACTAGCTGAACGTTGTTCAGACGAGATGGTGAGACCCAAAGAAAAGCTATAGCACCAATTCGTAACACGTCATGCAACGTATTCCACACTAGAGTTTCTTCATAAGCACCCCAGAGACCAGGAATTGGGCCTCGGTGCTATTCCCCAGATTAGCACCGCCGCGATGAAGCTCCATCCCAGTACACCTCCACCATCTCACCTTCACGTCGCACCTCACCGTCAAAAAAAATCCTCGAGTCCGTTCATATCGTGACATGACTTAGTAAAACCAGCCCACCATGCTCCCCAAAACTCGCCTGACCGCAAAGAAATAAGGCCAGCCCTACTATGCTATCCCAGCCATCTGCCCCACCTCACCGTTTAGCTCCACCCGCAAAAAGCATAGAGCCCGCCTTGCCCACATAATCCGTCATCGGAACCTCTCGGATCATCATCATCATCATCATCATCATTGCTATCGTGCAAAAAAAAAAAGAGAAGCTACGCGCTCAAATGTGACATTGTTTACCAATTGCATCCGTAGCCCAAACAAACAAATAAACAAACAAAAAAAGAGTTGGACCAACGGGGAAAGAAATAGAAGATGTCTTTCTCGGATGATGGAGACATGGAGGACTGGGCGGAACAATCGTCTACGCAAAAGCGCTACGAAGGCGAAGACACCAGTCCAACCACACCCCGTGAATTAAAGGGCTGGTACGCGTATCCTATCGCTGCTGAAGTAAATTGATTTTTTCCAAACACCTTCTGGGATGAACATGGAAAAAACTAACTTGGATTTGTAGGTTTTCGCCGTGGTAGCTGTCGGTACGTCCCCCAATCCACCATGAAGCTTCCACCTTCTCGATCGCAACCTAAAAGAAACAATGGACTTATAAGAGTACACAGGCGCCTTCCTTCCCGTCCTCCTCGAGCAACTCGCCCGCGAAAACGGCGTCTTCTTCTCCGACCCCTCACAGCCATGCGTCACTCATCCCACCTCTTCCCGCCGCGCCAGCGACAAAGAAGCAGCACCCGCTTCCTCCGAGCAATGCATGGTAACCTACCTCGGCCTCCAAATGTCCACCAGCAGCCTCGCACTGTACACATCATCAGCAGCAGTACTACTACAAGCCCTTGTATTAGTGTGTTTGAGTAGTTTTGCAGATTACGGTATGTTTCTCCCCCTTGTCCATTAAATTTACCACAAGCTTTGAATTGAGCTATTAGGGGCATAGAAAGAGCTAAAGGGCATTACAGGTCCATACCGCAAAAAAATGCTCATGATAACGTCGTACACGGGCTCAATAGCGAGTTGCCTCTTCATCTTCATCTCCCCCTCACTATACCAACTCGCCCCTCTCCTCGTCATAATCGGCGTAGCCTGCTTGGGATGCTCGTTCGTGCTACTCAACGCTTTTTTACCGTTGCTCGTAGCAAACTACCCGGATAATAGCAGTGATGCGGGTGGCAAGCCGTTGTCAGAAGATGACGATTCAGCCGTTGAATTGGATAGTTTGAATGCGGATACAGAGGCCGCGGCGTCACGGAGGGAAGATGCAGAGAAGCTGGCACGCGATCTGGAGCGGTCTGCGCAGATAAGTTCGAAAGGAGTGGGATATGGGTATATGGCTGCGGTATTCGTTGAGATACTAGCGATCCTCATCATCTTCATCTTCAGCAAAACGTCGTTGTCGAAGACGTCGCCCACACTCTCGATCCGCGTCGTACTCTTCATGGTCGGCCTCTGGTGGGCCGTCTTCTCCATCCCGACGTTACTCTGGCTCCGCGAACGCCCTGGGCCCCCTTTACCCGTACAGCAGCACTCCAACCTCTCCTCCACCCCCGGCAAATCCAAACTCCGCACATTTCTCTTCTACACATCCTTCTCCTTGAGAAGTTTCTGGGTCACCTTGAAAAAAGCTTGTCGACTCCGTCAAACACTCATCTTCCTCATATCTTGGTTCCTGCTCTCAGACGCCGTAGCCACAATCTCAGGCACCGCCGTGCTCTTTGCAAAGACCGAACTGCACATGAGTACCATTGCGATTGCGCTCCTCTCCATCACCTCCATCGGCTCCGGCATCATCGGTGCCTTCGCCTGGCCACGCATCCAGCGCCACTGGGCCCTACAACCGAAAACCGTGTTGTTGTGCTGCGTAGCGGGTATGGAAATTATTCCTCTGTACGGCCTCCTCGGCTACATCCCGTTGTTCCAGCGGCTGGGCTTCATAGGCTTGCAGCAGGCATGGGAGATTTATCCCATAGCCGTCTTACACGGCATCGTCATGGGCGGCATCTCATCCTACGCGCGGTCCGTATTTGCGCCGCTGATCCCTGAGGGTAGCGAAGCGGCGTTTTTCGCCCTCTACGCTGTCACGGATAAGGGGAGTAGTGCTGTGGGACCGACGCTCGTAGGCCGTATTACGGATAGTGCGGGGACGATTCGACCCGCATTCATCTTTTTGGCTGTCCTGGTTATGCTGCCTGCGCCGTTGCTGTGGCGGCTCGATGTTGAAAAGGGGAGGGAGGATGCGAGGGCTATGGCAGAGGGAGATGCCAGGGGACGCGGAAGGTACGAAAGAGTCCGGAATGAGTGATTTGAGCCGAAAAGGTTCCAAGGGGCCTTCGGCGAAAGGGAGGGGGTATATGGTATGAATTTTGTAACGCCTCAAATGGCTTTTTGGCCTCCCTAGATAGTTTGGCTCGGGCCCTCTGAAGCAAAAGGGCACGGGCAAACGATAAAAGTGACCATTTTTATGCTTGGTCCCGAATCTTCGGGCGCTTACTATCCCTGTCGTTGCTCTCTCCGAATCGCTTTCGTTCTCCGAGAGGCTTTGCGTTTGCGCCCGTGGCACCGTCTCTGTCCCTGTCTCTTGCGCCATGTCCATCTGGTCTGAACCGCTCATCCACGCCGTACTCGCCCTTGTCCCTTCGCGGGCGGTCATCCTTAAAGTCGCCCCATTTGCCCGTGTCCTCCGTCTTCATGTCTCTGTACCGTGTGCGTCCCTTTTTACCGAGCTTCGTCATGTCCCGAATCTGCATGTATTCCGGCAGAATCTCGCGGTTTGTGTCGTCTTCGAAGCGGGCGTTCATGAGATTGCGTCGGTCGACGCCGAGTTCCTTGAGTTCATCGGTGAAGAAGGCACCCTTGTGGAAGTACTTTTGCATGTACTGCATTTGGCCGCGGTCGCCTTTTTCTTCTTTCTGCTTCTCGATGAATTCGCGGTCTTCGGCCTCGCGCTCGGCGGCTGAGAGGTTGCGCCGACGCTCAATCTCGGCACGCTCAGCTTCAGCCTCTTCGATAGCGAGACGTTCACGCTTGATGCGCTTGAGTTCGCGGAGTTTCCAGGCTGCGTATTCAGCGTCGGGATCGACCCCGTCGGTGTCGTCGATGGCGTTGATGTCGGCGTCTTCGATGTCGTCATCCCAGTCCTTTTTGCCTGCTGCCTTTTCGGCTATTCGCTGTTCGACCTGTTCCTGCACGAGTGCTCTTGCCTGTTCCTGTCGCCGCGCTTCTTCCTCTGCTGCCAACTCGTCTGCTGATTTAACGGGTGCCGCAATCTTGTTTCGCTCGCTCTTCTTCAGAAAGACTGGTCGTAGTAGTTTCTTTGGTGCCTCGTCTTCGCTACTCGATTCCTCCTCTGACGACTCATCCTCATCGCTACCGCTTCCACTATCACTCCCACTCCCACTCCCACTGCAGTCTTTTTCTTCTTCTTCTTCTTCCTCCTCGCTCTCAGTCTCGAACTCGTCTTCTAGCGCTTTACGCGCATCCTCGCTTTTTTGCCGCGATGCAAGTCTCGATTTGATTGCCGATGATGCAATAGGTGCTGGTTTTGGTTTCGCAAAAGGTTTTAACTGGGGCTTCTGCTCTTCATCTTCTGATTCGGATTCTGAGCTGGAGTGCTCTTCGGGTTCTGCGACTGTTGGCTTTCCAGCGAATTGGCGCGTGCGGACCGGCTGCGCGGTGAGCTTCTTGGGCTTTGGCGGTGGCATGGTTGGGGAATGTTTCTGTGGCGCGTAAATCGAGTGTAGAAACAGGCAGACCAGTTGGAGCGCGAACGCGATACCGCGGCTGCAAGTGGCTTGGCGCGTATAAGGCTGAGACCAACTCACCTGAACTCATCACGACCACAATTATTATTTTTAACCATTGCTAAGACTATTTCTTCTATGACTGAAGAAAGGACGAAAAATGAATGCCTGCGTGGTTTTTAACGGCTCTGTTCTATACATAACGCTGTCCTATTTTTTTAAGATTTATATTCTGCTTTTGAGATTTTGAAATATATGCAAGAAATGATAGGACATGTTTGCACTTCTTTCTTCATCACAAACTAAATAATTCGGAAGAATGATTGAACTTAGCCTGATTCGAGCTGGATTGGATAAGATGCATTGCAGTTACGCTATACAGAATAGTATACAACTATGATTCGTCAGAGCAGTACAAAGGCTGCCACCAATCACGTGTTCGGAAATAGACAATATGACATTATCAGTTCATGCCAGTCGACAAAACTTTGCTTATAACTGCGGAAAAGTAGAATCCAGATAAAACACAAGAAGAAAAAATTTCACGTCATTCAAGGTTTTGGCTCTTCTGGGTAAAGTAATTTTTTGCAATTATCTGCTCATCGGAGACAATACACTACTGTTTTCTGATGGCAGCTATTCCACCTTGGATGATCATAATCCAGTCCAGCACTGTTGCCAGCCGTAAAACGCCAGTCATGAGAACTTCATCGTCTGTGACCCGTCAGGCTACGACGGGTTTGGTAGAATGCAACCAATAACGCCTACGAATGCTATGATGCAGTAAGAAAAAAAAACTTTGACCAAATCAGATGGCCAACAAAAGAGCCTCCCAGTAGTATAATGCACGCTCGAACGCAACAGATATCAATGTCCACCGGACCAAAAAGCAATGCAAATGTAGCCGAAAGGGGGCTAGTCGAGAGTTGATACACAAAGATGATGTAATGACCCATTCATCTGAAAATAGGTTGTTGGGGGATGGGGAGTTGGTTGAACTGGTTCGTCTCGGGCCAAGCACTACGGTCCATGTAGGGCAGCAAGCCCGACCGACGGTCAGTCATAGGCCGACCCAATGGCTGGTACTGCATCTGATCGTATGCAATATTGCGCGCGGGGTTGTGGATGGATGTTTGGGGAGGTGGGACAAGCAGGGTATGTACACCACGGACCGGTCGATAAGGCGACTGTCGCTGGTTGAGGAAGTGCGAGGGCGACAGTTGACGAGAACCCGTTGCAGCATACGACGTACTCACAGGTGACGACCCCGCAGACTGTTGGTATGGGCTAACCTGACGAGGCTGCTCAGCAGATGGTGTGTAACTGTGAGGGAAAGCAGGAGGGGCTGAGCTTGTAGGAGTGCTACTAGGCTGTGGCCATTGAACCGGTGGTGGGTATACCATGGCCATGGACCGGCCTCCAGGTACAGGCAAGGGGAGCTCAGACCAGGTCTTTGCTTGGGTAGGTGGTACTTGCTGAGGTGGAGGGATCGAGAGGCTGGGCAGAGGCGGCAGCCGGTTCACAGATGGCGGCGGTTCAAACGATCTGTTGATGGGCGTCTGGAGCGTAGGGATTGGGGGAGCGTTGCTGTAGGGTCCAGGGGCGAATCCGTGAGCCTGTCGCTTCGCTGGTGGTTCGTTGGTGTAGTCTGCACTGCGCTTGCGTTGAATCGAACCCAACTCCGGAAGAGCACCAATCGGAGAAACGTTGGTAGATGTAGCCTGTGGTTGCAACAGCGGTGTCTTGGAGAGTGCAACGTGGCTCGGGGAGTACATGGAGGTTTGTGGAGACGCTTGTTGCTGGGTCGGTGGTGAGGGGACCACGTTTGAAGGAACGCCGAGCATATTCTGGGGACCAACTGGGCTGACGGCGCCGGATGCGGGTATTTTGGAGGCCTGGTCAAAGAAGGTGCCAAACTTGCCCAAAATACCGTGCCACTCGTTCCACTTGTCCTTTGAGGTGAAAAGGCTGTAGCGCATATTGCTGAGGAATTCGACTTCCATGATGTGAACCTCTTGTACTGAGATGCCTGACACTTCGGCCCACGTCTTGTTCGTATACGTGTTGTCATCGAGAAACTTGTTTCCAAGCATCAGCGCTACGGTGAGAAGACGGTATTCGCTGCCGGGCTTTCCCTTGACAGTTGGGTTGGTCTGCTTCAGCCTGTATATGAAGAGGAGTGCGAGAAGAATCACATTCTGTGCTACCTGAGTTGTTGTCAGAATGGTGGCTACCCATTTCCTAAAGCCAGTTGTAGGGTGTGCATCTGGGACCAGAGGCTGCATGGGCTGGCGAGGTGAGGTTGTGTCAACGACTTGTTTCAGGGTTGCCGAACTCTCAAACCAGAAAAGACAGGTAATCTGCAAAGTTAGAAAAGAAGTTTTAATCAAAGAAGGATATGGCACTCACCTCTGCTGCCAGTTGAGGAAGGCCTTCTTGTGGTGTGTTGATGGTTGGTGGGATCCGTAGATTTGGAGATATTGACCACTTCTTCTTTGGTGTTTGTGACGTCTCTTGTGCCTGTTGCTGTTGCTGTCGTTGCGGGCTGGGGCTTCTTGGTGCAGCTGCTGATCTTGAGTTGCCGATTGCTGGTAGTTGGTAGCCATACTGATTGCCCGAGCCCTGGTTGGATGGGAGCGAGACGACCCGTAGTGCTGAGCCAGGAAGGTCTGGAGGCGTAAGGGGAGCTCGAGAGGCTGTGCGGAGGGGGTCGTGATCGTAGGCGTTGGCCATCCTTGGATATGGAAGCTGCATGGTGTTGTCCAGCTTGGAGGATGGTTGAGGGCCGGGGGCGTAGAAGGTGAAGGAATGCTCCCGCGGGATGGCGTGAGGCATTGGACGGGGGAGCTGTAGCTCGAGCATGCGGACGACGGAAGGTGAATGAGGGTTGGGTTGAGGGGGGTTGGAGCAAGATCAAGGTGAGCGGGCGTTCATGGAAACGGCAGACAGCTATTGTTTGTAGAATGTCTGGCTCGAGGGCATGTCCAGCAGAAGAGGCAGGTGGAGTAGAGGTGACCTAAAAAGAGAAAGAAGAAGAGGAGGAGGAGCCGGTGGGCCAGGAATAGATAGGAAGCAGGGAGCACGATGGCAACTATTGCGGATGACAGCCACCGGGGGTCAATGTTTAGATGCTAAGCCAATGAAGGCAGCCTTTGTTGGGGACAGCGGGAAGCGACGCTTGGGCGGCGGCGGAGGGTGGTGGAGGACAAGGGCGAGGCGAGGTGGAGGTGGAGGTGGAGGTGAGTGTCGGAGGGCATGGGGAGTAGTAGTAGTAGAGGATGTGAGGGAGAGCGAGAGCGGGCAAGCATGTATGTATTAGGTGGTAGGCGTATGTACTACGTAGGAGGTGTAGGGAGGCGGACAGTCGGGGGCCCGCACACAGGCAGGGCAGACATGGCTTGGGGCCGTTGGATTTGAATAAAACATAGGTAATTCACACACACGGAGTCGTGAAGGGCTCGGAAGGTTCCAGGCAGGAGCGCGAGCAGGGTAGAAGGAACGCCCCAAGAGGCTGATCCAAAGCCGCGCTCTGACATCAACCGCGCCTGCGTGTTGCTAGCCGCGCACGGGCCCGGGGGGCACAAAGCAACCGGGGGCACGCCGCCAGGGCAGCGGCGACCCGCCAAGCCGCGCGGGCGGATTAGCTGATTAGTGCCTGCCTGCCTGCCTGTCTGCTTAGCTGCTGGCTGCTATCGCCTGCAAGGTGAGTGGTTGCGTCGCTTGTGGTAGTGACTAAGTAAGTGTAGTCCAAGTATGTACTGAGTGGTAGGAGAGGGCAGGAGCGACCGACTGCCCCCCCAAGCACAAGCACAAGCACAAGCGACTGCCCGGCCGGCCGACTGCGACTGCCTGACCGAGTAAATGACTGACTGACTGACTGACTGACTGGCTGGGCCTGGCTGGCTGCGCCCAATAGCTGGCCTCGCTGGCTGGCTGGCTGGCTGGCTGACTGACTCCCGCTGAGGAGAGAGGCGCGTGTGTGTGAGAGAGGGATAGCAAAGAGGCCAGACCAGGCCCCGGGTCAGATGGCGTCAAAGAACCACTCGCTCCCTCAACCAACCCGGCTGCCAACCACAACCACGACCGGCCGACCAAGACGACGACGACCACTACCTACTCCGGCTACTACGGCAATTTGTGTACACACGACTACGCCTACTTACATAGACACGATGCCGCCTCCGCCTACGCCCCAAGCCTCAAAGGGAAAACAAGGGCCCAGCTGCACCGCCCAGCAGTGTCATCATCATCAACCCCATCATGACCAGCGTCATCCCAATCATCATCGTGATTGCCGTTAATTATTATCATTATTATTAGCGTTACCCACCCTGTCCCTCGCACCAGCCCTGATCAATCTACCTACCCACGTAGTATCCAAGCATATCTAAGTACTCTACGCAGTCTCAGCCTGCCTCGCTCGCCGTAATACATACCACACACCACCCACTCCCACCCACACATGCACAACCTGGCTGCACATGCGACAACGGCACCCTCGAACCGGCTCCCATTCCCACATGCACCGTGACTTTTGCAGCAGCAGGAATCGCCGGAAGCGGAGGCGCTGAGTGCAGCTTGGGCGGGTTTGCGGATAGCGTCGTGCGAGGCCGTGCAGCTGCGCATCCGTGGTCCATCCAGCAACAATAACAACAATCATCATCTCACTCACACACGCCTCCACCACCACCATCTCCACGATGTCCATCATCCACACACACACACTCACATCTTCTACTACTACACACACATGCACTCTTACATGCACACACACACATGTTCACTCACTCACATGTACACACACACAAGGGCGCGCACACACACTCACACACACTCTCTCTCTTACACACACACCCCCCCCCCTCCATCCATCCATCCATCCATCCATCCATCCATCGCTCATATCACTCGCGCCCTCATTTCCGGCCCTGCCGTGTTTGACCTGCAGCGCTTGTCACTGGCCGTGCTGCACCACTCGTCGCCGGCCATGCCAAAAAAGCACCCTGCGATGCCGATGCAAAGACTGCCGTGCTGCCACCACACTCAGAAGCGATACGAACCAGGCCGCCCAGCCAGGCCGCGGACTAGCGGACTCGCGGTCTTACTTTACCCTAAGCATGCCCTAAATCCGAGCCCGAACCCTGTCCAACGCGACGCTTTGCAGGCTGAAGTTTGAGCGGGTGCTGCTGATCGTCAATCCTCTGTTTTTTTCTCTCTGCCCTTCTCCGTCCTGCCTTGGTGTGACTTGCACTCATCAAGTGGATCCACCACGCCCTGTCTGTGTCGAGGGCTCGGCCTGCCTTGTCTCTCCCTCTCGGCCAATAGCCGCTGCCCACCCTTCCCCGACGCTAGACAGCAGCTTGGTATTGAAGCATGTCCGCCTGTCCGCTGAGCACTGCTGCTGAGCCCTCCAAGCAAGGTGAGGGCAGGGCAGGGCAAGACAAGACAAGGCAATCTGCACTGCACAACCGCCCCTGACCAAACGCATATTGCCTTGCCTCGCCTTGGGGGTTCTGTTGCGCGCGCGCCTCAGTTACTGCATTCTGGCTCCTTGCACGCGTCCACTCAAGCCCCCCGGTGGATGGTTCCAAGATGCCCGAATTAGTTGGCGTGCACACACGGCCTGGGGCACCCACTCATCTCGGTCCTCTCTGCCTTGCCAACAAGTGTTGCCCATGCCATGACCTCTTCCCTTCCATCCCTCCCTCATCCAGACCTGACCTGCCGCGGGCTGGCGGGTTGGCGGGTTGATGAGTCGCTACCTGCGTGCAGTAGTAGCAATAGCAGCCGCAGCAAGCCCACACACGGTGGTTCGCGGATGCTGACCTGTTGACTGCTCCTAGCACCTCCACCACCCGTCCTTGCGAGCGAGCCATGTTTGCTTTCTCTCGACTAAATATCTTGCCTGGCCCACATCCCACACACACACAGCCCCATGGCCCATGGCCAGCAAGTGCAAGCAAGCAAGCAAAGTCGGCCATGTCTGCAGCCGACGCCTCTGCTGAGAGAGGGCCCGCAGCGCTAACCGTGGAACCGTGACCGTGACCGAGATATTGCTTTGGCAGGCAAGTTGCAAGGGAGTCGTTCCAGCCCCGTAATCTATCCATAGCACCATCTGTGGCGCCGGTGAAGCGCAGCTTCGCAATGCAATGAGGATGTTGCTGTGCAATGGTGGAGCATCGTTGCGAGCGCCCGTCATGCGCAGAATGGTTGCAGGGGTACCGGTGAAAAAAAATCGATGCCCGCGTAATCAACGGCGGCCCTCCATGACATGACACGACACGACACGGACAATGGGCAAGAGGCTTTGGTAGCAAGGAAGCAGAGGCATGATTGCATTGCACATGCCTGTTTAGCTCAAAAGTCTTGTCCGGCGAAGATCAAGTGGGTAATAGAATACGGCGTGCCATCATGTATCGGTTCCATGTCGGTGTTGGGGGGTGTGGGAGGGGGTCGAGATCTCAAACACGTCCGTCCACCTTCGCTACAGGCAAACGGGATGCTCGGGATGGCCGTCTAGCTGCTTGTGGCGGCGAATCACTGCCAAGCGCCCTCCAACTGTGGAAGCCCGCTCGCCATGTTGCAATGGTGATGCATCGATTCGAGGCTAGCTAGCCCGGGCGCGCTCACCACACTCGCACTCGCCCAAGTCCACGTCCAAGTCATATGGTCGGTGTATACATAGACACCAGGACGTCGTTGTCGTCGACGCCCATCGCCTGACCAGCGCTGCGGTGGAGACGAAGCCCGCCTAGAGGAGCTCGGCGGTCCTCACGGCTCACGGGCGACGCTCGGCTCCGCTTTCCTTCGTCATTCATTGATTGCACCACTTGCCATTTCATTGCCTTTCCCACCACTGCCACCCCCCCTCCGCCCGCGCGCCCCCCCCCCCCGATTAAACTATGTATACGATGATGAGTATTAGCGCGAGTCGTTACCCGACGTGCCCAGCCATGGATATTTGCGCTGCCTGGTGTATGACCTGCCTATGCCAATTGCGGCACATGTATTAGCTTGCTCATATGGCGCGCTGAGACGTACCGTGCTTCTATACGACGCGTACACATGGGGATATGTCATCCATTGTCAATAGAAAACCCGCCGTCTGTTTCGCTGCAATCAAGTCTGCCGAGCCGCACCATGGTAGCTCGTCTAGTGCGACCTGATTGTGCGCCGCAATCCGGCGACAAGATATTCGCTGCTACTGGGATGAGACAAGGAAAAGGAATCAAAAAAAAAACTCCCCCCCAGATCCAGTGCGACTGACCGACCGAATGCGAAGCCTTTGACGGCACGCGCAAAAACACGAACATCCCTTGTTGCCTGGATGCAGTCAGAAACGACCCATCACGCTCCGTCCACAAATCCGCTGGCCTGCTGGGCCACTCCTCGCCTTGGCTTGTCAAAAAAAAACACTACGCCGCTACGGCTCCTTCAATCCGGACTACCACAACGAGTCTGGCCTTTGCCGCGGCCCTGCAAAGGCACACACGCCCATGGACGCACAGTCTGGTGCAAGCCAAACGCCTCATGCCGACTCAGCACCGTGTGTACTCCTTTGCCACACACACACACACACACACACACAAAACCCACTGCCTTGACGTTAGTTTCTTCACACCGCGTCCTCCACATCCATCTCACACTCGTCCCCGCTCTCTGGCGCGCTCAAACAGGTAGGTAAGACGACCCCTGGCGAATAAGCACAGCGGAACCCCACGCAATTACGCCTCTATCCAACAACGACCCAAACCCAAGGCATCCGTGTCCGTGTCCGGCTCGACGCATTCCTTGCTCGACTTTGTACATATGCCGTTGTATCAAAGCTATAGTGAGATGCAACCATCCGGCCTCAAGCTCTTGATTGTCGCACAGTGTCACAGCATGCTGACTGGTCAGGCCACCTGGCGGGAGCAATAGCCTTCATCAAGGGGTTACTACTGCTTGCTTTGCGCCGGAAATTGAATTGCAATGTATATGTACAAGGGGTCGGTGTATCGATCTGCGCAGTTGTGTGTGTGTACGTGTGTGTCTGGTGCACATACATTTACTTGCTTACGTTCGCACATATGACCCAAAGCACCTATTTCCGCGCCTGCTTCGGTCACGACGCATCATGGTCGTGGGTGGATGCGTTACGCCACATGGGCCATTTAGCGAAGGACCCCATATCTGTGTGACCGGGTTACATACCGTACACCCCATAACACCCCTTGCTTCCAAGGATATGCAGCATGTTCCTTCTATTTGCGCCTACGATAACGGTCCCAACGTCGGCCAGCGCCTTGCCAATAATCACTACTATTCCTCCTACTACTTTACACACATGCCACCATCACCGCCACCACCCAAATCATCTCACGCTAGCTTGCTAACACTGCACCCTTCCTTACTTTGTCATGGGCAATATGCTTTCGCCCGGCTACACAGCACATGATCCAAGTTCCATTGGTCGCCTAGCGTTGGTTAATGGACCAACGATCATCTTACTAGCACCACCTCGAAATCAGGCGGGTGTTCTTGATACCTTTAGCCACCATGTCACCAGTCCATGGCAACCAACAAAATAACCCTTGTGCCTGGGTGGATATCGCAACACCACTTTCCCAAGATTGCATGTCTGTGCTTTGTTTCTTTTCTGATGCAGTCGCGAGTCCGATTGTCATCGCCAACCCATGGAAGTGCTTTGTTCGCTACAGACAGGCCCGCACTACTTACTTACCAGGGCACATACGCACGTGGGAACGGGCAACTTCTTAACTCAACCCCTAGGAAAGGAAAAAAAAGACGCTGCAGCACCTTTTTTGACTTTGGCCACAACATACAATCTTCCAAGGATTTCGCAAAATGATGAATCTGTACACTTTTTTTCTCACGTCAACACGAGTCCGTCCGGCCCCCTGCGCCACCTTGCATTGTCATCAAAAATAAGTCCAGGATACCATGGTTTTTCCCTTGCCGTTTCCAAGAAGTATACCCAGTTTGGGTTTCATATGCATATCGCCCTAAGAGGGAGAGAGACAGAGAAACCCGACATGTTCGCCACAAAGACACAATCGTATTCTCTCGGCCTCGTATACTACTACATCAAACCAACAGGGAAGCTTCTCCCCTCCCAAAAAAAGCAGGCAAGTTGCCAAGATACGCGCAGCCAGCACCCGTCTTTGGTTTGCTTGAAATAAAAGGGCTATCTTTTGTAAAAGACGCAAGCAGCCGCTAGCCAGCCCTCTTCTCACATAACTTTCCCCTTCCGGCTCATTGCAGTGTACGATCCCGCCGGCTCCGCCGGGCAGGACGCAACGCAACTCCCTCAACCAACATATCGTTTTTTACACGCGGGTAATTTATTCCTTCCCTTTTCTTGGGGGGATTGGCACTACAACGTATACGTATACCGCCGTTTTTGCCTTGGTGACAAGGGGAAATAAAGATGTCTAGGCAACAGACACATATGCAACATGATGCACTCGTATGCGTTTTGCGCGCCCAGTCGGTCTAATGTCCGCTCTGATTTTCTTTTGCTTTGCCAGGTGCGCAACACATGTTCATGTACAAACGTTTTTTTGTCACCTGGGACATATGCAACATGATATCGTAGACAAGCTTCTTGCTTGGCAGAGCGGGGGTTTTTTTTTCGCCACTGGAACTTTGGCCGATTGACCGGATGGCCGTTTGTCAAAGACGTGAATCTATGGGCGGTCTAAGTGAAAGAACTGTTCTCAGCTTAGCTCTTTCGATGGCTCCATTGTTCTTTTTCTCCCCGTCGTTATCTTTTTTTTTCCTCTTTCTTGTTCCCGGACGCTTATACCCGCTTTTTTTCCCTTGTTCGCATTTCGTCTGGTGGATACTACCTACATAACCTCCACCCCATTTTTTTCCACTTTCTTTTCTTTCTTTCCTTTTTTTTCGTCCGTCCATCTGGCTAACATCGCAAACGGATACTTTTGCACCTACCGTAGGTGCACTCTTCGCACATGAGCGTAAGAAAAAAATCTTTGCATCTTGCATTGCCGACGGTCTGCCGCGAGATCATAAAAATCCGGGGGGGCTAGGCATTCGGAGCCGCATTTTCAAACGGCAATAAGTCCGTGTCTTTTTGATTTCTTGGTTTTGATTTTGATATTTTTTTCGTTTTTCTGACTCCGAAACGGATTGACGGGCTTACGAAGGTATAGTTGTTCGTATATGTAGGATGCCATAGTTTGAAGTTTAGTTTGCTTCCCCCCACCCCGGGACAAAGGGGAAAGACAAAGCCAATGAGGCAGGCGCCTGAAAAGTACGAAAATGCGGGAATCTGACGTGCATTGCCTGGGGCGCAACTCAGGTCTATTTGTCTTGCATCCATTTTTACAGGCGGAAGTAAACGGGATATGATTACCTGAAGAAGAAGAGTGAGATGTGTACCGAGGTGTTTTTCCTTCGCATCACATGTGTCCCTGGAGGTTTTATTTACTCCGTGCATGTAGAATCGCCCGCGCGTATGCTTGCTTACCCCAAAGGTAACAACTTTCACGTCATCCAACATCCCCCCCCCCCCAGTCTGACGCGTATCGTGTCCTAAGCGCATGATATTGCAAAGTCGCTGTAAGGTGTTTTCATCGATAGGCACGAGATGCAATAGTTAGAAGTGTGAATCAAGACGAATTCCTAAGGAGTTTATCTTGAATTCGGATAGAACTTGTATACTCTATGCACATGACTGGTGGCTTCGCTGGCCCAAAGGGGATATCTGATGGGATCCCCGAGTGTTGGCCTTTCGGTCCAGAGTATCGTGACAACCACTGTGACTTCTGAGCTATCTGTACATAGTTTGAAACTCCCTTTTGATAGCAAGAAGCATTCTCTCACCCCTCCTTCCTAACTAACCACTCTCCAAAACCCCCATCACCTCTCCACCACACTATCCTCTCACCCACAATCTCAGCACTCCAAGCTTAATGGCACCTCGCAGACCCAATTCCAAGAGACGGACGATCTTTACCTGCACTTTCCACTCTATCGTTTGCCGTAAACTCGGGCGCCCCAGGACATCCCGGTCTCCTTTAACACAAACATCAGCATGAAAAAACATCTCAAAGGTCAAAGTAGGGTGTGAAAAAAAATTAAAAAAAAATGGAGCAAATCACTTACGGCCAGAAGTCGCAAGTGAAACTTGCAGTGTCGTACGCGTACACGAGGCCACCGCTGTTGACTGTTTTGGCCCATGGGAGATTAGCATTGCATTACACAAAAAGACATGATGATAACTTGAGAGGGAGGGGAGGGGGGGTAGGGGGGGGGATGTTTTGCTTACCGCAACCTTTCCGTGGAGAAATGTCTACATTTCTACAGCTATCCCTACTACCAACGCAAAGCGTGGGTGTTCCTCTCGCTTCCAGTTTTCCTTGAGGAAGTGCAGCCGCGGCGGTAGTACTACTGCCGAGAAGAAGGAGCACAATAGCCATACGTAATAGGAGTCTTCGCAAGCATCTTTTTTTTTTTGAAAAAACAAAGCAGAAAAATAATCCTGTTGGGCGGAAATCTTGTAAAGAAGGGTAAAAAGTTATACCAATATGACCGATGTTTTACGGGAATTGGGGGGGGGGTAAGTGGGTGGGTGGGAAACAGCCAACTTCTCTTATATAAACCTATATCGTCCTCCGTCTTTGTTTTTGGCCAAAGGCTATAGTTTATTGCATATATAAGTTTAACTAGATGTGTTTTAATGCTTACCTCATCCCTCGTATCTTGTATATCATTAAGAGAGGTTGAAATATCAGCAGAGGTGTGTTTCAAACACTGACGAGAAAGCAAACTCTAAATTCTTTCTAGTCCAACCGTTGCTATAAATACCGAGCTGGGTGACTTATCCACATCCCGCTATTTCACAGAAGAAAAAGGGAGATGATGTATGTGCTGCCTAGGCTTTATGCTGCCCCTTACGTGTGTTTGTATGAGAGATAGAGAGAAAGAGATAGAGAGACCAAGGGAGAGAGAAGAGGGGGCGGGGGCGGGATAAAGGTAGTGTTTCCACGGCAGGATACGAGGGTTCATGTTGCTGACTTGGAACAATTGACCGAGTGACTATTTTTATTCTGATTGTCGGGGAAGAGGGGAGGAGGTGGTATATGTGCAGGTATAAGGGAGAATGATTAGTCGAAGGTATTCACGTTCATAGTTTGTCGTTGATATACAGCATAAGTTAGAGAGAAGATGGTAAGGTGAGATATATCCCCTAGTGACAAAAGGTGTACTGAGCATCACTGTCTTCGTTCTATGATAGAAATCTTTTTGAAAGCAGTGCATGTCATGTACATTATATTCTACAACCCGCGATATCTGCCTTGGACTAGAATAACCTATTGTCGGCACTAGCCTTGGCGGCATCGCGCCTTGCGCTCTGCTTCTTCTTGTCCTTTGCCTCACCTGGTGGCTTAAAGAACAGACTTGGGCTCTCGCCTTGCTTGAGTGTGTAGTTTAGGTACCCTCTATGTGCTGGATCACGGTAGTACTCGATGTCCTTTCGTGCCGTGGCATCAGGCAACCTGTACTTGTATTTTGCGCCTACTTGCTTCATGACTGCGGCCATGGCCTCGGACTTCTTTTCCTCAGCGGCGGTTTGCAGCGCGGAGAGGATGGGAGATGGGATTTTGACGGCGGAGGAGCGGCTGGTTAGCGCAACGAGGGACGGTGAGGCTTGTAGCGAAATCGTCGGGTGCGATTCCCCGCGTAGCACGCGCTTGATGGCTGTGGGCGAGTAGAAGCGGGTAGTTACGCTGCCGCCGAGGGCTTCGATGCGCTCAATGGCTTCGCTCGATGCCCGGGAGACGACGATGTGGATGGGCGTAGTGAGTTGCTCGGGGTTCTAAACAAGTCAATTAGCATATGTACCGCATGCCCCTTCTCCCCAATCTTCATACCCTTGCCAGCAGCTTCACTCCGTGTCTCTTTACGCCATGCAAACACCGTGACTTCGCCAATTCCTTCATAGTGATGGGCTTCTTCGGATCCAGTCGTCCCTGGTCAATCCAGCTTTGTATACGGTCCAAATTAATTGGCGACATCTCCACCTTGAATGGATTGTGCTTCCCCCGCCCTCGCTCGGGATTTGTGATCCATTGTGGTGTCTGACCTCCCTCGAATCCAGCGGGGACTTTGCCGTGTGCGTGTTGTCCCTTCTGACCTCGTCCTGCCGTCTTTCCTTTTCCCGAAGCAGGACCGCGACCTCGGCGGATCTTCTTATTGTAGGCCCCGGCGTTGTCGGACAGCGAAGAAAGAATCGAGGCGCAGCGCTGCTGGGCGGGCAGCACGAAGGCGCTGGCTAGCGGTGTCGTACATGACCGCGAGGGCGACGATACGAGCGACGAGGCGAGTCGGACAGCTCGCACCCGTGGTGGCATGGCTGTTTGTTGGCAATTGGCGTTTGGAGTATTGGTGAGGTTCGACTTGCGAAGATTCGATGATGATTAAGCCTCTGGGGTCTAACCGCATTAGGATGAGCACTCCAGTCGTGAGCATTCTTGAACATTAATCGGAACTATTCTCGGTCATATTTCGATTACTATAGAAACATGACCTTTTTCAGATTGTTCCAGACTGATTGTTCAGCTTCAAGCAAGTTTGGAGATTGCCCAACTCTCTACACCGCAACGGTTGCTTGCAATGCTCGGTAGAGTGATACATGTGGAATCATGAAGTCGTTTGTTGGTCCAGATCGCAAATATCTCCCGGGAACGAAAAATCGTAGACATCTTGGATTTTTTGTAATCATGCTACCGATCCCCAAACATGTTTGTAGCACACATATTTCGACTATCAGCGACCAAACCAAACTAGCCCTTGGGAATTGTCACCTGGAGTCTACTGTTTGATACTGGCAGCTGGAACAATCTTTGTTGTTTCCAACGTATGTGGTTTATGCGTATGTTTGAACCTGCATGGGATGTTCTGGAACTACATCACTATATACTTATACTACACGATTCTCAATACAAATATCCGTCTGAATTACTCACCCCGCACCTATATGCTCCCCTCCGTTAAACATCTGTTGCCCGTATATAAGGGAGATTATGCATAATCAAATGGCTTACATCATGTATTCATCCAGCACATCGGAGTGAGTATGCACCACGAAAACGCATTCTCGCATACTCAATCGGATATAAAGACATCGCAGTCACCAGCAGAGGCCGGCAGTCACCTATCCCTAGGGCTGACCCCAGGCTGCCCATCAATAGCACTCCAGAGAAGTGGGGAGTAATCTATCATAATACCCTACCCGAACTTTTGCTATCTTCTCCTGGAGAAAACAGTATGGAAGATTCCGAGAAAGGAAAGAGCGAAGACAAGCATGACAACAACGACGACGGCGACGCGCCCGGCCCCACAGAGATCACGAAGGTCATGGATGACGAGGATATATATGATAACTTTGACGAGAGGGCGGTCGAAGCTGCCATGGCGTACGCCAATACCCGGTCCAACACAATGTCGGCCAGACGGATTGCAGAAAGAGTCCATCTGACAGACTGGACCAAAGCCGCGGAAGTGTGGGGGATACGGCTAGGAGATCTCCGCGACCCGCCCGGTGGGAGGCAGATAGTCGAGGTCCCAGAGGCAGCCAGACTTAGTCCCAAGTATGGCTTGTTCCCGCACCAGGTCCCGGGAACCACGCAGCTGCTAGAGAGGGCCCTCGGACCTCTTGGCGGCTGCCTCCTAGCCGATGAAATGGGGCTAGGAAAGACTAATGTTGTCCTAGGCGCGTTCTACCTTAACTACGTTGCCGTATTACGAAGTTACGCGCCTAGCGTGTACCGGAAAGTGTTTCCTGAGGGAACCTTTCCGGGCATGTCAGAAGACGGTAAAGTACACGGTCCCGTCCTAATCTATATGAAATTCTATATTGCCTGCTCCACCCCGAAACATGTGCGACATTTCAAAAGTGTAACGCACCCGAGCCATGCCGTCTAGAAAATTGGTGCACTCAGACTGACATCGGCAAAGGCATGGCTTGAGACACGACATGTCAAGAAACAAACTCCTATCACCCGATTCATCAAGGCGATCAAATGAGGAATCCGTTTTCCAAGGACCTGGATACTGCCGCAGTGCTTTTTCTACTAACTGATGGGGCAACAAAAAAAACCATCGAAGACGATTTGATCCTCACCTAGCGATTTGGACGATATAAAGAACTGCGACATGTATTCCATCTTTTGGAGATGGAAATTCTATATATGCATTCTGTGAGGAAGGTGGACGAGTACTAGATTAGAGGGATTGAAGTTCTCGTCAATGAACAACCTAGAGAAGGTATGGCATGTTTTGTGGAGTCTTCGTGGGCAGTGCGATGCCGAGTATGATGGCCGAATACTTAATACGTTGCTTGTTCCGCACGTGGGATCGGCTAGACCTGCCGTTCTACTGTGCCGGTGCACAGGGTTACTAGTAACCCTTGGGTAGGAACTATAGTCCAAGTCTGAAGTATCAGATAAGAAATTTCATGTACGATAGATTACAATCCAACGTTATGAGTTTTCAGTCCATCTAGTTCATCTCCTCGACCTCAACTCCTCGTCCATTCAGCCTTCTACAGACCGTACGAATGAAGGTGAAGGTACTCGTATCCTCCATAGTGATATTCATGGCTCAGCACTATCTACTCCCGTTTAGCGACTTTCGACTACGGGTGACTTTTTCCATTTCTTGATGATAACTAGACGATCACGAATTCATATATACTAACCGAAAGATCTCAAAGCGACAATAGTTTGATTTGAGGCGTTCGTTTCCACAGGGACGCTACTTTGTAGCAATATTTAGAGTTTCTATCGTTGAGGTTGGAGACACTGATGATGGTATGCTTTACTCCTTTGCACCACATTGATTTCGTCCCTTGATATTACAGTTGAGAATGTTAGTCGTAAGATCTTTCAATCAATATACCTATGCTTGCTCATCTCTGAACAATCGAGATGATTTACAGATTTGCAGGAAACAATCATTTCACGATCATCACACTGCATAGGCGTTGTCGATTTATGCCAGAAATAAAACTCCTATTTGGATCACTCAACTTTATTAGCGGGCCTGTGAACCATGACTTCGAACAATTTCCAATAACGTATCAAAAGCCTGAGATAGATATAAAGATTATGTACGACTCTACTAGGTAAGGCCCGGCCATTCGGGACCGCCTAGCCATTCTCTAATGTTTGGGCTTAGCTCATCAAGATATTCAAAGAGGGATTTTAGAACTTTTGACCATAGTAGAGCAAAGCGTGAGATGTGTTTGTTTACGGGAATCGAAGACGACTGTCGCTTTCTATCACAATCTATTCACGTAGATAGAAGGGTTTGCAAAGCCTCATCAGCACCTCCACGACACGCTACAGCAAGCCCGCACCACCTCATTGAGAATAAGGAGCTCGTTACAGATACAGTTATCAGCAATTAAAGGTTACGTCGCCAATACTTTGACTACCCAGCTTTGGAACGTGTACTAGACATTACCTCAATAGCAGCATCTTAATCACAGTAATTCTACTGTTTGTCGCTATCCTGGATCTTTATTACATCTCGAATCCAACTGTCAAGCTCATAATGGTTGGAGTTTTTATGCTGCTCTTCGCTGGTAGCGTGGGCCTCTTCACAACTGCGAAACGATATGAGGTGTTTGCAGCTACTGCTGGGTGAGCCACTAGCGATAAGTACCAGTATTTGTGAGTACGAGCTAACTTTTGCGCAGTTATGCAGCAGTCCTTGTTGTCTTCGTAAGTGATAATCTGGGGTCTGATCCATGGCCATCTGGGTTGTGGAGTGTTGGCAATTGCACGTATACAGGTTCGAGCTGAATGTTTTTCGTAGATAGTAGCAGCAGCCCTGCATATGCAGAAAAAAACATCGGGATAAGGATAAAGAAATGCCCAAAATCCATCGTAGCACCCAACAACCACTAGTGACCTGATACCGTATTTCCCTACCTCCGAAACGAATCAAAAGATTTCCTTAAAAACTCAGTTACGTGTTTTGTCGCACCATCCCGACCTCATGAAAGTGCAAAAATACAAAAAAACATACAACAGCAGGGATTCGCCAGTGGTCACCCACCTGACTACTAGTCCGCCGGTCGAAGGCTTAATGTATGGGGAGCGAACGGGACCCAATGCTGTACTTCGCCGATGGTCGTATGTGAAAGATTCGAGAAATAAATCGAGAATTGTATGAGAAAGTATTGGTGTTGCAGATGCATGCTATGTGTGCAAGGACGGCACGTGATTTCGCCGGTTCAACGGTACCCAAAGCGAATGATGACAACCAGATCGGGACCAGTGTGATGGGTAAAAGAGCATCCTAGAAACTGTGAACATCTGTTTGACTTGGTATAAACAAGCTACGTCTGTATCAACCGCCTGGATATAAGGAGCTCCAATCTCTGGTTATGCAGTTATCGTCTCCGCCCCTGTATGAATTAGCCTCCAACAAGCATCATTCTAGAAGTAGATAACTTGCCTCAAAATACCGTCGATCATCCGAAAAAGATACGTGCCGGTCCCTTCTAGCCTCCCTGTTCGTTCTTGCTTCCTCTTGCGCTGAGGAATTGTCGCCTCTCCGTGAACTGTCGTTCATGTATCGCGTACGTTCGTCAAGTGAAAAGCTCGTAGACTCGAAACGCGGATGCCCTGAACTTCTCAGTTGCTCCTCTTCATGCTTTTGTGAGCGCTTAAGATCCGCGATGCGCCTTTGACCAGCTAACTCGATCATTCTTTCCGCCTCGCACGCTGGTATAGGTACGCTGGAGCCCCATTCGCTGGCCGCATCGCAAAAGTCGATAATCTCTAGTCTCTTAACTGTCTTGAGTAAGACTATGAACAAGTTTTTAGGTGTATTGATCCACTTACCATCCGTCATCTCCTCTGGCTGCTCTGCAACGCCGCGCTGTCGTGACTGGTACATGGACTGATCTGGATTCATCTGCATGAACCTGATGGGATATCGCGGTTGTTTCTTCATCCGTGATATGACGGCTGGGTACATCTGGAGGTAGTCGTCTTTCTGACGACCTGATATCTTCGCCAGTGCGTAGTCGTCGCTGAACGGTGCTAGGAAATTCATAAGCCAGATGATGTCTGCATCGCGGCCTGGGTAATAATCAAGACCTTCAATCAATCCCTTTACTAACCGTAGGGCGAAGAGACCGACAATGATGAAATCTGGAGCTGGCGGTGGAGGTGAGGGTCGAACAGGAAAGCGTGGTGGTGCTGATGGCACGCGCCCAACATCAGGGATTGGTAATAGGTTAGGTTGATGCTGCTGCATGGTCTGTAATTGTTGTGTGAAGCAGAATGAAGAGGCACAGAGTGAGACATTCAGTAAGGGAAGTCGCTCGCATGGTCTTGGCAGCAAACAGTAGCAGTGGCATGTGCACTGAGGCAGGCACAAGCTCGAGTAGTGAAAGCATTGAAGTCAAGGAAAGCGGTCCCTACTTATTGTGAATAATGAACTCTTTGTTTGCTCGACTTTGAATCGTATTTGATAGTATAATGTTCGGTTTAGACTGTGTGAATATTATGTACATGTCTAGTACTGGACTTCTCCTTGAAGACTTAGATCGCGGATACTTCAAACCCTATCCCAATCACATTCGTGCCTATCACTCACAACTAATCTGATCCATGAAACTGACTCAGTGAACCATGTCGCATTACTCCCACCAAGATATTGCCGATAAGAGCTATAAATCCGGGTATCAGTAATTTCTATCCCGAGAATCGCATCAAGATAGGGAATCGTTGCAAGCACATGAGCATAAAAAAGCCGATGAATCCCAGTCTAATGTCGACAACCAAGCAGAACGTGTATATGTGTGTGCTGGGGAGAAAACAAAAAAACAACCCATCATCGTTCCCTGCAACGCCAAAACCATGCATTTCATCAGGTCGTGTCAACGCAGTGTTTTTACTGAGTCGCGCACTGAGGACCGCCCTCGCCCTCCTCATCATCTTCCCACTCGGCACCACCGGCTCGTGGGTCACCACTGCCAGCTCCAAACTCTTCCATGTCAGCATCCCACTCGACCTCGACTTCCTCAACGTCTTCATGCTTTTCCTCGGGCTTCTCATCCTTAGGCAGAGCATCGCGGACCTTTTGCACGGCGGCTTCGCTCTTCAACCATCCATCTTGAGGGAACTCGACATCCACTACAAGGTATAGGTCACCCCTAGTGTCGCTCTTCTTATTCGGCATGCCCTCGCCCTCAATCTTGAGAACTTGTCCTGGTCGGAGAACGTTGCCGTTTGGCTGTTGGACATTCATCTTGATACCCCTTCCGTCGAGGTGGGTGACAACAACTCTGTTAAAGCCTGTAAGAGCTTCGGCCAAAGTGACCTTGAGTTCGCACCGGAGATCGGCACCAGCACGCTCAAAAACGTCGTGAGGTGTCTCGGAAAGGGTGAAGATGATGTCGCCGGGCTCCTGGTCAGGCAGTTGATCCGCCTCTCCTGCTAGCACGATCCTCTCGCCTTCTCGGGCACCACGAGGAATATAAAGTTCAAGAACGTTCTTGGTCTCGACGACCTTGTTGCCTTTGCACTTCTTGCAGCGCTGCTTCTCGGGAATGACTTGACCAGAACCTTGACAGTTGCCGCAAGGGACTGTCTCTTGAGTGACTAGACCAGGACCGACTTGGCGGAGTACCTGTTTGGCACCTACAAGGGTTAGTCAATAATTCCGTTCGAATGTGAAAATAATAACCTACCCCTTCCGTTACACACAGCACAAGAGTTGCTCTTGGCACCCTGTTTGCCGCCACTGCCTTTGCACAGGTTGCAGACAATGTTCTTGGTGTTTGTGAACTTGGTCGTCTTGCCCTTGTATAATTCTTCCAGTGAAACCTCGTACTCTTGCTCTACCGACCGTCCCTTGCGAGGTACGTGGCGCCCGCCAGGCATTCCTCCCATACCACCCATGCCACCCATTCCGGGCATGCCTCCGAAGCCGCCCATGCCACCAAACATTTGCGCAAAGATGTCGTCAATGTCTGGGCCCTCGCCGCCCATTCCTCCCTTGGACGGGTCAAAGGCCGCCATGCCGTGGGTGTCGTACAGTTGGCGTTTGTCATCATCGGAGAGAATCTCGTAGGCTTGCTTTGCAGCCTTGAAGCGGACCTCGGCTTCTGCACGATCTTCCTCTGCGACCTTGTCGGGATGATGTGCGAGTGCAGCCTGAGTATGTTAGAGATGCGTCGCTTTATGCGTCGCCCGCCTTTGCCTACGCACTTTGTGATAGGCCTTTTTGATCTCGACCTTGGTTGCGCCCTTTTCGATCTCAAGGATCTCTGTCTCCGTTAGTTTGTATACACCTCAGGCAAGCATGTAGGCGCACCGTAGAGGTCGATTTCTTCGTCCACTGCGCTTCAGTCAGCATGTAACCATGGCGTAAGGAACAGAATATACGTACTCTTGTGTGGAGTCTAGGGATGGGAAGGTTAGGGAAGAGAGCAAAAGTTTGCTTCAAAGGTACATGTACAAGAAGAAAGAGTGCAACGTGCAAGGCTGCCAACCAGGAGTCGAGTAAAGGTAAGGGCAACAAAGTTTCTCCAGAGAGGCCGATCAGTCTGCAATGCGGGCAAAAGTTCAGACGCGCCCGCACTAAGGTCAAGATAGAAGAGATCCCTGTCTGACATTTTGCACACGCGGACCGGCAGCTTCTGGTCGCCGTCGCATCACCACCGCCATGTCCGTTTCTCTTCTCATTCGCCCGCAATTCCCCGCTTATACATGCCGCTCATGTCTCCTGCGAATATCACGGGGCTCACGGCGCCAGATCAGCTCAAAGGCACCGAAGGACCAGAAAAGTAAAACAGCCTTGCCATCGTTTCCTGCACGGACGCGCTTCGCACCATCACCAACAGGCTACCTGCACCTGGGATCACTACGGACAGCGCTGTTCAATTACCTCCTTGCCAAACGTACAGGCGGACAGTTTCTTCTCCGGATAGAAGATACAGACCAGAAGCGCACAGTGCCCGACGCCGAACAGCGACTATTTGACGATCTGCGATGGGCGGGGCTACAGTGGGATGAGGGGCCACAAGTGGGAGGGCCATATGGGCCATACAAACAGTCAGAGAGGAGCGAATTGTACAGAAAGCATGCGCATGACTTGCTAGAGTCGGGCAATGCATACCGCTGTTTCTGTTCAGCAGAGCGCTTGAATGCGCTGGCCCAACATAGACATAAACTGGGGATAGCCACCGACTACGACCGTACATGCGCCCCGATATCAAAAGAAGAGAGCGACGACAGAGCCTCAAAGGGAGAAGCGCATACCATCCGCCTCAAAGTGCCCGAGCAATACCCAGCCTACAAGGACCTCATCTACGGCACCTTCCACCCCCTCAAGCGACGCGGCCATGTCACCGAAACCGCCTACGAAGACCCCATTCTCCTCAAGTCAGACGGCCTACCTACATACCACCTCGCCAACGTCGTCGACGACCACCTCATGAAAATCACACACGTCATCCGTGGCAGCGAATGGATGCCCAGCACCCCCAAACACATCGCCATGTACCAAGCTTTTGGCTGGGACCCCCCAGAATTCGCCCACGTAGGCCTCCTCGTCGACGAGCATGGCAACAAGCTCAGCAAGCGCAACTTCGACACTGACATCGCCGCCTTCAAAGAAATGCAAATCTTCCCCGAAACCCTCACGAATTTCGCCGCCTTACTGGGCTGGAGCCACAAGGAAAAGACCGACGTAATGGATCTCGAAGCCCTAATCAAGAACTTCTCCCTGAAATTCACAAAGGGAAACACAACCGTTACATTCGGCAAAATGCACTTTCTTCAACGCAAACACGCCCTCCTCCGCGCCCAAACCGGCGGTCCCGCCCTCGATGAAATCGTAAACAACATCGCCGACCTCCTCGCCAGCCCCGATTCCCCCTACACAAACTGGAAAGCCGTCGTCAACTCCCCCTTCCCCCACGACTACATAAAACGCATCGTCCAAGTCGACGCAGAAAACTACACAAACGCAAACGAATTCCTCTACCGCAACTCCTTCTTCTTCACCCCGCTACGTCCATTCCGGAATACACCACCTGTGGCTACATCGTCGGATATCCCCATGCGCGCGCAGATGCTGGCGCAGGTGGAGGAGAAAGATTGGGATAAGGAGCATTTGATGCAAAAGGTGCGCGAGATTATTGATGGGAGGGAGGAAGGCAAGAAGGGGAGTAAGGATGTGTATCATTATCTGAGGAAGACGGTTACGGGGCAGGAGGAAGGCATGCGGATTTTCGATGTCATGTTGATTTTGGGGCGTAAAGAGACGCTGGCGAGGTTGGGGTGCTAAAAGATGGGTTGGGGGGGTGATGCAGATTGATTATGTCTGCTTCACTGAATTGTATGATACCAGTGAGGAGCGAATTTCGTGTCATCAAGCCATGACAGGTTTGTATCGAATTTAATACACTACCCTCTGTAATTCTATCATTCGATCCGGATAATTCCCTTGCTACGCCATAAACGCCTTGCCATGCTGTCCAGTCATTGCACATGTTCGCACACCTCTTCGACCTGCAACATCACGAAGTCTCCATCTCAACAACGTCTGGGCTCTTGACCTCGCCTTCACTCGGCAAGCTGAATACCTTGTCCTTGACCTGTGCCGCCAGCAGACCCATATCCTCTTCGCGCGCAATCTTCGATCCCACCGCACCCAGCTTGGTCAATTGATTCTTGACCTCGAGGCTATTCGAGTAGCCTTGACCGCCCTTGAAGCGTGAGCTGTTGTGTGACTCTTGTTGCATCTTGCGTGCCAGGTCGGAGATTTGCTTGGTACCGTATTCACGGTTTGAGATCAGGGGCGACGACGAAAGCGTCTGTACCCAGTACTTGTTCCAGAGGGCCTCGAGCAGTTTGGCGTCAAGAGAGGACTTGTAGTGCGAGACCTCTAAAGAATAGTAGTGACTGGCGTGAGCACCAAAATCCTCAATCTTGCCCAGCGGAATCGTCTCAAAGCCGTCGCTGTCTGTACCCCCTGATACCTTTGAACCACCCGTCTTTTGCTGATTCTCGACGTACTCGGTCGAGTATGTGCGGAAGGCGCCGATCTCAACCTTGCCTGCAGAGATGGTTCGGTCGGGGTCGATGACGATGGCACAGAAGGGGTCTTGGAATTGCTGTTGCGTTTTCTGCGTATTGACGTCGATGCCAGATAGCCAGCAACCATAGCCAGGATGTGAGTGGTACCAACCCACTGCATTCTCCATTTGCCCTTGTTCGCGTGCTCGCTGCAAGAACTCGACCATGTACTCGTTTGCCTCATCCTGTGCATTGACTCGTGTCTCTGTCCCTTCGACAGGTAGCCGGAAGGCATCTGTGACAACAAAAGTGTGTGCCTCAATCTTGCCCAGCATCAAGCCCATTACCTCAAGTGAACCACCTGAACGCGCGTGCATGACCATCTTGAGGAGGGCGATAGCGGAGATGCGGACCGAAGTAAAGTAGTTGGGGTCGGTTCGCCATGGATGCGCCTCGTTGATGGCTTTCTGAGCAGCAGGAGAGTAGTTGTACAGTGCATCCTTGCTGGGATCAACGAGCTTTATGGAGTTCTCGAGCTCTGGGAGATGTACGTTAGTGACATGTTCGAGTGGCGGGGCGTGCGGGGCGCACATAACGCTGTGCTATTGAAGAAGCACACTTACTCACCCCATGTTTTGAGTGCGGTACCCATTGTGTAGTGATTTCAGGAGTGGTACCGCAGAGGCGTGTTGTTTGGTCTGCTGGTGGTTGGAGGTGGGGAACTATAGTAGAGTAGTGGGATTGCGGGGAGCTCGGGAACGCCAAGACATGACCAGGCACCAGCATATGTCAGTGTGTGTAACTATGTAAGTAATGTTCAGGGTCAGAAAGCAAGAACCAAATCTAAGTCGAAAATTTACAAAAAGTTGGATTTTCTCATTGTCATGGTAAATCTAATACAAAGTCGAGGCCGGCCTACCCAAACACGACACTAGACCTCCAAACTCTCCCATCTTGCGATTGTCTACTTGATCCTCCGCGACTGATCTCCCCACCCGGACCGCTCGTTCATCTTCTTCGCTTCTTCCTCCATCTTCTTGACCCACCTCTTGGTCAATTCATCATTCTCCTTGCGCAGTTTCTCCTTCTCCTGCTCTGCCATATTCAGCTGCAAGTTGAGGGCCACCATTTCGTCGTGTACGTCCTCTACAAGTCTTCCTTTACCCTTGAGTTCCTCAGCCGTGTCCCTGGCCCGCCTTTCCAATGCCATGCGCGTCTTTTCTAGATGTTCTATCCGCCGTCTCTGTTCCGTCTCTGTGGTTTTGAGGGCGGAGAGTTCAGCAGAAGTGGCACTGAGTCGTGCTTCGAGGTCACCTCGGGTACGCTGAGTGGCTGCAAGTTCGGCGCGGAGTTGCGCAACTGTAGAAGACGGTGCGGGATCTGTTGTAGCGGAGCCTTTCGCTTTGCCTTTGCCTCTGATCGTCAAAGCCTTGAGAGAGGCGCTGGCAGATAAAGGTTCTTCAACGGGAGCTGCTGGAGGCGCCAGGCTTGCTGTGCCATCGGCAAGTTTTGTATCTGCATATCATGAGCCCCGCTCGACGCTTCGGCGCAGCACAGCGCAGGCAAAAAGCCTCTTACAGGCGTTGACATAGGCCTCGTGCGCCTTCTCCCTGGCATCACGCGCGTCCAGTGCAGCTAGATAGTCCTCGAGCGGGTTACTCATGGCGGCAGGCCAAGTTGGTTGTAGCGAAAGTAACAGTGCGTCAGGCCTGTCGTTACCATGGTGATTGGCTACATGGAGTGGGCTGGAGATAGTCACGGAGGTGTGAGTTGGCGGGGGATGCGGCCTTCTCGGAGGTCGTCGCTGCTCCGATTCGATCTCTACCAGTGCTAGCGTCAATCGGAAAACATTGAAGCTTCTTCGACCATTCTCACACCACCATTGGCAACTTTTCTTTTTCTTTCTCATTTGTTGCTGCATCCGTCTTCAAACACTACATCCGAAATGCCGCCCACACACATCTCTGGAACCTCACGTGCGCTGTACCGCGTCTTCATCGCCCCATCTCTGCGCACCACAACTTCAATCCCACTTTTGTACGCCCCAGCATTTGCGCCTTCAGTATCAGGACCTATATCTCTCGCCTCATCAACACCCAGCCTCACCTCGCGGACCTCAATCCGCACAAAGAAGTACACCAAAGACACTCGTCGCCATGCAATATCAGACTATTACATCATCGACAACGCAATCGAGGCCGAGCGCATCAACCTCGTAGTCGAAAATGGCACATTTCACAACGACGTTCCGACTGAGGAGGCACTGGCCAGCTACAACAAAGTCACGCACCACCTAGTACAAATGACACCAGGAAAAGTCGACGAATACGGACAGCTCGATCCCGAGAACCTGCCTACCTGCAGAGTCATTTCCAAAATGGATCTTCGCGCTCAACACGAACGCAAGCTCGAGACACTGCGCCGCCAGGCAAAAGGTCAGGGCGCTGGTCCTACTCCAAAGTCCCTTGAACTCAATTGGGCTATTGCGCCCGGTGATTTGAAGCACCGACTGGAGTCTTTGAAGAGGTTTCTTAGGGAGGGGAGGAAGGTCGAGGTTTTGATGGGGCCGAAGAAGAAAGGGAGGAAGGCGACGCCTGAAGAGGCGGATGCGGTTATCAAGGCTGTCAGAGACGCTGTGGAAGAGTGCAAGGGGGCTCGCGAGGGCAAGAGTGAGGGGCAGGTTGGAGGAGTAATGACGGTCATCTTTGAAGGGAGGAAGGTGGAGAAAAAGGCGGAGGACGATGCGGCGTGAGGTTTCTGCGTCACCGAACCCAATATCAAGCATCAGCTGTGCTTCTCGAAGTTGGACGTAGAGTCGCGGGCAGTGTGAGAGACAAGAAAAGAAGCATCAGCGCATGCAACATGTAACACCACCATCTACCATTTCACATGGTATGTAAACGATCAAGCCACGACTCATGAGCATCTATAGATACAATTGTACAATAACACATACACTTCTGAAAAAGAAGCCTATATCCTCTTTTCTTCCTTCCCTGTTTCAACCGCTGAAGTCTCAACCACATCCACATCTTCAACACCCTCTGCACTCTCAGCCTCGATCTCAGCCCTCTTCGCCGCAAGCGCCTCGTCACACGCACGAATCTCCTCTTGCGCCTTTTGCTTTGCTGCAAAGTTGCCGTTCAAGTTCGCGACAACAGATTTCTGCTTTGCAACCTCGAGTTGCGCTTCCAACGACGCTACTTCGACGTCATCGACGTGCGTCCGCTCGATGCTAGCTGCTTCGAGTAGCTCCTCTGCCTTTTCCAGTTCGCCGCCAAGACGAAGAGCCTCAACACGGTGCTCGTGGACCTGAGCAGCGAGTAGCGCAGCCTCGTACTGGACTTCTAATTTCTCAACTTCAAGCTCGCGCATTTCGACCATGAGTTCCTCTGCTTTTTGGCGGGACGTCTCAGCAGCGGTGTTGACGACGTCATCCTTGATGTTGATTTGGTAGTTCAGGGTTTGGATGCGGGGGAAGCGGTCAGGCTCGCCATGGTCGAGATAGTCGGTAAATGACTGGCCTGTCTTCTCTGCGAACTGAATTTCCTTGGCCTCGGCGAGGAGGTTGTAGGCTGAGATTGTGAGTTCGGTGCGCTTGGGGCCTGAGGGGAGGGATTCAGCTTCGGCATAGCGTCTTGTTGCTGTGTCTTCGTATGCTTCGGCGCGGAGAGCTTCTTTTTCTTTGGGATCGGCAAGAGAGAGGCTGCGGAATTCTTCCCAGCCAACAACGGATTCGAGTTCTGAAGGGGGTGATGACCGAATGAGGCTCTTGTGCCATGGCTGGAGAGCCTTGTGTGTGAGGTCTTCTTCGTGGGAAAGAAGAATGTTGTGCAAAGCGTCGCGCTCAATGATGACTCGAGAGAGCTCCAATAGATTCTTGACGTCGACTTCCTCCCATGTGAGAGTTTGCTCGCCGCGGTCCATTTCAACAAGCGCTTGTTCTAACAATGGTCGCTCCTCCAAAGTCACCATTAAGCTGCGACCTTTACCCCGCAGCTTCTCGTGGTGCTTGAAGATATCACTCAGTAATCTTGTCGATGGGCTTTCAATCTCCATGGGGTTGTCAACGATGATGAGTTCGCCCTTTCTAAAGCGATATGACAGTGCTGTCCGCCACGCAAGGTCGTATACCTTCTTTGGCAGCTCTGACGAAAAATCGCGGGGCTTGGGACCGAATGCAACTCCACCTCCTCTCAACATGGGCGATTTTTTGTCTCCCAGACGAGCGCGACCTGTACCCTTTTGTGGCCGAATCTTTCTTGCTGAACCGCGGATCTCATGTCTAGTTTTCGTAGAGGCAGTTCCCAACCGGGTCATATCACCCTCATAGACGACAGCACGGTGTAGTATGTCTCGTCGGGTAGGTAGGTAAAGGTGGTTTGCAGGATATTGTTCGAATCGTAGCGGCTCCAGTGAGGGGAATTGGTGGATAGTCGCCAAGACGGTCTGCTCCTCAAACGGTTTGACGGAGACATAGTCGACGCCTGGTTGTCTGATTGTTGATATCGTGGCATTGACTGGCGCAGACGTAGTTATGGAGCGGGCAGAGGGTGTGCATAGAGATTTCTGTGAGGCGTTAGCAGGTCGCATGCCACAAATGTGAGACTACTCACGGCGCAACGAGTGCACAGCGCATTCTGCCGTATTGACAGTCTGCTCAATTGCAATGTGACGCCCCGTATCGGCGCGGATAACCTCGAGGAAGCCATGCCGGGTCGGGTATCAAAAAAAAGCCCCAAGGTTGAAGTCGCGGAGTTGAGGACGGAGGTTTCGGAGCACGGACCGTCACCCATCACCACATTTTCTAGCACCACCATCACTCGGCACATCGACACCAAGCCATCGCCCGCCATGGCCTCCATGCCGTCCGTACGCCAGTTCAGCGCATGCCTGAGATGCGTGCGACAGATGCCTGGCACCATTGGCGCCCGCCGTCTGCTCTCGACCTCCGCCGTGGCCCATGAAGAGGTGCAGACGCAATCTGCGAATGCGACTCGGCCTCCCCCGCCCTCGAACCCCTCCGAAGGTGCTGCCCAGAATGCTTCTCCCCAAGCAGTACCCGAGTTCATGCAAAAATGGGGAACATTGGACCCTCAAATGGTGGAAAACAAGAAACAGGAGCGCCGGCTGCTACGGAGAGAGCATGTGCAACCAGTGGGATCTCGCCGTCGTCGTGCTGCTCTTCGCCGTTCTGCGATACAGAAGGCGACAGAGATTCCCTTTGAACAATTGCCTTATCAGTGCTTCCAGGAGGCTCGGAAGTTCTTGTTGGAGGACAGGCAAGAGAAGATTAAAGAGATCGAGACACAGCAGCTGCGAATCAAGAACTTGATGGACCAGGACCCCAGTGTCAGCGGTGGGCCCGCAGCAAAGGAGCATAGGTTACGGAGTATGCGGAAGCATTTGAATGAATTGATCATTCTGGCCGACATCAACGACCCGGTGGTCAAGCGAAAGTTCGAGGATGGCCAGGGTAGGTTGTATATCTGGTTTTCTGGGCTTGACTGACCGCTGCAAAGGTGACATGAACAAGCCCATATATCGATACCTTGCCGACAAGAAGTGGCGGCAGTACAAGCGCCTCGTTCTTGAGCAGCGTGTTACACAATTGGCCATTATTCCAGATATTCTCCCCTCGTTGGATCTTGTAGCGGACATCGACCTCGGTTTCGGAAGGAAGTCGGTTGCACCAGGCGACTTTGTCGACTCTGCTATCAGTGAGAAGATGCCTCGACTCAACGTTCAAATGTTCACTCCGGGTGAGAAACTCGTCACAGTTGTGGTAGTAGATGCGGATGTGCCTGTCCCAGAGACTGACAGCTTCACCTACCGATGCCACTTGATTGCCTCCAACATACCCCTTTCCCCCAACAACACATCTATACCTCTTCAACGCATCGCCCAAGAAGACCAAAAGGTCGACGATCCTAGCGCAAAGAAGATTGCACTGCCCTGGATTGCACCCTGGGCTCACAAGGGCGCGCCATACCATCGTTTAGGAATCTTTGTCTTTGAGCAGAATGCTGGTCAGGCCCTTGACGTTACCAAGTTCAACAACGTCAAGCGCATAGGGTTCAACCTGCGCAGTTTCACCGACTCGAACAAGCTCCACCCCATCACGGCTACGCTTTTCAGAACCAAATGGGACGACAGTATGGCAGGTGTTATGGAGCGAGCTGGCATGAAGAGTCAGATCAATGTCGAATTCAAGAGGAATAAGGTAGAGCCTCTTCCATACAAGAGAAGGACAGAACGCATGCGATAAGCGACTTGTAGGAGCCAAGCCGAAAGAGCGGGTGCACGATGTAGATTTATGTACATTATATAGTACCTTGACGCACTATACTATTATACTTCAAGTGAGACACGTATTTTTATGGTCTGAAGAGTGTGAAGTTCATGGGTGTGCATGAGTCCGAAGGTTGAGCACACGGAGGTCGCTCCTTCCGTATTCAGTGTGTCAGTGTCTCTCACTCGCCTGCCCTAATATATCAGTGTCACTTGCCGCCTACCACTTTCTTTTCTCACTGATCGTGAGATGCGTTCTGCAACTGGACAATTGTCCTTACTATCATCTTTCCTCTGCATCATATATCGTAATCTACTCTATCCCATATCGCGGTCTTATTACAACCTCAATACAAGACGCGGTAATGGATACGCTTGCAACTGAAAATCCTTCAACTTCTCTACCATCTCAGCAGCAGATAGCCCTTGCTATTGCCATTATCAGATGTAAACCCGCAGGAGTGCCATTGCGAGGTTGGTAGATGTCACTGAAACGCACTGAAAATCAACTAACAAGACAAGAACACATTCTCCATCTACGGTCCCAGATCAAGCTTGGCCAAGATCCAAGAGAAAGAGCGAACCCGGGATGCTATGTTGATCAAGTGGCCTACTGGAAGGAACGATGCAAGCGAGCAGAAGATGAATGTGACCGACTTCGCAATGTCAACATCAAACTTGAGAGATCGAACCAACTACTATCAAATCAACCAAGTGCAGTGCCAGACCTCGAAGCGGATGCCAATTTTCGGCCGCCATCATCAACGAAAAACTTGAAGCGACCAAGGCGGTCGCAAAAACAGGCCCAAGGTCCGGTCGCTGCCGCACAAGAAACTGTCGATCAGGACTTGGATTTCCTAGAGTCTCTTGGAAGATATGGCAACACCCTCATGGAATCAATGTTCAGTGTTCATTCCCTATGTAAAAATAGTGATCCCGATGCCAGCACATTATGTTCACATCTGCTAAGCAGTGCTTCATCCATGGGGAAAGTCTTACTGTTCATTGCCCAAAATCACGGCACTCTGGCTCAACAGGGATACAAAAACTCTAGTGGAGCAACCTCCCTGGAGAAAGACAAATCGAACTTTGCTAATGCACTCTCGGTGTGCGCCAGAACTTTCATGTCTATACTAGTCGGGTTGGACAAGCTTACAAAGTTAGAACTCGACAAAAGACTAGCAAGTTTGGTTATTTGTGAGTTGGCAGACATGTTCAAAGTGGCACTTAGGGCTATCGAGATATCCGCCTGGCTCACTGCACAAAGCTTTCTCTCGCAGCCACCGGCCCAGAAGAAAAGCAAGACAAAGGCATCTTCAAACACCATCGGAGAGTCCAGTCCAGCCAGAGCAGTCGCACATCTCCTTATCAGTTTTCTGGGTCTCCTAGAAAAGAATGATGAAATTCATCAAAGGATCTTCGACGGCTTCATCTTTGTTCTTTTCGAACGCGTCGGTAGGAGACTCTATTACTCGACCTTCGGCCAGCACCGCTCTTCTAGTGTCGAAATGAACATCCTACCTCTACCTGACGCAAAGGATGCAGCTGAAGCCTCGAAGCGAGATTGTGATGCACTTTCCCTGCGTTTGGAAGCCAAAGCACTCATTCTAATTCTTGAGCGAGCAATGGGTCTGGCCCCAAACCACATGAACTCACAAAGCCTTAGAGCGCAGCAGAATCCAAATCGAGCTATCCGTACAATGAGTATCAAGAATATCACTACTACCTCGAGGGCCCGTCTGAGTCCGCTTGCCAAAGATCGGCTGCAGCGTACGCTTGTCGCGTGCATGTATGGACACAGTACTGACGATGACTTTTTGGACGTTCTTACGAAGCCGATGCCTCAAATGCGTCTGGGTTCGTTGCAGAATGTGTCCAAGGTGGAGGATGAAGACGTGGAGACATGGTATAAGGAGGAGGTCTGGCGGCTTGTTGGCTGGGATATTCTTGCGCGGGAGAGTGGGTGGTAAGGTGCTCGTCATTTCGGACAAAATGTGCTATATGGCTTCTTCAAGTAGTGGGGCATACGGTGATCTCAGGTCTGGGCTTTTAATACTTCAAAAGAACATATTGTATGTACCTATTGCTATTTACTCAAGCTAAATGAAAATATTGCCACGATTTACCTTACACCCTATCCTATCAACGCCAAGACATAGACAACACAACCCTTCCGAGCCTCAAAGATGCTCCCGCCCTTCATTCAACCTCTTCTCCTCCGCATACGCCGAAACCTCATCAAAATTCCGACAAACATGAATCGCCCCCGTCCCATCCGTCCCAGGCACATGCTCGATCCCAGGTGTGCGGGTCTGTCCCTCAAGCGTCGTATCTCCAAAGCACATGATGACATTCCGTATATAATCGAAGCAATGGTCATTGTGCAACAGAAAGCTTTCATCGAGGTGAAAATCTTTCCTGCGGACCTGCATGACGAGGTCGTCCATGGAGGCGGCAATGTGCATGAGACAGTGTAGCTCGTGGAAGACGGCGAGGGAGAAGACTTCTTTGCCGGGGGCTTCGGGGAAGTGCATTGGAGGGGGGAGGGTGTACGAGTTGTAGTTCGGGACTTCCATGAAGCCGGCGCCGACTGTTATGGTTAGAATGGGGGTTTTTTTTGTGGGAAAGGAGGGGTTGCTTACGGGGGAGGAGGTCAGCCCACTGTTGTTTTGTTTTGTTGACGGATTCCATGGTCTTGTGGTCGGATCTGAATCTCTTGTCGCTGCGGAAAATCTTCTTCTCGGTCGAAACTGGAAATTCATTAAAAGGATTTTCTAGTAAGGGGCGAAGTAATTGACGTACAAACAGGGACAATGCTGTTGAAATCTGTTCCTACTTGTACTGCCTTTGGCTGATTGTGAAGCATGGACAGTTCGCATAGCAGTATGACGAATAGCAAGAAGAATGTGACAGGCCAGCGAAGAAATTCCAACTTTTCAAAGATTGAACAGCATCTGTTTCTCCGAGGAGGTACGCGTTGATGCTCAAGAGAGCCGTCCTGGGAGCTTTCGCTGCTCACTTTGGCATACCGGAAGGGCGACATAGTACAGCGGAGTGGCAATTAGGTAAAACGGGAGGATCAAGATTAGAAGGTTATGCTCGCGGGTGTTAGAGTTAAGATCACACGACTGTAACGAACGTAGTGCCAACCATCTGAAAGGTGTTGGGTTGGAACCGTCTCTTATGTGGGGAGGCCGTCGACATATCCAGCTTGCGTACTAGGTACGCCTGTGTCAAGAAGGCTAAGCCTGTTTCTTTTGCCTTGAGCGTTATTCAATTCCCAATTGGATAATCCCACCCCTACCCTCCAAAAGGCCTATTGAATCTCCTAAATGTTCAACTGCCCTTATTTCTCAGCTTGGAAATGATCTATGGGATTCGCTGCTGGGTATGCAAGGGGCGACGGGCGCATTCTGGGTTTGTGAGTCCATCGCGCCACCGTCATCTCTCAGTAGTAGCTTAATCTCACTCCAAGTGTTTCTCGTCCGGAAAGCTCTCCAGATAGCTCTCTAGAACATCAACCACATCAGCCTGTGCAGATTTTATAGGTTTCTTTGCCACACCCTGTGTGTTCTCTTGCTTCTTCTTTGCCCCCACTGCTCGACGATGCGCACGACTCTTGACATGTAATGTCCAGTCGTTTTCGGTAACAGCAACTGTTCCGCATGTTTCGCAAACTTTCTTCTGCCAAAGATCTGGTCTTTGCCCAAGATCATATTCCCGTTTTGGTGTAAGCATCTCTGCTGCAGTAGGCGAAAGTGATGATGGCTCTGGAAGAGCCTCGCCCGCAAGGAACTGCTTAGTGATGGCGGTCGCCGGCTGCGCGACATCAGTATCCCACTTCGAGATGTCAGACCCATCAACCAAGAAGGTATTTCTCTTCTGTCCTGAGCCTATCAGTGCGTTCAGCAGCTTGATGCGGATCCATTTGATCTGACGATTGGCATATTGGCGCGTAGCTGCTTGGGTCTTCTCGATGGCGGCTACTTTCAATTTCTCGAGCTCTTGTGGTGACATTGATTGATTTTCCAGCGCATGCTGATAATCCAAGAACTCCTTGTACCCTATTGATACCCAGATACCACGAGTTTGATCCACGCGAATACCGGTCTTGGCTTCATACTGCTGGCCAAAACTACTTAGCTCCTGAACTTCTGAAAGTAGACCTTTGTTCAACATCTTATCGACACGTCCATCAAGCCGACGATGCAGAACATCTTTATTAGCATGTACCCAAAACACTAAAGTCTCAAAGCGAAGACGTGGGCTACTAGTAGATTGTGGGGTATCCGGTGAAGATGGGGAAGACTGGCGTTTGAGTCTTTGTTCATTGTACAACTCAGATGCTGGTCGTCCTGTCCTTAAATATATCTCGAGTGAGCGTTGGATCTTACGCCGTTCGTTTGGATGCCAACGACCTGCCATAATAGGATCAACTTCCTTCAGCTTTTCAAGTAGGACTTCAGTGGGCTCCTCCAATATTGGTAGCTTTTCACTGTTTTCGTTCAAATTCAATGCAGGCTCATCAGCAAGCGCATCTTGAAACAAAAGCGACTGCGTGTAGTAGTGGGTTCCGCCGACTAAAACAGGTAACTTGCCGCGGCTTCGGATCTCTTCGATCTGATCTGATCAGTGGCATGCCCTTTACGCGGGCTTGGTTCATACTATGCTCATAGCCTCGCCCACAAACTTTCCTACAGTCCATGTCTCTTCTTCTAGACCGATGGATCCTAGGAGGTGATGGGGAACGCCTTTCGCTTCATCTGGAGTAATCTTGTTGGTGATAATTGGCAAGCCCCGGTACAACTGCATTGCGTCTCCATTGATGATCTCGCCATTGAATTTCCGTGCAATCTCCACTGCTAACTGTCTGCTGTGATCAGTTCTCGCTCAGCATGACTCAGTTTATTTTCATTACATCTGATTTGCCTGTACCAGTCGCACCCACAACGGCAATCAAGGGCTTTAACGGCGCTTGCGCCATCTTGCATGAACTAAACGATCTGATAAGACGCAACATGCATGGATCAAATGACGATGCAGAAGGGGTGGTCTGGAAGCTGAAAATGCTGGCCAGATTCGTGCGGGGATACGCTTTTCCCAATGAACACTAGCGCAGCCGATCGTGCCCTTCCAGTTAGTTTCACCAATCGGCTGGAAGGGATGAACACGGTACCAAGTCAATTGGAGACGTAAAAGTCATACGACGACCACTCAGATGGCTGATACCCCTCATTCATTCACTTCTGTACCACACGATAATGCGAACAAACGTGACAATCACGAGATGATCTGACACATGTTGCAGCCCCAACATATCTTGCTCAAACCAAGTGAGATATAAAGCAAGCAAGGCACCTCCTAACATCATGATCCTTCAGTATCAACAATATGTCTCATCAAACACCAAAAACGAACTTCATACCTCTCCTACCAATAGAAACCCACTCACAGACCAAGAAAGTCTCGCCTCCGATCAACAAAATAACACAACAAGGCTGTGAGCCACGCACAGAGATCACCCCCTCCTCTCAGCACCAAGACCGGAATCAGACAAGCCCCAGTCTTAGTCATGGAGTTGTAGACCAAGGAAAGTACGACTACCCCTTCCTAAAAGCCAATGTGCTTTTCTCACAGAGCAGTGAACACACAACCGAAACGATGCCAAAAGAAAAGGCTTCTGGCATAACGACCGAAGTCAACGAACTACTAAAGACTAGTTCCTGGTCTATCCCTCATGCCCACGAGTATCAGAAGCATGCTTGGCATAGTTCTGTGCTGGGAATGGAGGCCAAAGTCAAAGACGAGTGGGGATTTTCTAGCGCAAACGCATCGCGTTCGCACACCCCAAACCCAATTTGCTAAGATGATTGTTGTGGACCAAAAGTTTTTTGTGTAAATTATTTGTGGCGATATGTACTTTAGTGTAGTGTTTCTTCTTGTCAGCGCTAGCGACTGCTTCCCCGCTTCTATGTAACCAAATTAACTCTTCGAAATATCGTGGCGATCGGTTAAATCGAAATGGCGGAGTTTGCAACTAAGATACACATGTATCTTACATGGAACTCTAACAAGTGTCTAAGACTGCCGCATATTTTCATGCCTATGTTTCGCTCATCCAGCATCCTAGTGTCTGCTAGCATTTAGGGCCTGGTCCTCCACGTCGAGTTCCTCGCTATCATGTAATCTTTACTTTGTATCGACTTCCAAATGCCCCAAAACCCACCCAATGGCCAGATACCCCTCAACTTGAGACCCCAGTCCTTGTTGGCCATTTCCGTATACTTCTCAACATCTACGTGCACCTTGTCATAGACTTCTGGAAGCATCTCGGCGTTGTATTTCTTTCTCAGTCCTTGATGCCATTTGTGATCGAATTGGGACCAGAATTCTTCTCTGCTATAGTATGTTTGCGCGTACAACCACTTCATACCGCCCATCTCACCAAGTGTCTTCTCGAGAGCACGGTTCTTCTGAAGGTAGGTCGTGGGGTCGCTGGGCCCGAAACCCCACAGTCCGATATTAAGCATCTGGTCTGATTTAAGAGATCCCTTCGTATGCGGGTGCATGGTCGGTTGGGGACTTTGCTTGAGAGGGCAGAGCCACAGTGGCCAGATGTTGAATGTCTTGTCTGTGTACTCGATGAACTTCTCCGCATTCGGGTATGGCAGAGCCATGTCTTGTACAATGTAGCGTGTTGCGATTCCGGATGCATGCAAAGCTCGGTATAGCATGCGCGTGTGCAAGAAGTCGTCGAGGAACCATCGGGTGTATTTGTTGAAGGGAAAACGCATGTAGCTGAATGCAGATCGTCCGACCCAGAATCCGCCGCGGTCGTAGCGAAACATGTACTCAGCCAATGGTATGTATTCTATGACCGGCTCGTTGGAGTTTCGCGTTGCTGCTTCAACATGAAGATAGAACCACGGATCCCAGGGATTGCTAAATGTTTGCGGCTTGGTATTGGGTGGGAGCTCGTCGGTCATTTCGCCGGTGACTATAGCACCGTGATCTTTACTGAACAGCACGCCATCCACATAGTCATTTCTAGAACCTTTTTCGCCTTCGGTATGCTCCTTGACCTCTTTGATAGCCTGTGCCACATTGCGGGTAGGATAGTATGTAGTCTTGACATATTTTTTGGCCTCGACAAGATTTAGATCTACCAGAGTGGTGACACCGAGAGTGCCGACTGCACCAGCAGCGCCCCGAAACAGATCTTCATTCTCCTTTTCGCTTGCTTTCATTACTCTGCCATCGGCCATTACCATTTCCACTTCATTGATTGTCCGGTCAAAAAAGCCAAACTTGAAGCTACTACTCTCTCCTGCTGTTCCTGCATATCCTCCTCCTACAGTGATACCAGGGAACTCCATGACAACAGGCGGTACTAGACCATATGGCAAAGTCGCTTCCACGAGTCGATCCATAGGGACATTGGGCTCCACCAGCGCTCTCTTGCTTTCCGTATCGACTTTTATGACATTTTTCAGAGCACTTATGTCAACGACATGTTTCTTGAGGTTTGGCCGTGTGCTATTTGTTGAGCCGTGTGAGATTCGGAATGGTTCTTTTCGTGTAAAGTAGTCCTTGACTTTAGACGCAACTTGCGCGACAACGCGCTGGTGACGGTCCATATCAAGATCTTTCGTGAGTTGAGATATCCAGCAATGCCGTTGTCATTGATACATGACAGTCACGTCCTCGTCGTGTGATTGGAGATGTTGTTTTGGTAGACTTTATCGGTGAGGTACAGATTTTCTCCGATGCGCTAAGCTTCGCTCGTCTAGCTTCAGTGTTTCTGGCCTGCGTCTTTCTTCCCCGAACTCGCAGATCTGATACATTTACTTCTTTTGGGTTTTTTGTTCTTTGTTTGTTATGCCCACGTCGCAAAGATCGTGCACAAGCCATGCTCTGCTCTGTGAAGACGGTTCACGTTGGCATGAATAAGCCCTGTACGAGACTTGCCGGGGCCGAAGTAGCACCTCTCCACCTCCACACCGTTCATTCCGTTTCTCGTCCTCGCTGAGCCGTGCCTGACCATACCCCTTTTGCCATTACCCAACGCTTGTTATCGTGATTTCCAACGGCCAGCCGCTCTAAGGTTACATCGGCTTTGCAGATTGCGGGGCGAAGCGACTTGACAGCATCTGCCAAGATACCTTGGCTATTCAATACAATAGAATAGTTTACCTGGGCCACCGCACTCACTATGACACCAATGATTTCGCGTCAATGATGGTTTTCGTCGCGTCCTTGCTCCTACTACCTCCATTGGTTGTTGCGCTACAGCCCTTACCACCAATTTCACAAGCAGATAAGAGCAACAACGACCTCGGCTTCTCAGTCACTAAGCAAGGAACAAAAATATACATACAAAATGCTTTTGCTGATAAGAGAGATTTCAGTGGTCTTACGCTGATACCCCCCAGTGCTGAAGAGTTTGCGGAAACATTCCGCGCGGATTTGTCGTCGTTGTATGGTAATCAATGGACCTTGGAGCGCGTCGATGAGCTTCCCACAACTGGCATCCTCCTCGGTCCATTTCGGGGTAACGCTGACCAACTGACCTATGAGAACGGCATCGCAACAGAAGAAGGATACGAGCTCGATGTTGCCAATGGCAGTATCTACATTGGCGGGAGTGGTGCACGAGGCATGTTTTGGGGTACTCGGACTGTACTACAGGAACTGCTGATCGGAAATGGATCTTTACCATCCGGAAACGTTGTTGACGCGCCTGCATATGCCACTCGTGGATATATGCTAGACGCAGGCCGGAAATGGTACGATAAGCATTTTCTCAAAGAGCTTTGCTCATATGCGTCGTTCTTCAAGATCTCGGAATTCCACTACCACTCGAGTGATAACTATCCCTTGAATCGTGGCCGCAACGAGACCTGGCAAGATGTGTTTTCGCACTTCTCGCTATATCCTGAGAAGAATGCAGAACTTAGAGGATTGATTCAGCGTCCTAACGAAACACTATCGCGCGCCGATTTCGAGGACTTCCAAAGCCATTGCGCACAGCGAGGTGTTACCGTTATTCCTGAAATTGAGGCTCCAGGCCATGCACTAGCAATCACCAAGTGGAAACCTGAGCTCGCCTTGAGTAAGAAGGATCTGCTAAACCTAAGCCATCCAGATGCAATTCCTACTGTAAAAGCCATCTGGTCAGAGTTTTTACCATGGTTTCAAACAAAAGAAGTACACATTGGTGCGGACGAGTACGACGCAGATCTAGCTGATGACTACATCAATTTCGTCAACGAGATGGCCGATTTCGTCAAAAATAGTTCCGACAAGGAAATCCGCATTTGGGGCACACATGAGCCATCAGAAAACTTTACCATTTCAAAAGATGTCATCACACAACACTGGCAATACGGCCAATCAGATCCAGTCTTGCTACAAAAAGACGGCTATCAAATCATCAACTCCGAAGATTGGTGGGCTTACATGAGTCTCAAGAACGACCACATGCCTATCTTACCAGCACCATACCCGCAGTTCTACAACGTCACACGTACGCTCAACTTCGCAGATGTGCCAGGTTGGCAGTGGGAACCGTCACTATACAACCCCTTCAACAAGACGGAACAGCTACAGCCTGGGGCTCAAGGCAACAAGGGCGCTATTCTAGCAGCTTGGAACGATAATGGTCCAGATGCAACGACGCAGTTGGAGGCTTACTACGCAATGCGGGAGGGTATCCCAGTTGTGGCAGCGCGCGCTTGGGCAGGCAATCGAGGCGCAAAGATCAACGTTGAAGAGCTACCAGACAGCCTATCATTCCTGGTAAGTATTAGCAAGAAGATAATTGCCAGCTACACATGCTAACACATAAATCTAAAGACACCTTTAGCCCCAGGACAAAACCTCGATCGCCGACTCCCCGGCTCACAAACTCTCTCTACCCAAACGGCCTCTCCACTAGTATCCTGGACGCAGAAGCCATCTCAGTCCGCAAACTCCTCCTTAGGACTAGGTTCTTACGGCCCACCGTACACACTTACCCTTGATATCTCGTCGCCCTTTGCACTGTCTGGACCCGATACCTCACTCTCCACCAATACAAGCGGCAACATCACCACACTCGTCTTTACGACATCCGATGGCTTCCCATACCCCTTACGTCGCGTGTCTCCCAACGATGGCCATGAACCCGGTCACCCAGGCCGCATATGGACGAACCAGTCCACGTCTTCGCACGAGCCTGTTCCCATTAAGCTACCTGCAAAGTTGCGTATCGAGACTGATGTAGTGAATGGCAGTCACGTATGGATTAACGATGCATTTGCGGGCCGCTTTGAGGTGTTTGTGTTTGGTGGGCGCAATACGTTGTTTAGCTGGAGTCAGATGGCGCTTGTGGCGCCGTTGGAGAGTGTACAGGGAGGTGTTGATAAGTTGGTATTGGAGGCTGGGGTTGGGAATGGTGTGGCTCAGCAAGGTAATGGAAGCCAGGCAGTGCCGTCGTTTACAGGTGGCGCGGAGCGACAAGCTGCGTTTAGTGGAGGGGTTTTGGTCACAGCGGTTGGTGTAATAATGGCGCTGATTGTCTTTTGAAGATATTATACAAGGATGTGCATCGATTGAGAGAATATTGTTTAATGACTTTTCTTCATCATCAAACATAGTGGAGGTATGAAGCAGAGTAATACGAGATTCCTTGAAGTTTAGAGGGATAAAGCACGGATTTGAAAAAGTATCTTACCCTCTCAATCGTGCGAATGGAGAAAGTCGTGGTATTTAACATTGTTTCTGCATTCGTAGTTCAAGCGAGATGCGACAAATCTAGAATTATTCCAACGTTGAAATTCCGTCTCAATACGTCGCAGTCAATCTTTGCACCAAGTAATCTCCACTCAGGACATCCCCATATTTTCTTCCATCATTCTCAAATGTCCCGGGAATAGCTTCAATCTTGCGGTCATAGTTTGGATTGCAAAAGTAAGCTATCGAGTATCGTGGTGGATACTCGTCCTTGTCGGCATCCTCTGGCTTTGGTGGCGGCTCTACAACGCGGTGCTTGGTTGACTTGATGGTGTCATTGGACCAGCGCGCGAGTAGGTCACCAGCATTGACTACGATGGTTCCTTCGATGGGTGTCGCGTTGACAAAGGTGCCCTTTGGTGAGCGGACTTGGAGTCCGCCGCGAGAATCTTGAAAAAGAAGGGTCACCGAGCCTGGGTTTTTGTCAGCAACTATTTTGATAAATTTTAAGGTAGGGATTCGTACCATAATCGCTGTGCTCTCCTGCGCGAACCTGCAACTGACCGTCATTCCTCTTGAAGACGCTCTTGGACACCCCCGGGTAATGAAGTAACCTCAACGTGTTGTCTCCGGCATCTGTGAAGCCATCGAACCACTTCTCGTCGATACCAATACCCAGCGCAATTGCGCGCATGACATGCATATGTAGGTTTTTGCAGGTCTCAAAGAAACCCATCATCTGTTCTTTGAATTCCGTTGCTTCCTCGTCCCCGCTCGGCCACATGTTGGGAGTCTCTGGTTGATCGTCACGCCCGATTTCCATGCTCTCTTTCAAATCTGGCACCAGGGCACGCATCTGCGCCTCGGTTCCTGTTTCTTCTAGAACAACGAGCTTTTCGCGCCCCTGTGTTACGTAGCCACGATTGGCGGCCGCCGAATACCATGCCAAGGCATCTTTCTGTTCTTTCGGCCTGGCGAAGAACTTGGCCGAGTGTGAGAAGACTGTTGAAACTGTAGATTGGGGGATGCCATGGTTCTTGAGATAGATGAAGCCGGCGTTCTGGAAGCCTTTCAGGACAGCGTCAGCAGTCTGCTTCTTGGCATTGGCGTCGCCAGAGAGGAATGCGGAGAAGTCGATGAGCTGTATGATGTTAGACGAAGGAAGCAGTTAGTCTTGTGCGAAAAGAAATACTGGAATTTCCAAGTCATCCTGCGAGACTGCAGAGTCAACAGTAATGCTCGCCATTGTGGTCGCTTGGTATGTTCTGTCTACTGGGCGGCTTGCTTGGGTGTATGTGGAGTTACAGCAGCACCATTGGTATATAGCTAGACCGGTATTTTGAAGGATTTGTGAGACGAAACTATCTATGAATCGGCCGTTTCCGCCGTGTCAGGTGCATCGTGAAATGCTTGGGAGTTGTAGGTGGGGTTGTTGCCACACAAGGAAGGTGCAGACGAGAGGCGATAAGGCTAATGGTGGGGTTGGTGGGACGACGACAAGACGCTCAACGTTACATCTTCATGTATCGTAAGTCTAATTTTTATGAATTCCGTCACCAAGTTGTTCGGATCCTGGGAGAACATGAGCAGAGATCCAGTTTGGATGCCTAGTCGTATCCTCACAACCTCAAGACATGCTACAAGGACAACAATTCTTGCTCTTCGTCCACTTTGAGCTTACCATATCACATTTCGTAAATAACTCGGAATAGTAGCACGCCCTTGATTGAATCTGGGAAGAAATAATGAAAGTCCTTTCATGAAACAATTGCAACACCAGGCACCCCCAGCCAGTAGCATCGCTGTTATGGTTGCAATACTGATAGCTGTTTCGAGAGACTGAGGAAACTGTCGGAATATCAACCGCCAGACACCCTTCCCTTGTTCGGAAGATACCCTTTTCATGGTGTAGATTCTCTTGTTCTGAGGTACTTCGTATTGCGCATTTCCCCTGCCTCAGTTATTGTAAAAGCTAGTGAATATGTATCCTGTTTCTTCCTGGATACCATACACAAGGCAACCGCCATTGATGAAAAGGGGGGGTGAGCGAGCGCAGAATGGAGTGATATCAACTGTCTTCTCAGTCCTAAACACAGCGCAAACAACAGTGTCGGAAAATGTAAGCAAGTAAGCTAATCCAGCACATAGACCTGGATGACTCGGGGCAAATCCCCTAACACGGGTGACTTTAGAATGAGATGTCGGCTCTCGAAAGAAAAAGAGCACAGATAGGGTATGGAAAGGACGTTATAGAGGGGTCTACAGGCACGCTGGATGCAAGTGACGTGCGTAGCATGTCTGTGCGCCAGCCTAGTCCATGTACCATAGTGAAGGTGAGGGTGACAGACAGACTCTCGCCACGTCCGTTTGTATGAGCGTCCCGTGTTAACTCACTCTTACCCAGCCACAATAGCAAGTTTCCGAATCAATAATCACCGATTGCTATAATTCCAGATTGTCCGACTAACCCTGACGTCTATTCAATACCAACTCTCTTCAAATTACTACTATAATCTTTTCTTTGTCACCTCATTCTACGAGATATTGGCCAACATGCTCGAAAACCAAGCAGCAGTCGTTGATGCAGAGCTCGCCGAACCCAACGCTCTGTCTACTTCACAGGGCAAGAATGAACCGGTGCCTTTTCTATTCAAAGAAAAGAACACACTGCTTCGGGAAAAGATTGGCGAAAACGAGAAATACAGAGATATCCTGATTCAGATGGTCAAGAGGCGTCTTGATGCTCTGTTGCCACCCGAAGCCAGCAGCAAGGGTGCTGGAGAACATGCAGGCGAAGTGACAAACACCAAAAACGCCAACCACCCAAATAGCCTCCTTACCGCTAGTGCTCTAAGCAATCTTTCAGTAGATTCAGATCACCATAGACTCCTCAAGTCAGTTACCCCCAAAAAAACACTTCAGCACATCTCCTTACCATACCCAGCCTACCCCACCCCCCTTACCACTCCCTTTCCTCTCCTCCGAACTGTCCCCCGACAAAGCGAGATAAGTCCCATATCTTCAAGTAAGTTCCTCCAATCAAGACACACCCAAGCCTACCTTTCTCACCATACTCCCAGCCCACCACCCATCGACCGCGAACAGCAACGCCGCATCCGCATCCAAGAACGCGAGTACCTCACCGCCAAGCTGCACATTGGAGTGGGAGCGAGAACAGTACTTGTGCATGCACAAACGCTTGCGCCCGCGCACCCATAAGGAACTCGCCAAGCAGTCTGGCGATGGGGTGCAGGGAGGTAAAGTCATGAAGGAAAAGGGAGACGTGAAACTTAAGCGGCGGAAGCACAAGGAATGGAAAAGGCTCGATCGAGAGGTCACCGAGGGTTTGCTTGAGAGGCTTGAGGTTAATCCTGTGATTCGCGAGGAGACGGATGACCAGGTCTGAGTAGGACTGTACAAGATTGATGGATGGGACTTGGAGGGCATATGGGGTATTGGCGCTGGTCCTTGGGTATTCTGCGATTGTTTGGAGGGGATAATGGAGGGATGACTATGTACTTAGGGATCACACATGCGTTGCGTGAGCATGAATGGAATCCGATGATGGGGTTCTAGGCTAGTATGCTGTAGGGTAGGTAGTACGGCATAACGGGCATGGAGTCATGTAATGTACTGATAGCACATGTATGGTGGTGCGTAGAGATGTAGCTTTAGCTGCATATTGCCCCAATTCCTCATTACTGCGACTTGCTCTGTTTGATATGTAGTAGTTGTCGAGTGACACCGGCGCTAACTGAAGACAGAAAACCACTCTCATCTTCGTATATGCAAATTGGATAGTTAGACCAGACATTCTCGAAAACAAATCAACTTGCACTATTTCTCGTTTTTAACACCGCTCAGACCAATCGATATATGCAACCGAAGCTGACATAACTGTTTAATTGGAGTTCGGTCCAACAATCATCGGTACATAGGGCCATAACGCAAACATATCCTCAACATTCCCACTCCCCAGCAAGCCGATCACCCCGGGCCCTCGCACTCCCAGCGCCCCGAACCCCGAGAGTATTAAAACCAACGGGTAGTTCGGCCGCTCTACTGATGTCAACCCCGGCTGCACGAACGATTTTACGATGATGGCGAAGACATTGGCGCGGCATCGGGTGCTGGACCCTGAGATCGCAGCGCAACATGAGGAAAATGACGTCTTCGATGCGATTACTCCGGACACATGCGGCTTTTGGACACAATTTGCATGATATCTAACTACTTCGTTTCCCCATCATCTGCAATAACGAATTTCTTTGCATCGCATTTACATACGATTCCGCGGAATAACATATATACTTACTAGGTTGGCCCACGTGATACAGATATCCCATACAGTATACAACAGTACATCCATGAGCATGGGCAACACGCAATCAACGGTGCGCTATCTTGCGCCCGCATCGTTCATCTACGACTTTGCAGCGCAGCAATATGGCATTTTCTCCACGCCCAATATGATGGATATTCACAACCGGAACCTGGCTGCTTTCTCACCATACCCGTACTTCATCGGCGCCTTCTTCTTCCCCCAGCAAATCTTCCAGCTGGCGTGGTTGTGGAAGCTGTGGAAGCAGGATGGAAACGAGCAGGAGCGTGCCATGATGAATAAGTTCGCTTGGTGTTATAGTTTGGGTAATTTTTGTATCGGAAGTAAGTTTACCTTTGACTTGTCGAATGGTCGAGAAGGAAATGATGCTAACACGGGTGATAGCTTGGATGTTCTTCTGGAATGCGAATGACCTAGCGACTTCGAACATCTTTGTGATAATCAACACGCTGGCGCAGGTGGCCTACATCTCGACGATGCTCGAGCCGCTGGATACACGCTCAACACCCAACTTTCTCACGCATATTGTTGCGAAGACGTTTGCTGGTATTGGTGTGCTGGACCTCTTGCACAACACATCAGCCGCATACTATGTTGGTGTCGAGCCCAGCTCCCTCGTGCAGGTCGCGACGGGCATTGGTTTCGCCGCTGCGGCAAGCGTGAGCGACTGGATCTTTGGTGGCTGTCTGGTATACGATCTAGTCGCACTGTCTGTAGGACAAGAGGGCAGCTGGTCGAGGTTGCTGGGCGGATACGCAGCCATGACAGCGGGTATCGTGGGCTTCAGGAACTTTTTCTAGTAAGTATACTGATGTTGCTTTGGACAAATCGCATGCAGGGTCATGCTGACCGAGTGCAGTCCTCGATGGAAGGGCCAGACGCAAGGCGGATATTCGAAGATCGGAAGTGGCGGTGATGATGCTTAGACATGGGATAGTCACGCGGATGGAGGGGAAAAGCAGTACTTGACGATTCGATCCGATCCGATGCTAGGACATGTCATGTGTAGATTAATTCCTGTAATACTATAAGCAAATGGCAGGACGTGTTGCTGTCGCGTGTTAGGGTTCATCGCGGGCTTCTTGATACCACATGTCCGCCAATCCATGGCGACATGACTTCCCGTATTGGGTAGAGGGACGCAGTTCTTGTTACGTTTCGGAGGGGGGATCTTAGTGGTGTTTATTAGTAGACGGGTGCACCATGGGGCCGATGGCGGAGGAGCCGCGGCCCATCTGCGCGCTATTGCAGCCATGGACCCCGTCGATCGTCGTTGATATCTCTGTAGGATGCGGCGATGCAGCTTCAAGTCGTGGAGTGGGAGCCATTCAGCATGTTGCGGGGCTGGAGTGGGCTGGCATGGCTGGGAATCAGATCCATGGCCAAGACCCCGCGAGCGGCGGCAAGCGGCAACAGGCAAGCCCAAGCGAGCTGAGATCGCGTGCCCACCCCCGGCCGCCTCGAGGACCCCGAGGTGGGTGGAGATAAGGCTTATCTTTCACTCATGACACTGTGACTGCTCCCGTTCAAGTCACACCTCTCCTGCGCCGTCCCGTCGTATCCCTTCCGCCTGGCCTAGCCGTAGCCAACGACGCTTGTCCTATTCTTTACCCCCGGCGTCAGTCATGCGAGCCCGTCGGAGATGCGCAGTTGGAGGCAAAGGGCTCTCTATGAGCCCGAGTGGGCCACGGATGACTGTTACAGCCTCCCCTTGTCCTCGATGTTGACCTCTCTTATCTTTCTGTCCTCGTGCTCTCTATTCCTTTCCACGTTTTGCAACAATTACTGTGCTTCGTTTTGCTACCGTAAACCACGTCTCGCGTCTTATCAGCAGCCCGTCGGATCCAACGACGTCACCGCGCCGACCACTGGAACGCCGACCTGTAACAGACGACTCCGTTAGGCGAGTCGCGAGAGTTTAGAGTTGCATATTCTCCTTGGGTCTTTGTGATTACTCGTCGCTGGTTGCATCTGTGCGCTGAATCCAGCCTCTGACCATTCCGCCCCCGCTGCCGAGGCGCGAAGAAGAGCGCGAAGAAGAAGCAAGTACAAGAGGAAGAACAGACCGGGAAACGCGTCCCAGATCCTAGATACAGGACCCAAAGCCTAAGAACTCTGCGCCACGCCCTCCGTCGACTTCCACCATACGTCTATGGCACCATGCCGCCCTACCTATCCCCCTTGCATATAGCGAAGCCCTCGTTACCGCCTAGCTGCGAGCCTGCCAACGCGTTCCTCTACCACCTCTCAGCCACATTCCATACATGCATACCTACGAATCTCGCGCTCATATCGACGCTCCTCGGCACGTGCAGTATCGTGTCGTGGCTATTCGCACAGCTACCGCAGATATATAAGAACCACAAGCTCAAGTCAACTTCGGGGTTGAGTGCCTTTTTCCTGACGGAATGGCTCCTGGGTGACTTGACAAATCTGCTAGGGTGCCTGTTTACAGGGCAGGCATCTTGGCAGATCATTATTGCTGCATACTATGTTTTCGTGGACTGCTGCCTATGTGGGCAGTGGGTGTGGTATGAGATGCTCCACCACGGACGACCTCTACGCCCCATTTGGGGCCGATGGAGCAGTTCTCCAAGTAGCAATCCAGGATCAGGTGGTTCTATGCACCAAGTTTTGGAAGGCATGGGTATAGGCAAGCCAGCGAGTACTGCGGATAAAAAAGACAACACCAAGGGAAGCACTCCGCAGGACGTACCACAATCAAACCAAAAGGACGTCTTCAGGATCCCCAACTTTGCGCGGTCTCCAAACCCAGCCAAAGAATCATGGCAAGGCACTCCTCCGTCAAGCGCATCTCCAAACCCACACATCCGCCGCGTAGCAGCCTCAAGCCCACCCATGCCCTCGCCCAAAACAATCATCTACATAACCCTCCTCATTGCCGTCCTCACAAACCCCACAATCGCAAGGCCAATCTCGCCTTTCGCTCCCGGTCTCGCCCGTCCCCGTAGCATCGCCCACACTACAACCACCACCACAATCACAATCACATCCACCGACAGCGCCGCCCTCGCCGGCAAAATCTTCTCCTGGATGAGCACCTTTCTGTACCTGGGCTCCCGCCTCCCCCAACTCTACATGAACCAAGTCCGCAAATCCACCGCCGGCCTCTCCCCCGCCCTCTTCGCTGCCGCCTTCTTCGGCAACCTCTTCTACTCCTCCTCCCTCGCCACAAACCCCTGTGCCTGGCGCGACTTCGCCCCGGGTGAAGGCGCCGGTTGGGTCGACCCCCAAGGTAGCAACCGTGAAAACTGGATCCTCCGTGCCTCCCCCTTTTTCCTCGGAGCCGCAGGCGTCCTCCTCATGGATGCAGCCGTAGGCCTCCAATTCTGGTTCTTCGACGACGCAGTACCCCCGCGTGGTCGCTCCCAGTTCCCGCGTGACGACGAGGTCGTCATTACCATTGACGAGAATGGCAAGCTCATCCGTAAGAGTCTGCATTGGAGGCGCGTCAGTGGGTGGATGAGGGGTTGGGCCCCGGCTGTTAGTGTCGCTGCTACTCCCAATGTTAGTCGCGCTGTTACGCCTATGGATTCGCCCCGCGATGCTAGTCCGGCGGGTAGTGTGGGGAGTAGTCAAAGTAGCAGTAGTCAGAGTATCCCGATCAAAGGACGTGGCAATGCGTTGGATGAGGCCAGGGCGTTGTTGGGGACTAGTAGGCATGCTAGTCCCAGGAGTTATGGCGCCGTGGGTAGTCCCAGGTAGAGATACGAGGACGTAGTGCATAGTTTGTCTGCCTTTCTTTTTTTTTCTTTTTTACGTCGAGCATCACGAGCAATGTTGGACTTTACGGGTTTTTCCTTCACATCTTCAAGAGGCATATTGTTTTATCTTGCATTCATGCATCTTTTCGTAGGCGTTTTTTTTCCATGGGGGATTACACCATTTACGTGGGGAAATGAACTTTGGCATGATAATTTCTTATATATATTCGATAGAAGGAGAGCAAGTAGCATTTTGCAGGTATGCATTTTTACAAGCAGATTGTGTACCGTTCTTTATCACGTCTAATCAGCAACAACTCCTTTGTCTTTGTGAAAATAAGACTCTACCATTCCGATGATGAATATGTCTAAAGCTACAACTACAGAGGTGCTAACTGAAAGAAAAGAAAATCTAAGACAGAATAGAGTCAAGAAGGGAAAAAGGGAAAACGCCGAGATCAAGCAAAACATGAGAGATGAAGAAGAAGAAAAACGGTAATTTGTCTAAGCAGCCAGAAACCCAGAGGACACCCCGGAAAGCCCGCCACTACTACCTAGGTATCACACCCTTATACAAAGACATGACTACTTGTAATCGTACAGAGAAAGCCGGGAGGTGACGTATGTGTGTGTATGTGTGAATGTGTCTATACAGCATGGCAATCCTGCTTTTTTTTTGTGCGAGAAGAAAGAGAAAAAAACAACAACGTTTCGACGTTAGACCGCTCAGCAGCTCTAAACACGCGAGACGTCACGGCCAAAGATCTTGGCCTTTGCCCAGTCAAGCATGACCAATATCCTGTTGCGGGTGCTGAAGCACATGCTGAGGTAGGCAGAGCGCCAGAAAATGTAGGTAATGGTACCACCCGAAGCAATGTTGCCCGCGAACCATGAGATATCGGCAACAGCCTTCTCGGAGCCGATGTAGGCCAGCGAACCCTGGTGAGAGTACTCAAATGGACCAATCGACTTGATTCTCCTTAGTCTTTGCTGCAGAGCCTTGATCTCACCAAAGACCTTGTCGCGAGCCTCCTTGCCAGGAGCCTTTTCTTGGGCAACGGACAGCTCGGCAAGCTGACCCTCGATCTCAGCAGTCTTGGCCATGTTGTTGAACATGCGGGCGAGGAAAGCACCCTCTTGGGCGGCAACCTGAGCAGTAGGGGCGTAATTGGCGACGGCACAGTCACCAACGGCCCAGACGTTCTCGGTACCCTTGACAACAAGGTACTCGTTGACGGCAAGACCACGGCGCGAGTCTTTTTGAGCGGGGATCTGGTTGATCAAGTCCTTGACAATGGGACGGAGAGCGTTACCGGTGGCCCAGACAAGGAGACCGTATGGGATCCTCTCGAGCTGCTTCTTGCCATCAGGGCCGGTCGACTCAGCCTCAATGTACTTGTCCGTTACGTTCTTGACCATGGTCTTTGTGCGGATATCGATGGTCTCCTCCTTGAATGTCTTCTCCGTGTAGTCGATGAGCTGCTTGGAGAACATGGGAAGGACATTGGGAAGCGCCTCGACGAGTGTAACCTTGAAGTTGTCCTGGATCTCAGGCAACCACTTCTTCAGATCCGAGTGGAAGAAGTCCTGGAGTTCTCCGGCAAACTCGACACCAGTGGGACCACCACCGACAACGACCATGTGAAGCAGACGCTTCTTCTCCTCTTCAGACTGATCCTTGAATGTAGCCGTCTCGCAGCAATCCATGATACGGTTTCGGATGCGCTGGGCATCGCCAACCTCCTTCAAGAAGAGACCGTGTTCCTTGACACCAGGGATACCTAAGTCAATTGTTAGCCAATAGTCGGGCTTGACACAGCAACCAGCGTACCAAAAGTGGCGTTCTCAGCACCGACACCAACAACCAGCATGTCAAAGGGAACCTCGGTCTTGGAGACATCGCCCTTGATATCCGAGTCGTCGCTGATGTAGACGACCTTCTTTTCGTAGTCAATCTTGGTGGCCTCTGCCTCGTAGTACTTGACCTGAGCCTTCTTGTGACGCAGGAAGTTACGGATGGGCTCCATGATAGAGCGGTGCTCAATGGTACCGACGGTGCAGGAAGGGAGAAGCGGGGTGAAGAGGAAGTAGTTTCGGGGCGAGACGACGACGACATTGTAGTTTTCCGTGTCGAGCTTCTTGAGCAGGGAGACGGAGCCCCAGCCGGTACCTGTTCGGCATGGTCAGTCAGGTGCTCGCTGCCCAGATGGTGTTGCACCGGCAGGCTACTCACCAAGGACGACAAGAGTCTTCTTGTTGGGGTCGGGCGGCGGCTGGTCAGCGGGGTTGCGAGTCTCGTAAATGCCGTATCCGATGTATGCTAGGCCGGCAAGGGCGGAGAGCTGGGTGAGGCGATACGACCAGCGCAGAAGGCGGAACCGCTTGGGCTTGGGGGCGCTTCCAGTTGACTGCTGGCGGACAGACTGGCGCAAGACAATCTGGTTCTGGGTAGGGCGGGGCGTCCATCGCGCTCTGCTGGCGATGAGTGACGGGCGGTTGGTGGTGAAGGTCCTGCGTCCGGCCTGCTGTACCTGCGACAGCACATTGGCAGCGGCGAGAGGTCTCATTGCGGGCGCCATTGGAAAAAGCAGAGAGACCGTGGCAAGAGGCCACAGAGTCAATTGCAGGATGAGAAGGGGATAAGGATTGAAGAAAGGGCAGCGGAGGGCGAGGGGCGGGCAAGGCGCTGATGATAATGACTTGTGGTGGTGCCCTGGGAGTCAACTTTTTCTTAGCGATGACGAACGACCGGCGTACCGAGTCGCCTCGCACTGGCCCTTTGCTTGTGCGCCAAAAGATAAGCCTGTCGTCCCAATCACATCATTTGCTGCCCGCGCCCACGCATTCACACGCCCACCCTCCCGCGCGAACAATTGCTGCTTCTAGGCCTTGGGAATTATTTTCGTCCCTCGTCCCATCCCATCCCATCCTTAATCCCGCGTTCTTTGCAGTCGAATCGAGCCTGCGGATCCGGTCTCGCTTGCGTCCCGCCGCCGGCCCTCTCTCCTCCCCCCTCCTACACGCCCCAAAGGCAACTTTGATCAACCCGAAATCTTCCATGGCGACAAGCCACCCAGCATTTCCTTTTCTCGTGTTTTGTTCAGCGCGCCATGTCGTGCGACTCCGCTGGCCCGGTGGCAGATTGCCGAGCAGCATTTCCCACCGGGAAGGGTAGGGTTGGACTGTGTCCTCGGCGGCTGCGCTGTCTGTCAGCCTCAACGCCCTGCATTCCGTCGGGTGGGCCAAAACGAAGCAAGAATTTTGTGGACTACGGCCATTGTCCCCTGGCCGCCAGTGGGGTCTGCCATTCCTTTTCAATGCAATTCCATTCAATAAATTTACCGGTGGTACATTTGCAACGCGTTCAAGACGCGGTACTTAAGTACAAGTGCATCGCTCTTGGCACTACTAGCTACACAACACAAGCAATACATGTACTATGGTAAACCTACTTGATAGATTCTACCTTGAATCATGTCTCAACAAACTAACATGTATGCACGTGTATGTAGCTATAAGCTGGGAAACGCCAAGCAAAAATACTGGAAATGATGACGATGACCATCCCTCTACCCCCGCTCGCAGACTACTCGATACAGTTTAGGCCCCAGGATTCATAATACAACACATGTAGCGGACGCTGCGGATGTCAAGCAAAAGCAATAGGTCCCAGTAGCATATAAATTCACAGCTGTCTTACTTTGAAAACATCCTACATCGCCATCTCCTAAATCTCCCAAGCACAAGTCCTTCCAACATGCCCCACGCAACCGCAACCGTAAACGGCGTCCTAGTCGCCGAAACAGACTCCTACGAAGTCGTCGACGGAAACATCTACGTTCGTCTCCCTCTACCACTCATAAAAAAAACCCCAAACTAACGTTATCCCTCTCTCCCCCATTACACAGTTCCCACCAAGCGCCATAAAAGAATCCCACTTCACCCCTACAAGCACAAAAACGCATTGCCCATACAAGGGCGAAGCAAGCTACTACACCATCACGACCAACAAGACCGAAGTCAAGGATGCAGCTTGGTACTACCCAGAGCCGCTGGAGAGCATGAATAAGATCAAGGGGTATGTCGCTTTTTACAAGCGGTCTGCGGAAATCAAGACCGAATAAAAAGGGAAACCACAAATCTAAAGAATAAAATATCCATTGTTCATTTTAAAAAAAAAGACCCTTTTACCCAGGAAAGAGAGAACTAAAAAAAAAACATGTCAAGCTTCCGCAGAGGCTCTGATTTTCCTGTCAACTCCCATAGAAAAACGCCATGAAATGCTCGTAAAGACTTTGTCGTTAACCCAACAGAAACGAAAAGATGCGAGATGTTTCTTTAAGCATCAACACCCATCATAGTATCATCACCATCAACGCCCACACTCGGCTGCTCAATCATGACGCCTCTGCCCCTGCCCTGCAGCAACTCCCTCCGTACCTCCGCACTAATACTCCGGTGACCCCTCGTAAGCAGCAAGTCCAGCAACGCCTCCCTTTGATCCTCCGTGATGTCGTTTCTGTACCTCTGCGCAAACGCGAGCAAACACTGATGCCAAATCACCGGCAACTTGCCCGTGTTTCCCAAGTCGCCAGCTACGGATTCCGTATCCATGGCATCCGCACTACTGGCGCCTACACCGCGGAAACGAAGAAAGTGGAAGACGAGGGCGTCGATGACTTTGTAAGGTAGAGCGTATTTTTTCTCGAGGAGAGTCTTGATGAAGATGTTGCAGGGGCCTGCGGCGTCAGGGTCTGAGGACATTTGCTCGGCGGCGATCTCGCAGAGGCGGTGCAGGGCGGCGGCAGAATGGAGGACGGGGACGGAGATTTTGGACACGACCGAGGCGACGATGACGGCGTCGCGTTGCGTGCAGGAGATGTCTGTGAGCATGGGGAAGACGATGCCCTTGAAGAAGGCGGAGGGCTTGTAGAGGGCCTTCTTCAGCGCATTGTACAAGTGCACGTTTAGCTTGTGGGTTTCGCGGATGTTTTGTTGGACGAGTGGGAGGAGGATGGTGTTGAGGAAGATTTGGGCGGTTTGAGGCTTTGCGGAGATGAAGATGCGGGTTGCTGCGTAGGTTGCGTTGGGGGTCCAGTCGTCAGGACGGGTAATGGCGACGAGGGTTTCCCAGGCGGGGATTGTAGGGAGGATCTTGAAGGGCTTGGGTAGCTTGCCACTCTTGTAGCGGCTCAGGATGAGGCCGATCTTGGAGTATACTGTGTATGTTTAGCAATGTGACGGAGAATGTAGATCGTATATCGTACCTTCCACAACCTTGGCGGGTAGTTCAATGGCGTCTTCTGGAGCACCACCGCCTTGAATCTCTGGGTGTTGCACTTCGCCTCCGGCCTCGTGTGCCGCAATCTTCTCGAGAATGAGTGCAGCCAGGTCTGTGCCTGGCCCTGAAGGTTGCGCTTCTTCGCCAGGCCATACAATTGGGTTGTCGTCAGTTGGGATGAACTTATTCCATGCTGCCAAGTCATTCGCATCAATCTCAACCTCCTCGACCTCCTCATCGTCGTCTCCCCACCCTTCGTCGTCATCCTCTGCGTGCACTACATCCCCCTCGACCATGTCATCTTCTCCCATGCGCGTCTCAAAATCAAAGGCAGGATTAGCCTCTTGTGGTCTCTTGGCCTTGGTTTCTCGTGCATCCTCCTCTTCCAGCTCTCGTCCAATCTCCAAGATTTTGCGCGAGCTTTTGGAGTCTACATATTTTTGCTCGTCTTCCTCGTCCTTGTCGCCCTTGCTGCGCTTTTGTCGCTTTTGCGCCTTGTTTTTCCACGGGTCTGAGGGCGCATATTCTTCGGCTAGAGGGTTGTGTCGCTGGTCGCGCGCGCCAGGTGATTTGGGTGCTTTTGGCATGATGGGTTGATTCTGTCGAGTCGCAGAGGACACTGTGAAAGAGACTGAAGCCTTTGCAGAGTGGCGGAATATTACTCGGCGTGCTATTGGCGAGTCGGCTTGTGGAAATTTAGAAAAGTTGCAGCGGCGGCGGAACCAAAAATTTGGTGGGGGTTCGACTTTTGCGTCTAAACCGCCCGCCGTAGGAGCTGCACGTCTCCACTCGCCCATAGTCGCGACTTGGATTGACGACACCGCAATTGCGCCTCTACATTGTTTCCACCATGTCCGATTCACACCCTCCCTCACGCTCGAACACTCCCACAATCGTGCCCCCAATGCGGCGCCCGATTGAGGGAGACAATGCGCCCGCCGTCTCGTCTCCCCTCAACCCCAACCCCGATCCTGCGGCGCGTCCAAGACCAAAGGCGCCAGCACGCGAGCAGCGAGAGAAGCGCGAGACGATCAAGAAGCGTGAGGCTTCAGCTTCGGCGCGTCAGGGTACTCCAAATGCCAATACTAGCACAAAGTCGAAGAAAGAGCGGTCGACAGCCGATTCACCTATGAGGTATTCGATTCCCGAGCCCAGGCCGTCCGACTATGAAGCCCCCAAGGACAGCACCCTGCTCTCCCACGAGCCGAACCCCATGTATGCGCCAGACGGAGTGACAGAGCTCAAAAAGCCGCATGACATTGCCTGGAACAAGAGGGGCTACAAGTACACGCACTGTGTCGCCGATCCGCTTTTTCGTCACAAGCAGTACTACCGCCAGAGCGACTCCAGGCCGTACGGGCCGAGAATGAGCCATGAGGACTGTGACCGATGGTTCCACTTCGATAATAGTGCTACCATTGTTTCCCAAGAAAAGGGCTGGCGCATGGGCAGAGGCAATGTAGTTGCAAGAGAAGGCAGAATATACTACGAGGTCAAGGTTTTGCGTGGCATACCCGAGCATGGCCCCAAAGATCCCATTGACCCAAACACCGGCGAGACCAAACCTGGCCCACATGTACGCATGGGTTGGGCACGGAGAGAGGCGCCTCTAGACGCACCTGTTGGTTTCGATGGCTACAGCTATGGCATCACTGACGCACGCTTTGAAGCCCAACACCGATCGCGCGCCTCCAAGATTTTTAAGCCGCTACCAAAGAATGCTAAGAGCAAGCACATGAAGGCCAGGCCACCCCACGGCAAGCCTATGCCTGTCGAGTATGTTGTAGATCAGCATGTTCAAGAAGGCGACGTCATCGGCCTCGAGATCCAACTACCCTCCATATCTATGCACCGCAAAGTTGTTGAGGGCATCTACAACCCAGCCGTAGATCTAGGAGACGGATTCGATACCGTCAGCAATCAAGATCCATTCGACCGGCCTATCGACATCATCCGCGACCGTATACCAGTTCCCTACAAAGGCAACTTTTACTTTGAGCAACTGGACTACCAGGTCACTAAGATGGTTGAGGCCTATCACGACCGCGGCCCCGTTCCTAAGATACATCCTTCGCCAAACCATGAAGACGTCAGTGTGCGATCGCTGCCACATTCGCACATCAAAGTCTACAAGAACGGGCAGGAAGTGGGCATTGCATTTGAAAATCTTCTAGCCTTCCTTCCCCCAGCAAGTATGCCATCAGTCGAGGCAATCAAGGCTGGTGCGCGTCCAGGCTTTGACGATGGCATGGTAGGCTACTTCCCAGCTATTTCGCTGTTCAATGGGGGTGTCGCTCAGGTCAACTTCGGACCAGACTTCTGGTGTCCACCCGAGGAGATGGTCAAGCAGCGAGAGCAAGACACACAGATGGAAAATGGAGAGACAGTCGAGCAACGCGTCCCAGAGGGTCGCAGACTCCGTGCTATTGGTGAACGATACAAGGAGCAGATTGCTGAAGACATTGTCTGGGATATCATAGACGAAGTCGATTTCTTCACCCAAGACGGTGGATGGGACTACAAGGGCGAGGCTCCTCAGGACGTGACCGGCAAGTCTACGCCTCGGGCACGTGGCTTTGCGAATCCGGACGAAAACCTTGGTGTCGAGGTTGGCAAACGGTATTAATGGTATGATGATGAAGAACATTAGGAACGGTTGCAAAATGTTAGTTTCAGCAAGGCGCATAGGTATACCCGAATATCATTTGATACTTGCGAAAATCAGCATGTGGCCATGCAGAGCAGCTACGTATTTCACGCTGTCTTGTCATTATCTCGAGAGCGTTTTTTTCTCGTAACATGACCTAAGTCTCATAGCCATGTCGTTCAGCTGGTACAACTACTGGAGCCTAGAGCATGAACTCACACACTGAGCCTAGTCGTACGCCCTACGCCCATCTCGCATGTGGCTACAATTCCGCATTTCGAGGATTTAACCTTTTGCGGTAATTAGCGCGGAATTACCGACATCGGCATTCGAGTACTTCACATCACTAATCATCACTAATTGACTGATATCCACATGTTGGCGGAATTCCCTACAACTCTCTAGCCTATTTCTGATAGACACTTCTCGATATAACAAGCGGCATCTGAATCTTTTTCTGTTGTTGTTTCTGCTTCCGTTGTCATATTTTATCAGACCGTCCAGTCTACCCCACGATGGATTCCTCACAGTTCCGAAAGGCAGCGAAAGGAGCCATTGACGAAAGTACGCATATCAGTCTTCATCTACAGCCCTGATTGACATCAATTAGTTGCACAATACTATGACACATTAGAGGAACGACCAGTCCTGCCCGCTGTCAAACCAGGCTATCTCCGCCCTCTCCTCCCATCCTCAACCCCAGAGGAAGGCGAGCCATGGGAAGCCATCCAAGCAGACATCGACCGCGTAATCATGCCGGGTCTCACGCACTGGCAATCACCCAAATTCATGGCATTCTTCCCCTGCAATTCCTCCTTCGAAGGCATGCTCGGTGAAATGTACAGCGGAGCCTTTAACGCCGCAGCCTTCAACTGGGTCTGCTCGCCTGCCATCACCGAGCTCGAAACCGTCGTCATGGACTGGGTCGCCAAGCTCATCGCTCTACCCAGTGACTTCCTCAGCGACGGCGAAGGCGGCGGCATCATCCAAGGCACCGCGAGCGAAGTCGTCCTCACCGCGCTCGTCGCCGCCCGCGAACGCATCATCCGCCGCAAGCTCGGCGACATGCCTGAGGGCGAAGAAAGACTCGATGCCGCAGCAGATATCCGCAGCAAACTCGTAGCCCTCGGTTCCGAACACGCGCATTCTTCAACCCAAAAAGCAGCAATCATTGCAGGAACCCGGTTCCGCACCGTTCCCGCACCGAAAGAATCAAACTACAGTGTCACCGCCGCCGCACTCCGCAGCACAATCGAAGCCTGCCGCGCAAAAGGCCTCGAGCCGTTTTACTTCACTATCACCCTCGGCAGCACGGGTACCTGCGCCATCGATGATCTCGCCGGCATCGCGCAGCTCGCGAAAGAGTACCCCGACCTCTGGATTCACGTCGACGCTGCATACGCCGGTTCCGCGCTCGTCTGTCCCGAATACCAGCATCTATGCCCCCCAATTGCATCGTTTGACTCGTTCAATTTCAATCTGCACAAGTGGCTCCTCGTGAACTTTGACTGCTCTGCTTTCTTTATTAAGAAGCGGAAAGATCTCATGGATACCTATTCCATTACCCCGAGTTACCTGCGGAATCCGCACTCAGATCAGGGTCTCGTGACTGATTACCGCGACTGGCAGATTCCGCTGGGTCGCCGGTTTCGTAGCTTGAAAGTGTGGTTTGTGCTCCGGAGCTACGGAGTCTCGGGTCTGAGGGCGTTTATACGCAAGCATATTGAGTTGGGTGTGTATTTCCAGAGTTTGCTGGACGGACGGAAAGATCTTTTCAAGGTGGAGACTGAGGCGGCGTTTGGGCTCGTGACTTTTCAGATTAAGCCAAAGGTGGAGACTGGTGCGCAAGATGGGAGTGCGGCGAATCGCCCGGATCCGAGGCATGGGGCGCTGCAGAATGCGTTCCAGGGTGATGCTGAGGCGCAGTATGCTGAGATGGTTAATCAGCGGACAAAGGAGGTGTATGAGAGGGTGAATAGTAAGGGGGATTTCTTTTTGACTAGTTCGGTGATTGGGGGGAGGTATGTCATTCGGGTTGTTAGTGCGACAACTAAGAGTGAGGAGAAGTGGATGAAGATGCTTTTTGAGGAGTTGGTGGAGATTGCTGAGGAGAAGACGGCATGAGAGTAGTTGGATGTGTTGTGATTAAGCTAGTCGTGAAAGTATAGACATGGGCTCCCTCTTATCTATTGCAATGTAAATGTAGTCAACCAAGTTCGAACATGGTCGGGATCGCTTTAATACGAGCTCCGGATACTAATCAGAGTCCATATTTTTATTTCTTTACAATATTTGAATACATCTGCACACCAGGTATCTTATAACTCTCGCGTGGAAAATGTCACTGTATATGGTGAAATTATCAGTGAAGCCTCAGTATCCGGATTGCGTTGCCACCCAGAACATCTTGAGCTTTCTTGTCATCCGTGGCAAACGCTTTCGATATAGCGCCATAATTCGCGTTGACGCTGTGCCACTCCTTTGCATCTTCTTCAAGCGGCGGAAAGAACGGGTGATCGGTACCTATCCACTGTTAGTCTCGCGTCGCAGCAATACAACAACTTAATCACTTACCGAAAAGCAGCCTGTCTGACCCTGACGCATCTAGTGCTGCCTTCAATCCCACTTCCGAGTAGATGACTGCATCAAGGTAGATGTTCGTCTTCAGTATGTCCCACACGTCTCTCCTATTCTGGGTCTTGCCATGCTTCTTCAGATGTCCATCATGCAAAATGCAAGACTCGATCCTTCCAGCCAAAAACGGCAATGTACCTCCTGAATGCGCAAGCAATACGCTGAGCTTTGTGAACCGGTCCCAGACTCCGCTCAAGAGCATCCTGCTCACTGCAATGGTGGTCTCGAGGGGGAACCCAAGTGCTAATGGCAGTACATGCCCGTATTCGCTCGCACGGGGACCATAGACTGAGGCAGGAAGACCGTAGTGGGGGTGTAGGAAAACAAGTTGCTGGTGCTTCTCGAGCGCTGCATATACCGGGTCGAGCTTCGCATCATCTAGTCCCTGTCCCAGACCCGACGTGCCCATGATAACACCCCTAGCGTACTTGAGGGTGCTCAATCTCTCAATCTCAGCGGTTATAACCTCAGGTGAGGCAGATAGAGGAAGTGTGCCGAAGAAGTACAGTCGTCCGGGATATTGTGAGCATTGGTCGTTGACGTCGTCGTTGATCTTCTTGGCCGCCTCTCCCGCCTCCTCTGCAGGTAAAAAGTCCAGCCATGGATTCGCCAGCGAAATGACTGATTTGTCAATCTTGTGGAGGTCCATAAACGCTATCTTCTCCTTGATCTCATAGTATTCTTGGCCAATTGGGCGACCGCGTGAGGTGGACGGCATTGAGGGGTCATCTTCGCCTGGCAGGATGATCAGACGGGCAGAGTCCGGGGCGTCTGGGAATGTGCGAACATATGGAACGGTTGAGCGCGAGCGCAAAAGTTCCATGTATTTTGGGGGGTAAACATGGGTGTGGATGTCGACAATCGGCATGGTTGCGATTGAAAACGCGTTTGTGCGCGTCAATTACTGGGAATACGATGACTGAGCAATGGGCCTTTCGTGTAGAATGTGACGAAGAGAATAAACGAAGTTTTGGGCTAATTCATCATCTTGCATTCGAGATAGCGCTGGACAATTGACCCTGGCGGGGTAGCTTTGGGTTGCCCCACTACATAGCGCCGACCATCCCACCTTCCCCAAGAGGCAAGGAACGATGGAGTCACTTTTTATGCTGTTGACGGAGATGGCCGCAGGGGAATTGGTCATTTTGGGTTGTCGTGGTAAACCAAATGTCTACGTATTTACAAAAGGGGTCTCCAGTCTTTCATTCAAGCAGCACTCAATAGCATACGTTTATCCTATCAGGCGCGAGTCCTCAAGAAGAGGTTCGCTGGTTTGTCCCATGTTTTGAACTCTTCATCCACCTCATATTGGATATCGCCAGTCCCTTCGTCCTTGAATCCTAGTCTCTGGTATACCACTCTTCCCATAGCACTGCCCTCAGTTGTACACTCTAGATCGCCTCTCTTCTTCGCTTCAGCAAGTCCGACTTCAACAAGCTTCGCTGCAATGCCGCGGCGTTGGTAGGCTGGATCAACTGCACATATGTCCAAAGTAAAAATGGCAGGTGGGTTGCGTCCTGACTCCCTGACTTCGTGCATATACGCGATGCGGCGTTTCCAAAGCGAGCGGAACATTTGGGTTGCAAAGCGTCGTTTCGTTTCGTCGAGGTTGTTAAGGGATGCACTCATGTCGTCGGAGAAAGGATCGCCATAGCCTTCTACAAACGACAGTTGCCTCCATATAGCCATACCAACAACTCGTCTCTCTCCAGGCTGATCTGGGTCGGGAAGGGTAGCTTTTAGATAGATGGCATTGGGCAGTCCATCTTTGTTGGTAGTGACAGACTGCCATTTTTTCATTAAACTTTTAGCGTGTTTGGCTTGTCCTTCTTCTGTATCCCACCCGGGGTTCATCAGCATCCAGACAGAATCTTTTGCTTGACGCCCAAAAGCTTCAGACAAGCAATATTGTGCCTGCTTGAAATCCTTTTCAGTCTCGAAAGGAGATATGACAACGTCATTGCTGTTGGAAGTCATGTTGAGGGTAGCGCAGAAGTTGTGTCTGTCGTATCGCGTTCGAGCCAGAGTGTTGAAAATAATGATAGAATTTTATGTGTTTTCAAGTCGGCAGATGGAACAGCCAAAATCAAGCTGCGATCTAATGACATAACTTAAAGCCGCGGGTCACACCCGTACCCGGTGGGGACGCTTGGCGGGGTATCTTGACGTCCATAATATGCCTAGTGGACGCTGTGGATGTAGAAATACACGATCAATCTGTTGTAAACATGGTTTGAAGCATCCAAGGTTCAGCCATACCAGCCCACTAACACTATCTGGCGTCCATGGTCATGGTTAGCAGCTCGATTAGATTTGCAGGAAAACGAGTATAGAAAACACTTGGATATCAGTAAAAGTGGTATGATACGGTTGCTATGTCTGCCAATTGACCTATAGGATGCTGAAGTATCGATTGAGAAATGTAACAGATGGTTAAGACGATAAGAGGCCTCTCATCACGTGCACACGTTGGCAGGCAATGACTAGCGTGGCGGCAATCAATTAGCAGGGATGACGCGCTCGCGCCTCGTATACGGTTCGCGTTCCCCTAGGCACTTTGCGCAACCACTCGACCCGACCCGACCCAACAACAAACACACCCTCTTTTCCAACTACCATATACCACTCTTTCGGGTGTTGTGTCCGTTGGTCATATACAAAAATGCCGGGTACAGTAGCAAGAGCGCCGGCGAAACGCGCTCTCGCCGAAACGTCTAATACGCGCACCAATGTACAGACATCGCCCCGCTCCGCAAAGAAGTTGAAGTTCCAGGATGGCAAGAACAAGAGCAAAGCATCCGGAAGGATGGCCAACGACTTGTTTAACTCGAGCCAGCCAGGCCCCAGTCAGTTTGAGGAGACATTGGAGAAAATGACACAGGACATGGAGACCCTCAAGAAGGAAAACACTGAAAAGGACCAGCAATGGCGACGGCCGCCATTGCCTCATGACTTCAGCGAGGTTAACAACAACCTAGTATTCCAGCAAATTGAGGCTGAAGAGGGTGTGCTCCATGGGGGCAAAACGACCGTTAAACTGTTTGGTGTGACAGAGGTAGGAAGCCGCCATACGCATATATCAAGCAAGGCTAACAAGTATATCACAGACTGGTCAATCCGTACTCCTCCACGTAACTGGATTCCAACACTACTTCTACGTCGCTGCGCCCGTCAACTTCCAACAGGCCGACTGCGAGCCCTACAAGATCTTCCTCGAAGCCGAATGTCAAAAGAGTTTTAATCAGCACTCCGCTGTCATAGCGTCAGTGACAATGCACATGAGAGAAAACATTCTACGCTTTCAGGGCAACCAGAAGAGCCCATACCTCAAGATCACTGTCACCGACCCCAAGTTGATCAACCGTGTACGCATGATGGTACAAAAGGGCAATGCCAACTACAAGCGACTCTGGCCGGCCAGAGAAGATGGTATCCTCACATTTGACAACATTGCCTATGTGCTACGATTCATGATTGACACAAAGGTCACCGGTATGTGCTGGGTCGAAGCCCCTGCCGCCAAGTGGAAGATGATCAACCCACGAGACCGACACTCCAACTGCCAGATTGAGGGTCAGGTACATTACGAAGACCTTATCGCTCACCAAGCTGAAGGCGAGTGGGCAAAGATTGCCCCTCTTCGCATCCTCTCTTTCGATATCGAGTGCGCTGGCCGCAAAGGTGTTTTCCCAGAGGCAAATGTGGACCCTGTGATTCAGATTGCGAATGTTGTTACAAAATACGGAGATGACAAGCCCTTTGTTAGGAATGTCTTCTGTCTAGAAACAGTCAGCCCTATCGTTGCGACACAGATTTTGTCCTTCCAAGATGAGGGTGAAATGCTCATGAAGTGGCGCGACTTTCTCGACGAGGTTGACCCAGATGTCATCATTGGCTACAACACCAGTAACTTCGATTTCCCATATTTGCTCGATCGCGCCAAGCATCTGAAGCTCCAAAGGTTTCCATATTGGTCCCGTCTCAAGACGGTCCAGTCCAAGGTGGAGACATCAAACTTCTCCAGCAAGCAGATGGGGTCTAGGGATACCAAAACCACCAACACCAACGGTCGCCTGCAACTCGACTTGCTTCAGCTGGTCCAAAGGGACCATCAGCTTCGAAGTTACACACTCAACTCTGTATGCGCCCATTTCCTGAAGGAACAAAAGGAAGATGTACACCACAGCATGATCACAGAACTATTCAACGGTGACTCGAACTCGCGAAGACGTCTGGCTGTATACTGTCTCAAGGATGCCTACCTTCCTCAACGTCTGCTCGACAAGCTTATGTGTCTGGTCAACTACACGGAAATGGCTAGGGCTACAGGTGTTCCGTTCAATTATATTCTCTCCAGAGGACAACAAGTGCGCTTCATCAGCCAGCTGTTCCGGAAGGCTCTCGAGCATCAACTTGTTATTCCGGATCTTCCAAATCAAGGTGACAACGGCGATCAATACGAAGGTGCGACTGTCATTGAGCCCAAGCGTGGTTACTACAAAGAGCCTGTTGCTACGCTCGACTTTGCTTCACTATACCCTAGTATCATGCAAGCCCACAACCTATGTTACACGACGTGGCTGGACCGACAGACTGTGGAGAAGCTCAAGATGAAGAAGGACGAAGACTACATCGTGACTCCCAACGGCGACATGTTCTGTACCGCCAAAACGCGGAAGGGACTCTTGACGGAAATTTTGGAAGAACTGCTGAGCGCACGTAAGAAAGCAAAGAAGGAACTAGCGGTTGAGACGGATCCTTTCAAGAAGGCTGTGCTCAACGGTCGTCAGTTGGCTATGAAGGTTACCGCCAACTCCGTCTATGGTCTGACTGGTGCCACTAATGGAAAGCTTCCCTGTCTTGCGATCGCCAGTAGTACCACCAGTTTCGGGCGTCAAATGATTGAAAGAGCCAAGGCTGAAGTCGAAGCCAAATACAATATCGCAAATGGATACTCGCACGATGCAGAGGTCATCTATGGTGATACCGATTCGGTCATGGTCAAGTTTGGTACCACTGAATTGGCGGAGGCAATGAAGTTGGGCGAAGAGGCGGCAAACTACGTGACATCGAAGTTTCTCAAACCCATCAAGCTGGAGTTCGAAAAAGTTTATTTCCCATATCTCCTCATCAACAAGAAGCGATATGCTGGCCTTTACTGGACGAATCCAAACAAATGGGATAAGATGGACACCAAGGGTATCGAGACGGTCCGTCGTGACAATTGTCGACTTGTTCAAACCGTCATCGAGACCTCTCTCCGCATGTTGTTGATCGACCAAGATCCCGAGGGCGCACAAGAGTAAGTCAGCCAGCTTTGGAAAACATATTCCACGCTAACATGAAGCAGATTCGTCAAGGAAACCATTGCAGATCTTTTACAGAACAAAATCGATATGTCCAATCTAGTCATCACCAAAGCCCTTACGAAACAGGAAGACAAGGACGGCAAAGGCGGTTACGCCAACAAGCAGGCACACGTGGAACTCGCCGAGCGTATGAAGAAACGTGACGCTGGTTCAGCGCCCGCTCTTGGTGACCGTGTCGCGTATGTCATGGTCAGAGCTGCCACTGGCGCAAAGAATTTCGAAAAGTCTGAAGACCCAATCTATGTTCTTGAGAACAACCTACCCATCGATACGCGTTACTATCTCGACAACCAACTCGCAAAACCGCTTGGCAGAATTTTCGAGCCTATCCTAGGCGAAAAGAAAGCAGCCTCGCTCCTCACAGGTGAACATACACGATCCATCTCCGTCGCTGCACCCACCATGGGTGGTCTCATGAAGTTTGCAAAGAAAACACAAACGTGCATGGGCTGCAAGAAGCCTCTTACCGCCGCACACGAAAAGGACGGCGCAGTTTGTGAGAATTGTCGACCTCGTATTCCCGAGCTATACACAAAGACTTTGACCAAGGTCAGTGAGCTCGAGGTGCGTTTCTCTCGTCTTTGGACGCAATGTCAGCGCTGCCAAGGAAGTGTTCACTGTGAAGTCATCTGTGCGTCAAGAGATTGCCCAATTTTCTACATGCGCATGAAGGCAAGGAAAGATGTCGAAGATGCAGGCAAGGAGCTGGTGCGATTTGACAAAGATGCTGCACTCTGGTAATGGCATGTTGTTCGCTCTCCGTAGGAGCGAGGCGTTTTGGTGTTTTACAATGTATATCCACCTGTATATCAATGGCGGTATACCGGTTAGGGTTCAAGATACATAGCGATATCCGTATGATCATGTTTAGTAATTACTGTTGTCATCAACCTACCTCGTACAGAATCATGAAAGTGCCAATGATGATGCAGCATACCGCCATTACAAGACACAGAACGAATCCTGCACAAGGAAAGTAATTTCGAGATTCCATTGCCTGCTGGATGCGGATTTGAATTCTGATTCATGCGGTTGTGAAAAGTGAGACTAGGATGATGGCGGTGTAAGCGTGCGGGATTGCAAACCATTGCTTGTATTTCAGTGGTTAGAGTCCATGATGTGATCGTTTCGATCGTTGTGGCACAGGTGAGTCCTGGGGGACCAAGCACAATAAGTTCATGCATTCCTCTCACGGGTAACAGACACGGCTCGGCGTGGTATTGAGGGGAAGAAAGCCCGTGATGCTCTGGAGACATGACTTCGGAGGGACTCGAATCTTACGTTGACGTGCTCCATTGGTAATGGTCTTCAAGACCTAGATCAGAAGCTTCCAAGAAGCATGACTTAAATGGCAGCAACTTGGTACTAGTCTTTGCATAGGAGATTTTAGTCGGTCTGGGAAGTGATAATATCATGTACATAACGGTATACGCATTATCCTATACACCAGGAACCCCTCAATAAAGTGTGGGCAATTACATGTCGAGTGGATCTTGCATACCGCCAGAAACACAAGATGTTCAAAGTGACCGCGATGCATAAGTACTTATTAATGGTGCTCCGAGCGTTGCGCCATGGATTTCGGAGGTGGGTGTTAACAGTAGGGCC